CGCGCGCCGCGACACAATCACTATTACTATACCGTTAGCCTCAACGACCCTTGCGTGTGCTTTGTGTGCATGTACGTACGCCCCACACACACTTCCGCAAACAGCCGTACAATAAGTCGAAGCGGAAGATGCTTGTTCCCATATGAGCTTGTTCCCGCTACCGGTACCATACCGTACACCGCGCGCGCAGCGACACAATGTTGTACTATACCGATAGCCCCAACGACCCTTGCGTGTGCTTTGTGTGCATGTACGTACGCCCCACACACACTTCCGCAAACAGCCGTACAGTAAGTCGAGGCGGAAGATAGCCTTGACGCAACCGTGTATGCTGAATATGATAATTAGTACGCGCTATGGTAAATAGTCTTCTCTCATTGGATAACGGCTGACAAAAAAATGAATATTTATTGAATTGCATAATACGACCAAAGGTTTATAAACAGACGGCCTGTGGTAACAATAATAATTGTAAAACAACCCCTTAAAATCTTAAATAATAGTAGAATAATATTTATAAAGTTACACATAGTTTGGGGCGAAAATAAAATGAAAAGGATGAAAAAAATTAGACCTTCAAAAAAAGGCAAACGGTACAAAACCGCACGCCGGCAAAAACGATGTCACCGTGCACAGAGGCCTCGTTGGGGCCGTCCACTGCAGGCACCGGCCCGGCTGGCGCCATGCAGTGAGACACGCTGCGCTTTCACGTTCAGCGGCAAAAAAGCGCTCACGCTATTGAGTATATCTACCGCTGACTTTTTGGGGGGGGGGGGGGGTATTTCTTCTAAGCTGTCAAGGGGATATGGGAAAAAAATATTTCTCCTTCAGCAAACTTATTCTGTAAGACTGAGTTTAACTTGTATGAACAACTTATAAGTTATATGTCGTATGTACGACTAATATATCGACAGGGTACGACATATTTCGACAGGGTACAACTAATATCATCGACAGGGTACGACATATTTGTCGACAGGGTATGACATATCAAACATATGACATAATGTCGACAGGTGCCGGTACGACATATATGTCGTGCATAAGTCGAGTCGACAGGGTACGATAAATGTCGCATACGACAAAGTCGTATATAAGTGCGACTTCATATCTCGTGTGTACAAAATATGAATTGTAACTCGTTTGTTCGACTTGTTTGTCGATTATGTCGTACATACAACATATCTTGTGAGAACATACGACTTGTATCTCGTGCGATTTACATCTACGACTTACATGTCGTACCTTTGTCGTAGGTACGACATATACGATTCATACGTACGCGTTAAAATACATGTGTCGTACGTATGAGATGTAGTTTGCACATGGTACGAATTCAGGGAGAGTTTTTTTCACCATGTACCTGACAGTTTCGTATATTTCCATCCCAAAGTCAATAGCTCGTTTCTTGCAGTTAATTCATACGGGTGCTTATAGATACGAGTTATCCTGCATTCGATTAAATGGGTATGATTTGACCTGGGTCCGAGTTGACCTGTTCCCTACATTCGCTGTCAGAATAGCACGGGCAGGTAGCGGCGTGATAATGTACGCTGTTGCACCGACAAAACGTCGGCGGACTGTTTTGAACTGTCCAATTCGCAATACATGGAAATAGTATCATTTTGAACAACTGTTCACTCATATAGCGGCATATTTCATTTGTTTGTAATAAAACTGGAGAAATGGTTTAAAATGGGATTGAAATACCTGGACATACCATGGTTTGAGTGAACATACATGTACGTGGTGTATACAGTAATTTGCGGGTCATGAATATGTATGTCGCGGGTCAAAGTTTACGGGCTTTGATTGGATATCGTGTAATATATGCGCATCAGAAATTTTCGGCCGATTTCGGTCGAAACTATAAAGAAACACATAAGGAATTCGCCACGGTTGCGTCAAGGCTATCTTCCGCTTCGACTTATTGTACGGCTGTTTGAGGAAGTGTGTGTGGGGCGTACGTACATGCACACAAAGCACACGCAAGGGTCGTTGGGGCTATCGGTATAGTACAACATTGTGTCGCTGCGCGCGCGGTGTACGGTATGGTACCGGTAGCGGGAACAAGCTCATATGGGAACAAGCTGATAGCCTTGGTCAAGGCTAAGACATCACATGGGCATCATATGACAGGCACGTGGACACGTGACCCCCCCCCCAAAAAAAATGCGACGCCTAAAAAAAAAGGCGCCGCCAAAAAAAAAAGGCGCCGCCCAAAAAAAAAAGGCGACCAAAAAAAAAAAAGGCGACCAAAAAAAAAAAGGCGCCGCCAAATAAAAAATGCGCCCCCCCCCAAAAAAAAAATGCGACGCCGTTGGCACATATGGAACACCATAAGCCTCAAGGGCGCTCATAGTCGTGCGTCGATGTATGGTATGAACATGTACAGTTCACCGAAGCCACGGTGACGAGTCGTCATAAAATTAAAGCACTGTTCAATGCACTGCTTCGCTTCTCCGCTCGTCCCTAACGCCCTAGGGTTGCAGACCAGTAAATCAGTCCAGTATTTAAGCATGCTGTGGGACATGAACTTGAGGGTTTGTAAAAAATATGAGTGGAAGCCGTGCACAGGATTGTGAGCTTGCAGTTCCGTTCAATTTGGATGAATTTGGGGCCCTTAAAGCGCTCTATTTTGCAATGGAGTGTAGGCATCGTTTTTCAAAATGGCGATGGGCTTCAGGACTATTTTCAGGGGTGATCATCTTCGGATGGAAATTTCTTCTAAAAGTCATCAGTTGACTCCCCAAAAATTGAAAAGAAAATGAAAGATGATGACATAAGCTTTAATTTGATGTGTGTCTCGAACACCTTGGAGAGTTGTGAGTATTTTCCCCAAATTTCTGAAGTGGGAGCATTTACCATTGGGGTCTATGGAAGTTTATTTACTGGTCGATCCGCAACCCTAGTCAGGGTCGCAGGTGTATTATCTTTTTGAAGCGTACAGCATAGAGGGTAGTTGCTAATGTGCACGAAGCATTAAGGGGCACGTGATGTGCGCAGGGGGAAGTACTGACTGGGGTCAAAGGTCAGACAAATTTTATCCAATAAGAGCTCTAAGAAATTAGCCGGCACTGTGCTTCCCTGAAATTGCGGTGGGTTCGAGCGCAGTTCGCTCTTGGGACTGGACTAGTTAATATTTGACCAGGTTTGAATATGCCAAAGGTAACCCCGGTGCTCCGTAGATAATTCTCGCAATATCTTCACTGGCACAAAGACATAGGCTGCTCCAGTATACTTTTGAGTTTAGATCCAACGAAACGGACAACAAAAATGTTCACAAACAAAATGTCACGGAATTTACACAACACAGTTGGTGATTTTATTCCGTCTACTAATTAGCACATGTTCCAAATCTACAGTTGGGAAGTAATTTACAGCAAATAAAGAGCTGCTCAAATGTTTCTACCACTCCAAATGGTTTTTTAAAGTTAATCACCGTAAAACAAAATATTTCAGCTCGGAAAACACGACACACACAAGTAAACTGATCGGACCTCTCTGAAAACGGAAGCAGATTCGACGCCGGTCGATATGAATTTAGAAACATAGTGTTTAAACAGTTTAAACTTAAAAGAAGTAAAAAAAAAAAAAGGAAACACGTCCTAGTACTTCTTGGGGGGGGGGGGGGAACCATAACATTCAACTTCAACTAACTTCAACTATAATCTCATGCATAGGCTATACATTACATACTGTATTAACTTGATTAATCATGTATTGTGAAAATCTATTTATGATAATACCACTTGATAAGGTCTACCACTTAAATATTAATTAACATCAAAGATTATATGCATTGGTGGTACATCTGATCCAAAATTAATGTTCTTTTTTTGGTGTTCGACTTGAAATAATCATTTGATGCAATATTTGCCTCACGTCGGGCTGGGGGGGGGATTATAGTACCCACTCCATTTTATTGCTTTCGATTTAGTTTAAAATGAAGCCTTTCAATTAAAAGCTGTCGCTAATTAGGAAAAGGAATATGTACGATTTTCCCCTTAGATAGCTTCAACACAGTTTGTTCTTCAAGTGCAAACACATGAAAACTCCAACACGTTTTTGCAAAACGAAATAATATAGTATATCTTTCAGGACAATCACTATACGCAGTCAGACATTACCCTCTGTAACAACTTCTCAGAAATTGTTTGGGGCACGAGGAGGTCTCCCTTCGGAAACCTATAAGCCCTCCCCACCCCACCCTAGCCCCGTAAGGGGGGATAACAGTATACGAGTCACATTTCGAGACCTTACGAGACTTTATGTACGGTTTCAGGTTTATTCCTATCACTGGACTGTCAACTGTCATCAATTTCATTTGCATCACCATTCATTAATCAACTGTCATGTAACGCTTTTATATATTTGACATGAGTCTTATTATGGAACTTATGTATTGCAACTAGCTAAGTAACGTCCGAAACAATCGGACTTTGTCAGGCAACTAATGGTCCGGTGGGCTGATCACGTTGGTAGTCGCTTGCAATACGTACATGTATATAAGTTCCAGTATAAGATTCATTTGTATGATACTTCATCGTATACTACACTGGATGACTGAGAACATACATCATTATGCTTGTATACAGTTTCATTGATACTACACAATGTGAAGCTTCCCTTTTATCTATGAGTGTGGTTGGAACATAACATAATTATGTTGTGCAAAATTATAATCCAACATTAACTAAATGATTTTTAATAGAATGGTTTAATTTCCTGTCTGGAAAGTTGGAACAACTAACCAAGGACTAAGAATGTTTTTTTTTGCGAAGGGCAGAGCAATTTATACAAACTTCGATTTGTGACATGTCTATCGTGTGACCTGACCCTGTACACACGGGGTATTGGGGGCGGGAGCTCTCGGACCCCCCCCCCCCCCCGCTCGAGATCAGTGTCCCCCTTGCGCCCCCCCCCCTTAGAACTTGCACAGAAAACACAAAGTGAGTAATTTGACTCATTATCGTAAAAAATGAGTCATTTTGTCCGTGTAGTGACACTTTGGCTCAAAGTGTGTCACTACACGGACAAAATGACTCATTTATTACGATAATGAGTCAGGTTACTGACTTTGTGTTTTCTGTGTGGACAAGGCAAAATAGCTGCGCATTATTGAAACTAAATCTACAAACCCTCTGTGTGCCTCTCCTCCAGAGAATGAGTTCCCTGAGTCACAGTGCCCCTTTCAGACCATGAACCCTTCCCGCCAATCCCCGAGATTGTCCCCGCGATCACCCCACGGCCATGCCCCTACACCAATGAGGTCAGAAACAGACCAACAGAGACAAAACAAAACCTTCAAGAGGGAGTTCACGTGCTATTTGAATACTTGATGTGAGCCTACATAATACTGGACTACATCCATTTACACAATTAAAACAAATACACACACAAGAATCCCTGCGTGAAATTGAAGACTAGACTAGTTCTGATTACTTATGGTTGAATATGACATTACTTAATGTAAAAAAAAATGATATTGCTTTAATGATCATGTACAATTCCCACAGCTGCATTACATTAGTTCTGACTCAGCCATATTAGTACATATCTAATTACGGTATTTGGTGCGTAATAGTCCCTAGGCTAAATTTTAAAAGATTGGAAGCCTAGGCACCAGACAACTTAGGGTAAAAATCTCTTAAATCTTAGATCGAAATTTGAGATTAAAATAACGCAGTCATTCCAGTGGAAATTGGAGTGAAAACTCAATATATTCCACTGAATACATTTAAAACATCTGATCCCAAGTTTCAGTTGGTGTGAGAGAAATTCTACTGCAATAGAGTGAATTCTCAATCTTCAGGACTTCCTTTCGAACCTTTGCAACATTCAAGATTGAGTTTTGCCCTTCGCTGACGTATTTTGTCCACAGCATTTACGTGCCTAAATCAAGCAAGTTAATACAAACCAGCTGGCAAGCAGGAGGAGCGCAGAAGAAAGTACGGAGCTAGCTCCATCTAAAATGGACAGAAAAAAAGAGAAATCACAAGGTTGCTAAATAAGCAATTTGTGAAAACAAAAACTTCCATCCCATAACTCAAGGGCGGATCCAGAACACAATTTTGGGAGGCCAAACAAATTTTTGGTCCCCCCAAAAAGTGGGTAAAAAAAGTTACGGCGTGGGGTTCGGGGCCCGCTTAAGGGCCCCGAAATTTTTTTGGATTCTAGATGCTCTGTGGTGCGATCTGAGGCAATTTCTGACCACTTTAATCAATGTTTTTTTGAGGAAAAGATGGTGGTGTACTCATTGCCTGCCTTTATTGCGATGTCACATAAAAACAAAAAAAAATGGTTTCGTTTTTTTTTTTGGGGGGGGGGGGGCCATGGCCCCCTTTGGCCCCCCCCCCCCCCCTGGATCCTCCCTTGCCATAACTGTATGTGTTTTGTGAACTAACACAACCAAATGAGTCACAAGTTGTCAGATCTGGATTTGAGTAATGAGCCTGTTAATAAAATGTTACACAATGTTGATAAAATGTTACACAATGAAAATCAATAGGAACAGTCAACCTTTCTACCCCACATAACATCTGCATACATGAATATAAAAATGAAGAACAATTTATGTGCTCCATGCTGCATGTGAAAAGTAGCGTATAAGTGAAAAAAATGACTCATTTCTTGGGAACCACTGTCACTTAAGCAATGTTATGAAACACGATCTACACGTTGCATTTGAATAAAAAAAAGGTTCCAAGATGGCAGCTCGCAGTGATTGAGTTCAATATCTACATGCAGCGAATCTTTGCGATTATTTCTTTGCTTAAGGGCCCCCAATCACAACATTAGCACTCCTGCAGACACAAGAACCACTGGCCTTTGAGCTAGATAAGCCAATATTAAATATTTCCGCTATTAAGAACGCAACGACGCTAAAGAATTCGTATGTATGAAGGTATTTGCAATTTTGAGTTGGGGTAAAAGCGCTAAAATGCATATGAGTCATGGTGCCTAATCTATATGGGCACATTGAGACATCTATGACGAATTACATTGATCGATATAGCCCGATTGTCTTACCTGCAGTGCACGTAAGGAGAACGTTCATTGAATTAGTGCAGTCGTGTTGGTACCATTCTCCCCGATCGCACTGGTCCAAGGTCTCCTCGTCTCCCTTACAAGACACACCACTTAGAAACATCGGTCCACTACCCATATAGGTTACTGTCTGTGCATAAGAATACAAGCAATACTAATTTGTGTTAATTATTCCAATCTAGGGAATAGGGACGGATGGTAATATGGATGATACTTCTTATATTAACTGTCGCTTTAGTCCCACAGAAGCACGCTATTCGGCAATATAGTGGCACCTCTCCACTGATCTCCGTGCAACATTCTGGATAGCCCAACGGCGACCTCGTACCCATGGTGTCGAGCAGTACGCTCCCACCACTACATGTTCTCACAGCCTGGTATTGGACCATTTGCATGTAATCTTGCAAAGGAAAATTAGGAATAGTCTGGTGCCTGGCTGTCAGTTTTTAAGTCATTGTTGCTTTTTGTTAGCGGTTTCTGGGGTAACAACAGATCTAGTACGTCGTTGCATGACTTCCAAAAACAAGATAACTTTTTTTTTTCAAAGTTAAGCTGTTACAATCTTATCCTGCCAACATGCAGTATTACACTACATTATGATTAAAAGGAAAGCGGACAGTGGGATCGCTTTGAGGTTCAACGGTGGATCCGGCGGGCATGCTTCCCCCCCCCCCCCCCAAAAGGCAACCACTTCGTATACCACCCACAAAACTCAACAAAGGCAATACATGTACATTTTATTTGTTGAAAACAGTACTGGATATAGTTCAAGAATATTTTCGGATCCACTTTTTCGGGGAACAAAAAGTGCTTTGCCTCCCCCCCCAAAAAAAAATCCCCCCTCAAACCCACATTGTATTCTGGATCCTCCCTTGTTGAGGTGGAGTAGACGTAATTCACAGCAAACATTAAAAACACGTTGGAAATTAAACACCAAGTACACGATATAATCCATTACTTGCTTTAAAATAAAGCAATCCCGTGGGAGGAGGTTGAATCCATTGGCTGTTGGGTCATTCTATAAATTTGGGATCCAAAGTGTGACATTTTTCCCGTCCCTGTTACCTTGGTACTTTGTAATTTGCCATTCAAGCATCATTAAGAATGACTTCAAATGAATGTTTATTTGTTGGGTAGGTAGTTTGCTATTCTTATACACTCTTGGAGGATGACTGCATTAAGGAGTGCATCAGAATTATACAATCATAGATGTCAGATGTAACAGGGACGGGAAAAAAAGTGGACCCCAAATTTATAGAATGACCCTGTTGGAAGTGAAGTCCCTGTCGGCCGTTTATCACTCGTAAAAACAAAATGTGAAACTAATAATAATTGATTTGCCAAGTTTACCTCTTATTACAAATATTTAAGCATCACGAGAATTCTTTTAATATAAACAATTTTCTAAACGAAATTTGTTTCATAAACGGCCTTTATTTCGACAACTGTATTTTTTTATAAGATGGGAGTGGCAGACACTGGCGTAGTGGCTAACAAGCTATAATTTTAGGGCTATAGGTTTCTCGTACATCGTTGGTTACGGTTGTCGCCTGTCATATAGTGGGTATTTGGTGATCTGACATATAGACACCACAACGAAGCCCGCGTGCATTCTTAAAACTAAGGGTCGGATTTGATCCGGAATCCCGGTCCTATTTTGACCTGACACTTTTCAGGCTCAAAATGACATCTTTGCAGTCTTTTAGAGTGCAGCACGAAATAACTATCGACAAGGGTAAAAATTATTCCATGAAACTTCTCAAACTAAGAGAATGGTTCTGAACCCCCCCCCCGATATTTCCCACATGGTGTTTCCGCAAACCTTTCATTCATTAGTATCTCCAGCGTGCAAAGTCTCAAATCTCACTAAAAATTATATTCGACAAAGAGACACGCAAGAGAGGCTGTGTTATGCATAAGGTTATCTATAAACTGCAGACTGCTTGTCAAATATTTACCGATAACGGCGGTCCGAATCCAAGCTCTCTGCAGACGACCTGAGAGTTTGTCTCAGTCCAGCCCTCTGAACAAACGGCTCCCCAGCGACCGTCGCGATAGATTAACACAATGCCAGTCTCCTTCGCCGAATAACTTAAAAGTCTCACAGGGTAGCGGGACTCTGTGTGAGGCAACAGTTAAAATAACGCTTGTTAGAATATCAGTGAAGTTGTATTATTCGTGCACTACATGCATTCATCATCTCCATCTATCTAATTCATGGGGTTCCTTGGCGAATTGGGTGACAAGAAATACCTGCACGTTTAGTGAAAATAACTCGGAAACGAACTGTCGGAAAACAGCATACTTCAAGGCATACCTGGAATTGGACCGCTGCAAATGACGTTCACTTCGTAAGTGTCCGACTCGCTCAAGCAGTCCTGATTTGGCTCATTGTGCCTGGTGTAACACTGTGCAAGCGACGACTCGCCCCCGGTACAACTGATGTAGCCGCCCATCATTACGGGTCCGGAACCCCGGCCGAAGCGGCCGTCGGAGGGTGTGTCAAGACCGTAGCCAAGCCCCAGTTCCTGGCATATCACATTACTCCCTTGGTAGGCGAACTCGTAGTTATCCTTTTCTTGACAGACACTCCCCCATGTCCCGTTGAGGTGGACTTCGAGTCGGCCTTCGTTCTGATTGGCACCATTCACTAGCCGTACCTTAAAATCGTCGGGCTCTTCGAGAAAATGATGAAAGACGGTGGGGAGTCAGGATGGTAATTTATCGCCTTATATACCACAATGACCGTGAACCAGTTCGAATTCAACCCAATTAGACATTTCTCAAATTATTATTTGTTCGCAGCCAAAACCTTTACTATCCGTTCAAGAGACGAATGACCTATTGTAGGCACTCTTTCATAAAGAAAAACAATACAACAAAACATGTAACGGTAATGAGCATTTTGGTAAGAATGAGACGTTCAGAACTTTACAGATTTCTGCGTTTTCAGCTGACACAATTTGAAGTTTTAAAAACGACGGTGATTCTCTGCTTTTGAGGGAAGAACTGAAAGGAAACCCGTTACGTACCTTTAATTAAATTGCAGACGGCTCCAGCCTGCTGCCCAGTAGGGCATTCATCCCGGAACCAAGCCTTGGCGGGACACTGAAGGATATGGCTCTCATTACCGGTGCAGGCGAAATCAGTGGCCAGGTAGGATTCTTCGTTACGGTTGTGCCGTGTCGTGGTGTCGTGTCTCTCGAAGTAAGAACCGGTGGTGGCGCGGTGTGCCGAGTGGTAGCCAGCCTGGCGGCAGATGACATCAGCGTCGGCGATATCCCAACCCTGGTCACACACCATGAAACGATGATTGTCATAACTGACGGTATAAAGTTTGAGCAGTACTCGTCCCTCTCCACCAGCTGACCGTGCACTGCCGCCGCCGAGATACACGTAGAAATTTTCCTTGGCACGAGGATCTGTATGGTTTCCGTTTTGCAAAACAGAAAATAAAGCCCTTTTTAGCGAGGTTTCCACAGATGATGGATCCCAACCAAGCCCATTCCAACAAAACAGAACAACCTAGCTCAAACCCCAGAACAGCCAAGCCCGTGCAAACCTTAACCAACTCAACGCAGAGCAACTTAACCCAGCCACCCAGCCCAGCCCAGCCCAGCCCAGCCCAGCTCAGCCCAACCCAACACAACCCAACCCAGCCCAACCCAACACGGCCCTATACCCAAACCCAACCCGTCCAAGCCCAACCGATTTTAACGTATCTAAACCCAGGCAAAGCCACACCAAACCACGTCCCGTGCCAACCAACACCCACCCCAACCAACCCAATCCAAACCTACCTAATCACCCATTGTTCATGTTATAATTGTGTATAAAAAAAATAAGAAGCATGTAATAATTTGGCCAGCTAGCAATCCGGTGATAACAGTGCATAGGCATACCTATAAATTCGTCCTGGTCCAAGCACTTCACTGCAGCAGCATGACTGGCATCCGCACACTGGTGCTCCATCCATCCGTCATTTGCGCACTCGTCCAGTCTGGTCTCCGACCCCTTACACCTTACGTTACTCAGCCAGACCGGTCCCGTCCCATTTCCTGCATCATGTTCCCATCCGTACTTGGCAAGCCATGGGAAGCCGAGTTGTTTGCACACCACCAAGGCGTCAAAGAAGCCCCAACCATCGCTGCAGACAGCGCCCCATTGGCCGTTGTTCAGGACCTCGACTCGGCCCTGTTTGCCGCCGACATTCGATAGGCGAACATCATGATCTGAAAATACATGTATATAATTTATGTATGAGCCAGTGGCGTAGCCACCGGCGGGGCGTGGGGGGGGGGGGGACGACCGCCCCCATGAAACCTTGTCGCCCCCCAGTCGCCCCCCACTGAGATTTTGAGTTTCAAAAAGAATTTCATTGATCTAAATCTAAATAGTCGCGAATGATCCACATGATGACCACTGAGAAACGACCCTTCGACCGGCGACCGCGGACCAGTAAGCTGACAACCGACGTGACATAGCGCATAATGATAATCTAAAATGCGTATTATCACCCACTGCACTGCTCGCTCACACCACGGAACACGTATTATAGACAGGTGGTCCGTGGGTCACACAGTTTCAGTCAGCGATATCACGCGAATCGGCCACGCACAAACTTTTTCCTCCATTCATATAAGCTATTAAAATAATAATAATAGACCAATTAAAATTCCTTGAAATCAGTTGCGTAGCCACGAAGGGGCGTGGGGGGGGGGCCATGAAACCTTGTCGCCCCCCCCCCAGTCGCCCCCCCCCCCCTTGAGATTTTGAGTTTCTAAAAAAATTATCATTGATCTACATGACGCCATGGGCGTCAATCCTGGGGGGACAGGGGGACTGGTCCCCCTCCCACTTTTTGAAGGGTGGGGGACACAATATCAAATGTCCCCCCCCCCCAGATTTTTGAACTCGTGTCTCATTTACAGAGCCCTATTATGTACTACAATGTATCTTTTGCTTAGAAAATATTGGTTAAAGTGGTCAGAAATTGCCTCAGATAGCACCACAGAGCATTTAGAATCCAAAATTTTTCGGGGCCCTTAAGCGGGCCCCGAACCCCACGCCTATAGCTCAGAATTCTGGTAGCTGATTCGATGACTCCAACCTCGAAAACAATGTTCACAAAATTTTCTTATGCCTTTAGCTGAGAAAACCTGGAAAATTATGTTTGAATTATTATCTTTTGTGCTAAGATAATTATTGGTTAAAGTGGTAAGAAATTGCCTCAGATCACACCACAGAGCATCGAGAATCCAATTTTTTTCGGGGCCCTTAAGCGTCGATCCACCGTATATATTAGTGAATGTACACGTACATGTGCATGTATTTAGGTTTTCGACATCGTGTTTCTTGCCCTTGTTTAATTCTTTCATTGTTTCCTTGTTACCCTTCAGAACGGGCTTACCACTGCCAGGGTTAATGGGCTTACGGGCTTATGATGGGCACTCCTCAGTGTTTAACAAGGGATACCACGGTGCTTACCAGGGCTTTTCATCTACACAAGCAAGAACATGTTAATAAATGTACCGTTGTCTGCTACGCCCAGTCTCTCCACCGGTCATTTCCTTTCCCCCTTTGCCATTCCATTACATTTTGGTGACCCAGACGTGATGTTCCGAGCATACACCCAGCTTCACAATCAACAGCTTGACAGTTATTGGGCGGTTACCATGGAAACTGACCCAAATATCACACGCCGAGTTCTGCGATCCCATGCTGCAGAACCACCTGTAGAAATCCAACCGGATGTTTCCATACCACTGCTTGATGATCAACGCAGTGTCCAAGGATCGTCCAAGAGCGGAAGCAGCAGCCATGCGTCTTCATCGCAGCGGTCACAGAAGAATGTTCACCTGCGACAGCAAGAACTTGCGCTGGCCCAGCTCCGCCTGAAGATCGAGATTAAATCAAGAGCAGAGCAAGACGCGATCGACGAACGGCTACTTGAGGCTCAGCAAGCTCGCCTAGCAGCGCCGAATGAGGAACAACATCTTCTCAAGAGAAAGGAGAACCTTTCCAGGCAGATGGAACTCGAACTGCAACTGCGGAACGCCGAGATCAATCTTGCACATGCAAAACTTGACTCAGAACTTGTCTCCAAAGACAATTTGGCGGAACCGCATCTCTCACCATCTGAAGGGCCAAATGTAGGCTACAGAATTCCTCAGCGGCAAACCTTGTCTGCAAATGTAAGCAATGCTTTACGCGAAAGCTGCAGCGTACAGTCGCATTTTCCCGTGCCTCAACCGAGCGCCATATTGACTCAACCGAGTAATGCGTTGCCCCCACCGAGTGCTGCATTGCCCCCACCGAGTGCTGCATTGCCCCCACCGTGCGATGCATTACCCCACCGAGCGTTGCATTGCCGCAACCGTGTAATGCATTGCCCCCGCTGAGCGCTGCATTGCCCCCACCGAGCACTGCATTGTCTCAATCCAGTATTGTTGCTCCCCTGCATAGCAGTTCATTTGTGAATTCCTTTCCATACATGTGTGTGTCCTCTGGACCTACTTTTCTTCCCACATCTGTTTCATTTCCTAATACAGGTACATGTACAGTCGCCACATTGATCACACCCCAGACCTCGTTTTCACTTGGCACCATAGCACACCTGGGACACATGTCCGCCTCTCCGTCGGACATTTCCGGTCATCCTTTTGCAACCTTGCAATCCTCTCGTCAGTTGGGCACCAGTCCCACACCGACTGCCCTCCTGACCACGCCCATACCGTATGCACCAGTGCCTGTGAGAACTCAGCCAGTCCCTCTGGCTGGTCTTTTCAGTGATCAATGGGTGAATTCAGTTTCAACTGGTAAGTCTTCACCTGAAACTTGCCATGAAACTTCCCAGCCAATCACTCCCCACATGGAGTCTCCGCCCCCGAAGGGCACATCAGCAGATCTACCTATGATGGCACCAGTGCCCTGTAGTCCTGCTTTGATGAACCAGATGATGCTAAGTTCCATGCTAGCTGCATCAGCAGGTGGAATAAACATGGAAGTACCCCATTTCAGTGGAGGTGATCCATCTGAATTCCGGTGCTTTGAAACCATGATTAACGGCTGTATCAAGCCCTTGATACACTTGAGTGAGTTGCAGAAATACTTTATTGTGAAGTCCAAGCTTAGTGGCCAGCCCAAAAAAGATATTTTGGGACTGGAACATGACCAAACCCCCTTCACCAAGGCCATGTTAACACTAAAGCGACTCTATGGTGACATAGGTGTACTCATTCGCGCCAAAATTGAGCGTCTCACCACGTGGCCGAGAGTAGCAGCAAATGACTCAAAGGGACTAGTTGAATTTGCCTCAGCAGTCTCCACCCTCATCACCCAACTTGAAACCGCTCCCGAGGGACAGGCGGAGCTTCGAGCTAACTCCACCGCCTGTGTTCTGTGTGGCCGACTGTCAAACCAGCACCAAACAGCTTTCCTGAAGCAAATGGAAGCTAAGCGCATCCATACCTTTTCCTTGATCGACCTAAACCGTTGGTTAAAGGAAACTGCATCCGTTGCACGTAAAAAGGTGCAACTTGAAGACAGCCTACGAGTCGGCTCCCAAAGTAGCCATGACCATCGTCGACGAGGCGTGTCCACCTACCATACCGAGAGTGGAAACAAGAGCTAAAGCCAGTCGGCTGGAAAAAGTAGCAGCAATCGAAACACATCTGTCAACCAGTCACCAGGCAGTGGAAAGAAGCCATTCAGGAAGTGGTGTCCTCACTGCAAAAATGACCACTGGTTATCCCGCTGCAACGAATTTGGCAAGCTCACAGTAGCAGAGCGATTGAAGTGGATCAAAGATGGTCGTCGCTGTTGGCAGTGTGCACGCCTGCACAAAGAAGGCCAGAGCTGCGACTTGAAGAAAACCTGCCGGGAGTGTGATCAACTCCATCTCACCATCCTTCACAATCTTGTCGCTCAACCAGGCTACGGAGTCTACTACTGCAACTTCAATCCCAATTTTTCCGCCTTTTACAGTGATGGTAATCCATGGCGTCCCAGAGATGTGAGCATGAAGATCGTTCCTGTTATCCTTTACGGTAACGGGACCCAGCTGAAGACTCACTGTCTTCTAGATGATGCTGCCAACTTTACCATGGTGTTACCAGAGGCAGTCAGAGCTCTCCGTCTCAAAGGCAAAGGCACAGAGATGCCTATAGCCACTGTTCGAGAGGAGTGTACCCCCTGTAAAGGAACCCTGCTGAAGCTCCAGATCGCTCCCGAAGATGACCCTCACAACAAGACTCTGTTGTCCCAAGTTTTCTCATCCCCAATGCTGCGGCTATCCGAACATTCAGTCCCAGCTAGAGATCTGCAGAAAAAATGGGCTCACCTATAAGGACCTTCCTCCTCATGACTGTAGGAATGTCCGTCCTCTGATGCTCCTTGGCAGTGACAGACCTGACCTGATAGTCCCAATCGAGAGCCACTTTGGCCCAGAGGGGGCACCAGTGGCCGTCCGAACCAAATTAGGTTGGGCAGTGCAAGGTCCCACGCTCACCTACAGACGTGGAGGTGAGGTGAATCACCTGCAGGGACCTACCAGCCGTGAAGCCGATGAGGTCCTGCATGAGAATGTCTGCAGGATGTGGCAAAATGATGTACAAATATATGTACAATGAACGAAAGCAGGTGACCCGCTCCAAGCAGGATAAGAGAGCCGTAGATTTCCTAGGAAATACTTATAAAATTGTCTTGACTCTCCACAGAGTTTGTACAAAACCGCAGAAGTAGCATCAGGTTGCAACATTCTCAGAATATATTCCAAAGTATCGTATTTTCCAAACAATGTTATTTCCTGTGGTTAGTGAGATGGTGATATTCAGATTAGCCTTGGCCAATGCTCTCGTCGTTATTCGTCCCGTACGCGGTCAATCGTCGGCATATATCCTCACGCGCTATGCACATGCATGTAAAAATACAGCGCGAACAGCGACCTCACGCGGCCACTATTTTTATGCAAATCAGTTGGAGACGATGTCGAGCCTTGGTTCAATCGTCGGCCAAAGCTTATGTTTTTCTTTACTTTGCGCTAGATTTCCAGCGCACGACCTCGTATGCGAATACAGATAATGTAGGCGGGGCTAATATGTGGAGTGTCCAATCACACCTTGGTAAATCCGGACGTCATCAAATTATTTGCAGCTTTTCCGCCTTTTGCGGACGTGACAGGAACCACAGTTTTTGTGCATTGGTGCCGTGTGCAGAGACACACAATGTGTACGTGTATGGACTATGTACGGTGCTACGTTTCACTATGCAAGTTTCCACGCAACGATCGACCAATAAGAAAACGACATTTAAGGTCAGCTAAGGCTATTAACATAATGAGCACCACCCCCAAAACCTCACATGGACGATTGAACCAAGGCTCGACATCGTCTCCAACTGATTTGCATAAAAATAGTGGCCGCGTGAGGTCGCTGTTCGCGCTGTATTTTTACATGCATGTGCATAGCGCGTGAGGATATATGCCGACGATTGACCGCGTACGGGACGAATAACGACGAGAGCATTGACCAAGGCTATATTCAGATGTGTACTCCATATAATAAATATCAAGGTAAACAATGTGGTTCTCCATTGAATGGGCAATGACATGTGGTTTCACAAACCAAACAGCTCTGTGCATATAATGAATTGCTTGCCAAACTTGTTCTTGTGGTGTTAAAGTTCCTCACAGAATATAAAAGATAGCATCAAAAAGCATGTATAGAGTTTTCAGCCTAATCCAATATAATCTCGTAGGTGTAACCATGGTGTAACATACATGTATTAAACTCCATTTAGGCCTAAAAAAAAAGTCTCCGGTTTCTGGTATGCGCGCGCGTCGCCGTAGCCATGCGCGTCGGCAAAATGAAAAAGTTTTTTTTTTCAATAAAAGATGATGTCTCAAAACCGCCAAACTCACTGGTTTGACTGGAATCCTGCTGCTGCACAATTTTAACGTGTTTTTAGATGGGGTTATGATCGAGAATAGGCTTTATGTGGCCTCTCCGGACTCCCATATATTTGCACTAAGTTTAGTCGGGCACCATTTGCAGTCATCAGCCGACATTTGAAGCAAAAAAGACAGGTAAAAAAAAAAAAAAAAGCCGCGTCGCCCCACCACTTTTTGGGCAAGCTCCATACCAGAAACTGGAGACTTTGTTTTTGTTTGGCCTTATAGCGCTATATCACACCATTTGCAGTCATCAGCCGACATTTGAAGCAAAAAAGACAGGGTAAAAAAAAAAAAAGCCGCGTCGCCGCACCACTTTTTGGGCAAGTTCCATACCAGAAACCGGAGACTTTTTTTTTGGCCTTAGCTTTGAGAGTAAGGAAGACAGTGTGTTCGCACTAAACACCAGTATCTGTGAATGTGGGCCACTTGGACAAATTGTGAAGAACTTAAGATGTGCACCCATATCCGAAGGGTTAACAATAGGATCTTGTCATGATGAAAGCACATAGTCCATGTAGATTCGTGCAGTTAGCACAAATCTACAGTTCCTCGTCCATTATCCTCAACTTAATTGGAAGAAATGACTCCCATTATAAGTATGGCTTGAATCTACATGTGTCAACCAGCCTATATCGCAAGCACATCCACAGTATCAGGTCCGCATAATCGCATTGCCTCAATATACCAATTGGTATGAATCCAATTTGATGCAAATTACCATCTGACATCCGCAGTGAATGCCATCAGGCTCTTTACTTTGCCAATAACTGCGTGAGCTTGCGTTCTGAGCAAAAGAAACAACAAGCAGTCAGGGAGCTAGCTTCCGGTGCTTGATTGCAAATGAATGAGACGCTTACCAGGTTGGGTAATTAAATGTCTCGAGAACGTTGTATGGGTGTATGGTCGTAGGTGTAAGTCAAATACACGTCATGGCATCATTTCCACCAGAAGAATGTTCAGATTAAAGTCCATGATGGTGAACAGAAATCATATTTTCTAAAACCAATGAGGCCTCCATACCAGAAGTTAATAGGCACGTATAACTATTGCCAATTACCCGAGATTATAGGGCCATAGACCTTAAATACAACTCAAAACGATGAAGAAAATTGTCGCCATCAGTTGCGTGCAAAATGCAGAAAGTACTTTGGTAAAACATGTAACGTGACACATGCAGTGCCCTGTATGTAGCAGAAGTCACAGTTGAATTAGTACTGTAACGTCTCTCTTGGGTGAGAGACATTATCAAATAAGAGTCAGATACGATACAAATATCTAACACACACACACACACACTAGTACTTTTATTCGGGAATAATTACATCTCAGCTCAATAGAGGGCGCACTATATACAATGTTTAGTTTGGGCGTACATGATTATCTGTGTACAGACATGGGTCTATGGCCAGTGAGCGGCGCGGCCAGCTCGATAATCTATGTGAACATGTCAGGAACTCTGTCGGGGTCAGAGCCCAGATGCATCATACGTGCGGGAGCTCTGTGTAGGTCAGAGCTCAGCTCAATAATCTACTGGGTAAGAGCCCTGGTAAGACGCGCACCCAAAGGTCTATAATAAAGCGCGTAGAAATGGCAATTCTGGTCATTGTTGTGTACTGGGCCAGTACAACAATGACCAGAATTGCCATTTCTACGCGCTTTATTATAGACCTTTGGGTGCGCGTCTTAGCCAATGGGAGCATAGGATTCTGGTAGTTAGAAATAATGCATACGTGTACAAAGGCATGGGGAAAGTTCTCTATGGGGGATTTGTACACGACTGACAAACATTCTACTGGAAGAAAGTCCGAGAGCAGTGGTTAGCGGGCGAAGTAGGATCACTCGTGGGTGCCTTACGGGGAACTGATCCTCAAGGAAAAGGGAAAGGGAATAACTTCTCGGTACATAGGGTTGTGTACAAGACTTAGTCTCTAGACTAGGTAGGAATCTACACACTAATGCTGAGGAGTAAAACTATCAGGGGTGTGAAATCTCAGCTTTAAAGCTGATTTCAGCTTTTTTTGTTTTGGATTTCAGCTATTTTCCCTCACTTGCTGTGTACAAAAGTATAAGAGATTTCCAAAGTTCAGCTTTTTTACACCTTTTTAAAGCTGTTTTCAGCTATTTTTATCAGTGGTCACTCACACCCCTGAACTATGATATGAAGGACGTAACCTGACCTCTAGCTACCGTAGGTCTCGGCCAGTGGGTTAGCGGGACACACTCGCTGGGGTGTACGGGGTCACAAAGGGGTGAATACACGGGTAGGTTTTAGCGAGCCACATTCGCTAAATGCTCGGGGTCAATGTGGGTCGGATGCGAGGTAAAAGGTGTGTGAGGGGAACTCGCATCGACTCCGGGGAAAGGTGGAGGGAAAATGGCCAAGTCCTAAGTACATGTCCCATGGCGGTACATGTTCAATAGCAGTGAGTGCTACACAATAGCGTACAACGAAGTGCACACTAGTGCGTGTGTCTAAAACTTCGTGGCAAGCTTCGCGCTGTGGGAGGACACACGTACACAGGATCGCTGCAAGCATTACGCTGTGCATGGAGTGGAATGGATTGGTTGGGAAAGAAGTAAACTACGCAATTTGCGGGAACGCAACACTACTTATCATGTTTCTCCATGTCCAGACACACATTCTTGTATTAAAGCCCTCACCAAAAAGCACATTTCTCTTTACAAAAAGTAATTCCCTTAGAGAAAATGACGTTTGGGAAAAGAACAACGTACCTTGTGCTATTGCTGCGGCTAAAAGCACGAAAAAGATGATAGTGGTGCATTTCAAGGCGATCTGCATGATATGAGAAAGACAAGACGTTCAGCCGGGAAGGTACGAACACTCCTAGCTCTATGTTCGTAGCAAGTGGACCTTCACAGTCAAGATACCTTTCACAGTGGTCCAACCACTTCGTAGGTACAAGTGGAACTGGAAGGAGAACAGTGACAAGGCGTGAGCTGAGTATCGGCATGACCCCTGACCGGCCGGCTGCACACCCTATCACCAGCTGGTGCCTGCGGTGCGGAAAGAAACCGTTTATTCATCATGTGTAGCGTCATGCGATCATACCGGTCGATGTTGGCTTTGGGCATCATGGCATTTACATGTATACGCTCCACTCACGGTTCATCATGAAGTCCTCTTCTTTATCAATAGGGTGGATACGTGACAAGTGATTCTTATTCCAAAATGGGGTGGGGTGTGGGTTTTAATAGTTTTCACGATATTATTTAAACTTTTCTAAATTTCCAATAATAAATATGGGAAACGCTATTCTTTATATAATGCGCAAGTTATGTGATTATACTTTATAGCAAACCATCCCCAAAGAGTCTCAATTACATTCCCTTTAACAGAAGCTGCATGTGATCGACGGGTTTAGTACATACACTGTAAATGCATATGCAGCCCATATCATTTACGTAGCATCTGGCGGCTCTCGAAAGTTTGTTTCGATAGTAAATGTTTTTGCAGTGTGAAGTGAACTAGTAGTACCGGCTTGCATGACCCGTTGAACTGATCACAGCATGCATCATATTCATTCAATGGAAACCAGTTTTAAACTGTTTGGGCATACCCAGGGTATAACCATGGAGCTAGCGCCATGGTATAACTTTAAAGAAATGGAATCAAATAGAGCGTGCATGAAGAACCTATATCAGCTAATTATGTGGGAACAGGGACTCAACAGTTTTGGCAACATTAACATATAATAGGCCTATATATAGCGGTACTGTTGCCAAAAGCCCTCGATCTTTATAACTTCATAGCCTAAACAAATAGTATCGAAATATATGGTTTGAGAACAGGGCCCACTAACCCCCGACCAGCTGACAGGACCGTCACTAGCAGTGTTGTATTGTAAGGTATTTTGTACATGTAGCTATTATTGTGTTAGTTTGGTTCCCAGACCAAAGGATTCTGACTATTCCTGATGAATCTTAGGTCAGGCAGCCTCCGTGGCTAAAAATAAACATGATGACATTGATGGCCCTTTTTCAAAGCTCAGCTTCGTTTCCGATTTCGCTTTATCGCTTGTAGCTTTTAATGTTCTGATCAATTTTTTATTTTTTTTTGGTGAGTTGCCTCGTCTTAAACTTTTCCTCTTTATTTCCATGTACAAGGCTAAGGAGTTGCAATAGTGTATTTTGTAGAAAAGGTATATTTTTGAAGATTTTGTTGTATTTTGGACGGATATTTTTGGGCTGTGATAGGGCCAGGGTGTGTCAGTGTGACATGGTGGCCATGTTACTAGCCCGGTCTTAATTTTCCTGAACCTTGATTAAGTTTGGGACAAAAGGCAGTTTTGAAGTCGCTTAAGGGTATTTTGCTACTCCTTGACATGGGATTTAGGGGGATTAAAAATGGATGGCTGATATTTTCACAGGTTTTGCTGGCCAGAACTAGTCCGGTTAATTTTTGACAATTTTATGCGAGTGCATGTACATGTACATCATTGTACATAGCCTACCTGGCTGTTAATTTTAAGAGATTCTCCTGGAACATTTCTTTTTGGCTATTGTGGAATTGGTAATTTTGTTTGTGCATTCCTCATAAGCCAACATTTTTGGTTTATGCAAATTTGGGCGTGGCTTGGAATTTTGCTCAGATCTTTTGTTAAATGGGGATTAATCCCATTTTCAATTGGTTCTTGCCAGCAGCTGGGTGTTGTACATGTGTAGACGAGTCAAATGTTTGCATTATTTTTTTGTAACTGGTATTTTCCAGTCTGGGTGGTCGCACACCTTCAAATTGTAAGTGTTAATGTTTTAAAATGAGAAGTGAAATTTGGTTTTGATTTTATTTTGCCGGCCTTTAGTTTGTTTGTGATTTGTATTTATTAATTTGCACCTTCAAAGTAATTTAATGAAGTGTGTAATTTTCTCTAAAAATTAAGAAGCCAGGAGCTTAATTAAATCACTCTTCTAAGTTGGGATTTAATTTAATTTAACTGATTGAAACACATTTTTTCATTATGAAAGCGAGTTGCTAAACTGAAGGAAATGAATTTATTTTTGTGAAATCCTGTGCATTTAGAAACTGATTTAATAAAAAAAATCAAAAGGGAGCTTCCATCAAACATTTTTCAACTTGTATTCCCTTGATTAAGTTTGTGAGTTTGTCCGAAATTTTTAAGAGGATTATAGTCGCCACCCTCCCCTCGGCACGCTACAGTATAACCCCGCATTTAGGCTAAAGGCCAATCTCATGATAATTTCTGCTAATTTGGGTATAGACCTGATGCACGAAATGTGGGGATATATTGGATATTGTGGGGATATTCCCATCTATTTTTTCTTTACCCAAAAAAGGGACATATGAGCTCATCCTGGTAGATTTTTTTTTATGACCACAATTTTCCAACAGTCCCGCGGAAACTGTACTGACAGTTGCAGCATCAGCGTAATTGTGAGTCATGCACTGCAAATGCAATTTTGTGAGTCTGCCTGCGCCCGTGCAGTGACTCATATTTCCCATGGAAATCTTGTCCTTGTTTGCGATGTGAATTCAAAATTACACAACAGCATCAAGCCAAGGCTTTGAACCCCCGTGGCCAGCAAATTCTGATTCAGCTCCACCGTGCAGAAAATGATGGTCCAAATTACATGTAGGCCTATGGTACTGACATGATGATTTTCGCTTTGGTCACATTATCACTGTATTTGTGACCACGGATACGGAAGTGTATTTTACGTATTTTAAGTGTTTTTAGGACATGACCAAAAAAAAAATTTCCGGCCCTCTATTTCGCCCGGGCGGATTACTATTTCGCCCGGGCGGATTACTAATTCGCCCGGGAGACTTATTATTTCGCCCGGTCGGATTACTAATTCGCCCTGGCGAATTACTATTTCGCCCGGACGGATTACTAATTCGCCTGGGCGAATTAGTAGTCTGCCCGGGCGGAATAGTAATCCGCCCGGGCGGAATAGTAATCCGCCCGGGCGGAATAGTAATCCGCCCGGGCGAAAAAGTAGTCCGCCCGGGCGAAATAGTAATCCGCCCGGGCGAAATAGTAATCCGCCCGGGCGAAATAGCTCATGTCCTAAATACTACGAAAGCGTATTTAGGACATGACCGAAAATATTTTTTAGGCCCACTACTTCGCCCGGGCGGATTACTATTTCGCCCGGGCGGATTACTATTTCGCCCGGGCAGATTACTATTTCGCCCGGGCGGATTACTAATTCGCCCGGGCGAATTACTATTTCGCCCGGACGGATTACTAATTCGCCTGGGCGAATAAGTAGTCTGCCCGGGCGGAATAGTAATCCGCCCGGGCGGAATAGTAATCCGCCCGGGCGGAATAGTAATACGCCCGGGCGAAATAGTTATCCGCCCGGGCGAAATAGTAATCCGCCCGGGCGAAATAGTAATCCGCCCGGGCGAAATAGCTCATGTCCTAAATACTACGGAAGCGTATTTAGGACATGACCGAAAATATTTTTTAGGCCCCGGACAGACTACTAATTCGCCCGTGCAGATTACTAATTCTCCGCGGCCGGGAGACTATTAATTCGCGCAGGCGAATTAGTAATCCGCCCAGGCGAAATAGAGGGCCGGTCATGTCCTAAATACACTTCCGTAGTTCTTATTCCTCCATTGTGTGACACAACATGAGTACGTACATGCCGCATACCCGTGACCTGTATTTAAACCTACGTGTACGAGAATGCACGACTACAATTTGAGCGCCCTTGAGGCTGCATGGAATAACAAACAACTGCAACAGTATAGGCCTACGTGCTGATGTAGATTGAACCTGTCCATTCTATAACAAATTGTTCAGCTCAAACCTCGACGGAGATTTTCATTGTTTACAGATTGACGAGTGGATTGTGGTTCCTGTCACCGAATAAAAGACAAACAAAAATCACCCTCACCAAAATGTACCAAGCGATCATCCTGCTTCTTATAATGAGGGCTACGGTAAACGCTCAAGGTAGGTTAATTATATTATTTGTGGAGCGCTGCAGCTAGTATTTCATTTATAACATATATATTTCACCCGTATCATGGCTGAAAGCTAGCTGGCCTAGGTAGACTCAGCATTCTTTCTAAAGGCGTTAATATATATCGTTTTTTAATATTTGTACGTGACCTGTGTACTTTGCATTTTTTTAAAAGATTGAGAGAGGTAGGCCTATAGGTCTATATAATTATTTTATGGGGCTCATTTCTAATGTTTAACTATAACTATGTCTGTTCAATGAACAGAACATAGGGCTTTTCTGCATTATGCCTATATAGTATAGTATATTGGCGGCCATTTTTGCAAGACAGGGGCGAACTGGTCAAAATCCGAGTCTTTATAATTACATAGATCAGTGAAAGGAACCCAAGGAGTGGCATGGGTGGGGGGGGGGGAGTAAGGGGTATTTTAACCCCCTAGTTCCCGCAATATTTTCTCACGAGTGCCCTTTTTTCACAAGCGACCTTTTTCGAGAGTGCCCTTTTTGACGAGTATCCCTTTTTTGAGGAGTGTCATTTTTAACGTCTCGTTAATGTCAGCCATTATGCCTCAATGAAGCTTGAGCGCCACCTATTGTAAATATACTACTACTACTAATAATAATACTTATTCCTACATATGTACCATTAGGGAGACACGTTATCGTAATTTCTTCGATAATAGGGAGACACCGGCTTTTAGGGAGACACATACCTGTCTCCCTAATGGCGCAGTCCCCCTTTAGAGGCAAAATTTGCAGTCGCATTTGGGTTATATTTGTTGCTCGTGGTCGAATTAGTAAAAATACCGAAATTCGTGGGAAAAGGACAAGGGAATATTGGGTTAGGGCACATTTAAGTTGGATATAAGTAATAATAATTACCGTGGATCGGACATTTGGGAGACATCCCCATAGACTTGTGCACAAGATTTTTCAAATTTTAAATGTGCCCTATTAACTCAATATTCCCTTGCCCTTTTTTCCACGAATTTCGGTAATTAGACCACGAGCAACAAAAATAATCTAATTGCGACAATACAATTTTATGATGACACTTATAAGTGATAAAGTATGTAGTGAATAGTAGGTTACTTAGGCCTATCGTTCGGGGTTGAATGGCTGATTTAAATCTCGTTGATTTAAATGACTGGTTTAAATCATTTTTTTGTTAAAAAAAAAAAAAAAGTTCAAAATAAATTGATTGAAGGTCATTTTAATGATTGAAATCACCTGATTCCACTTAATTACAAATTCTAAGCTTTGATTAAGGTCAAGATCTGAGTTTTAAAGGTTCTTTTTTCTGAAGTTTGAATTTGAAAGACAGCACAGTCACGTTTGCTTTAATTAATCCTTGATCTTTTTACAGTTATATTGTGAATCAACTGTGCTGGTGTACATGTACATTGTATAGGCTTACCTGAACCATGAAAAGGCGTATTTAAGTTTCAATTGATAGTCTTATTCCAAACGTTTCTCCAAACATTTTAAAATTGAGATTGATATAATACCTTTTAAAGGTGAAAGGCCTTATTTCTGTTCTCAACCTTGTATGAAGTACCATCTAATCAAACACTGTAAGTTATACAAGGATCAGTGCCGTCAGTTTTGAAATTAGATATTTTGAAAATGCATGAGAAAGTCAATTAATTTCGAAATTGACGAGAGAACATGCTGCGGCCTCTCAGGAATAATCCTGAGACCTAAAGGTTGCAGACCATTAAATCGGTCCGAAATTGCCTACGCCGGCCAAATCACGATTTGCATGCCCTCAAAATCTTCAGTATTTGAGCATGCTGTGGGCCATGAACTTGAGGGTTTGTAAACAATATGGCTGGAAGCCGTGCACAGGACTGTGAGCTTGTAGTTCCGTTCAACTTGGATGAAATTGGGGCCCTAAAAGCGCTCTTTTTTGCAATGAAGTGTAGGCATCGTTTTTCAAAATGGTGATGAGCTTCAGGACTATTTTCAGGGGTGATCATCTTCGGATGGAAATTTCTCCTAAAAGTCATCAGTTGACCCCCAAAAATTGAAAAGAAAATGAAAGATGATGAAATAAGCTCTAATTTGATGTGTGTCTCGACTGACTGATGTGTGTAACGTTATCTTGGAGAGTTGCGAGTATTTCCCCGAATTTCTGAAGTGGGAGCATTTACCATTGGGGTCTATGGAAGTTTATTTACTGGTCTGCAACCTAATTTAATTTCAAAATGGCGCCTTCCATCGTTTGTTGTCAAATGTGTGCGCCTGCGCCTTACATTCCACAACAGTGGTTTTTTTTCAGGGGGGCGGGACCTGGGGGGGGGCGGCGTTTCAGAAGGGATCACCAATGGCGGTTCCGCAACAAATGCGCCCAAAATCTGAATGGGACCGATGGACCGTCGTCCGATCACAGCAATTTTGAGCGAACAAGGGGGGGGGGGGAGTAATTTGGGGTTGGAAGGAGCAAAAACTCAATTAACTCCCCTTGGGGGCGCCCTACAGCAAGGCAGCCGCAAACAGAGGGCTTGTTTTCAGGCCAGAAGTCGCAGTCAGATATTTTTTTTCTCGCAATTTTTTGATGAAATATGAGTCATCCATCCTTCCTCGTGCCGTAGTGGTTTGGGGGAATTTTTCAAAACCTCGCTTCTTTATAGGTTGCAGACCATTAAATCGGTCCGAAATTGCCTACGCCGGCCAAATCACGATTTGCATGCCCTCAAAATATTCAGTATTTGAGCATGCTGTGGCCCATGAACTTGAGGGTTTGTAAAAAATATGGCTGGAAGCCGTGCACAGGACTGTGAGCTTGTAGTTCCGTTCAATTTGGATGAAATTGGGGCCCTTAAAGCGCTCTATTTTGCAATGGAGTGTAGGCATCGTTTTTTCAAAATGGCGATGGGCTTCAGGACTATTTTCAGGGGTGATCATCTTCGGATGGAAATTTCTCCTAAAAAGTTAAAAAGTTAAAGTTGACTCCCCAAAAATTGAAAAGAAAATGAAAGATGATGAAATAAGCTTTAATTTGATGTGTGTCTCGAATGTGTGTAACGTAACCTTGGAGAGTTGTGAGTATTTCCCCGAATTTCTGAAGTGGGAGCATTTACCATTGGGGTCTATGGAAGTTTATTTACTGGTCTGCAACCTAATTTAATTTCATAATGGCGCCTTCCATCGTTTGTTGTCAAATGTGTGCGCCTGCGCTTTACATTCCACAACAGTGTGTTTTTTCTCTATGGAAGTTTATTTACTGGTCTGCAACCCTAATGACGTAATGGCTTTGTTGACATATGCACTTTCCTATGTGAGCAAAGTCGGGACGCCAGACGAAGAAGGGACCGTCTACGACATATGAAAGCGCACATGTAAACAAAGCGTGATGTCATTAGGTCCCAGGCCTATTCACAACCGAGGAAAGCTGTCAGCACCCGCAGTACAACATAATAGGGAAACTCGACATCTATCTGCAGTCATTGCAAAATGGTATTCCCACTACAGCTAACATCATTTGTAAAAACCTGAAATAATGTCCTTGCTTCTAGATCATGATGTACGCCTATCACATATCGGCGGCAAACAGGGTCGAGTCGAGGTCCTGAACAACGGTCAATGGGGCACTGTCTGCAGGGATGGTTGGAGCTTCTTTGACGCCTTGGTGGTGTGCAAGCAACTCGGATTCCCATGGCTTGCCAAGTACGGATGGAAGCATGATGCAGGCAACGGGACGGGACCGGTCTGGCTGAGTAACGTAAGGTGTAATGGGTCGGAGACCAGACTGGACGAGTGCGCAAACGACGGATGGATGGAGCACCAGTGTGTGGATACCAGTCATGCCGCTGCAGTGAAGTGCCTGGACCAGGACGAATGGAAAGGTTTGTCTTGTCTTGAAATTTAGTTTGTAAAGGTAGCGGCAATGCCTAGAAATATCTTGATAATATTTAACTTGTCTGTGCATCGACCACGACAACTCTTGAGTGTCTCAGTACGAAATTCATTTTAGTGTGTTAAGGTAGCGGCAATGCCTAGAAATATCTTGATATTTTAATCTTTAATGAGGAGTAGGCCTGTACGAATTGCGACGTATCGTTAGCTTTATCTTTTCATGTTTAATATCGCAGCAGTTTAAGTGATTGGTGAATGTTTGTCTGTTTAGGGAGGTTGATGCTATGAGGCTTAATTTTAAAAGATAAAAGTCCTTTTCTTTAGTTTTTAATGTCTAACATTTCTTCCTTACCTGCTGAAACGTAGATGAATTTGCTGGAATATTTCTTGCCGATGGTGGCAGCTTTAATGGCGAATACGAAGGACGGGTGATGGTAAACCTGCATACCGACGACTGGCAGCAGCGGTTCCTGATATGCGATCAGGGCTGGGACCTGGCTGACGCTAACGCCATCTGCCGCATGAAACACCTACCGTCAGCACTACGGGCTACCACCAGCTCCTACTTCGGGAAATACGACCCGCATATAACCACGTATACGCATGTTTCAAATGTATCTTATCTGGCCACCGATTTCGCCTGCACTGGTAATGAGAGCCACATCGCTCAGTGTCCCGCCAAGGCTTGGTTCCAGGATGAATGTCCGACTGGACGCACTGCTGGAGTGATATGCAATAGGATTGAAGGTAAAGAGTTCTTCTCCAGTCGGCAACTTAAAGCTACAGTCCATCATTTGCAGCTATCCAAAAAAAACACTGACGTAATTATTGTTGAAAAATATACTTGGTTGAAAGATAGTAAGAGAACTTAACTCCCTGTGAAATTATTCTTTCTTGCATCTTGTCATTTTGAAGAAATCAACGAAAGAAGGCCTGTTCAACGATGCGTCTAAAGACATTCTATCAGAATCTCTGCTAATCTCTGCAAAAGCCGTCGTTTTCAAGTCGGGTTTTACGTGGTCGCAATACAATAGGCCTACGACAAATCAACTTTAAAATCTATTTTTTGGGGGGCGCCACACCCAGGCGCGGTTCTAGAACCAATATTGGGGGGGGGGGGGCTAGCACGGTGGATCCAGAATTTTTTCAGGGAGGCGTGCTGAAATGTAGACCGGTTATTTTTTCCAGACACTTAGGCCTCCGAAAATAAATAGGGGGGGGGGGGGGGGGGGGCTCATGCCATATTTTCAATGGGGAGCGCCAATAAAATCCTAAAATCATTCACCCTTGTCACGACTATTTCTTCTTTAGGGGGTGACCGTTCGCATGTACATCACAATCCTTCTTTTTGCTAATGCATTTTTTTTTTTTTACGGAATTAATTTTGGGGGGGCTAGACAAAATTGGGGGGGGGGGCTGCAGCCCCCCCCCTAGCCCCCCCCCCCCTAGAACCGCGCCTGGCCACACCCTAAAAAGCACGTTTATACTTGCTTTAAAGATATCGTACAGGTGTTATTCTCTCTGGCTTGCTGTCATTTAGAAGAAATCAAAAAGATTAGGTGATTTGCAACGATCAGGACAATATATAATTGTTTTTTTGATATACAGAGTTGTGTGGACGAAATCGTGTTCATGTGATCAAAATAAGGTTGTGCATGGTTTTTCACTGTTTTCTCGAAAAAGTGTAATATTCATGAGCTAAAACTTTAACAGTTTAGTATTTGAACATGGTTGTTCGGATTTTGAGTGGCGTTATGCATGAAAAGCCAATTATCCTAAACGATTTTCAACCTTTCTCTTTAAAAAAAGAAGAAGAATCAGGCGAAAAATTCCATGTCGGACTCGGGTCTCCATGGAAACGAATAAAATGCATGAAAAGGGAACGATACTATACATATATATTTATAACTTTAAACCTTTCTCTTTGTTATCGTTGACAAAATAAATAGAGTCCGAAGAATTCCAGCTGAGACTCGTGAATGGCTCGACCCCGAACGAGGGCCGAGTGGAGGTATTTACCAACGGAACCTGGGGGAGTATTTGTTTGGATGGTTCGTGGAGCATCGGGTACCCGGAGAGTAACGTGATTTGCCGGCAGCTGGGGTTTGGCTACGGCCTGGAGACACCGACGGACGACCGGTTCGGTCGCACCGACGGCCCGGTGGCCTTAAGCGGTTACATCACTTGCGCTGGGGGTGAATCCTCCTTCGCCCAATGTTACATCGCCACGTTAGTATATGATGAATATAATACGCCTGATAAAGAATGCTTCAACAAGGAGGACAGTTACCAAGCTGGCGTCATTTGCAGTGGACCAGTTCCTGGTAGGCATATTTAATTTAAATATTTAAAGGGCAGTAGGGGTGAAATCCCCGAAATGTCTTACCGTTCCGCTCGAGAAAAGACGAAAATCCCGGTTGTTTACATCGGACGCGACGGACATTTTGTGGTATAAGCCTAAAGCCATCTCTATAGACCATTATCATGTTGCAGCCATCTTTATTTTTCCCCATTAAAATCAACGTAACCAAAGCGAGGCTGAAAGGAACAATAGTCTGGTTCTTTTTTGCACATAAATCATTATCATTCCGTACTGTTATTGGATATAGGGAACATGACTGAAATGGTGGCAGCACGATAAATGTCTATTCAATGAACTGTACACGTGGGTGTGCGTTACATAATCAACACACAACACCCTATGTTCTTTCACGTCCGCAGAATGGAAATTTTCGGAGTTAAAATAATTATTATATGACCTCCGAAATTCGTTCCCGCGTGGTTCTCGCAAAAATAACACAAAACGCCAAGTGTTTAAAGTATGGGCGTTACTTTAAAATGTTCTTTCCAATTAATATAATATCGACAGAATTGTGAACTTTTCGGCAAGACAATATTGATGGGAAAACACTTCCGAAAAAAATACCGGAAATGGAAAATATCGAACCAAAAAAAACCGTGACCATCACCTGACCATGGTGACATCTGCATTCTAAGTATGGTTAGTATTTCCAGCTTTCCTGGCGAATATCCCCATCTCATGAGCCAAGAAAGCTGGACATTTCAATAAGCTAGGTCATTGACGGTTAAACGTTAGTTTACGTAGTAGTCATGACATTAGGCCTACGTGGCTAATACATTCCGGTATAAGTGCCTTGTTTCCCGAGACTGATAGACATTGTTACTCTGATTTTAAGTATGAAGATTTGAGGCTTTGCATGGTGGAGATTCTAAATAATGAAAGGTTTGCGGATCGGAAACACCATGTGCGAATCATTCTCAACTAAGAGAAAGGTTCTGAAAAGAACCAGAGGTATAAACTCGACGTTCCGGTCAGTATGCTCTGACCATCTTCAGGAGAAGTTGCGTTCACGCGATTCTACCGCGAAGGTCAGTTGGCCAATTTGGCGGCAACCCCCTAACATTGATTGGCTGTCTTCTTAGGCAGCCAATCAGCGTTGGGGGAGTGGTTACGGGGTTGCCATCAAATTGCTTGGGATTCTGATCCCAACGCTGATTGGTTGCCTTAGAGTCCGGCCGCCGCATATAAAAGCAAGATGCTCTGAAACGTCCGCAATCGTGAGCGATAAGACGGCAGGCAGGGAATTTGCACATTGTCACCAAACCAATGTTTCAGTTGAGTGTAATGTATTTTATAATTATGTGACAAAAATTTGTTATGTACTTGATATGCAGAGTCACGAAGTCCCGTGAGGACCAGCTATAATGGGGGTGGCCACGTCTTAATCCACCACGATGGACGTTGGGGGACAATCTGCAAGGCTGGCTGGACCCTGGCCAACGCACAAGTGGTCTGCAGGGAGCTGGGATTTCGAGCCCCAGAAGAAGCTTTGGTAATACTGATCATTCAACTCAAAAGCATTGGGGCTTTATCACTAGGACACCACGTTACACTAGGGGCGCTGTTTATGCATAATAGCGAGCAACTAGGTACAAACGATGCATCATGTTGTGCACTGTTTGTTCTTCGTTGTCAATGTGATTTCATACACTAACGGGTAGGGAGGGGGTATCTCGTGATTTACTTGTGATGGAATTGACGTTATATTATGTAGACTACTTAAGCACTGTCAAGACAAGTAAAAATTTTTTGATTTCCCTGTTAATGTTCCAGTGTCCGTCAAATTTACGAACCTCATCAAGCCAATAAAGTACACGGTAGACAAAATGTTCAGGCATTGAACGAGAGGTTCACTCATTTTATATTTTGCACAAAAGGTGGATGGTCGTTGGCCTGGAGACGGACCCATATTCCTGAGCGGTGTGTCTTGTAAGGGAGACGAGGATGCCTTGGACCAGTGTGATCTGGGAGAATGGTACCAACACGACTGTACCCACTCAATGGACGTGTATGTAATCTGCGCTGCCGGTATGTCCTTTTCAACACCTTTTGAACTGTCTTTTTTTCATACACCGTTTTACGGATACCGCAAAAGAAGTACAATAATGTATGGCCCATGCATCATGCTCGGGATACAATGGTATGACAGGACGTTCTATGTTCCATATTAGGTTTTGCCCTTCACTAACATATATATAAGTACTGTATATCGGTGTGTTACCACCGAGTGAAAGCGAGAAAAATCACTCGGGTGGGACTGGAACCCATGACCTCCTGCATTCTTGTACAGACGTCTTTAATACCACCCGACCACAGAGCTTGCGGGATCGGTTGGCTGATTCCTTCGAATCTGACGTAGCAGCAGGTACCGCAAAGTTCATAAGATGGAATTGGTGTCGTGTGATGTTAATCATAACGTTGGATTTTGACCTCCTGCGATGAGATGGCGGTATCCAAAAAAACGGTCTGTTCCCATGTTGTTTCCTCTACAATCGGTAATCAAGAAAACAAACTCGACGAAGAAGATTGTGATTTTTCTCTTCCTTTTTGTTATTTTGCAGATTGCGTGGTGACTTCATTTATCGCTCTGCTGACGAGCTTGGTAACCGCCCTTTGGCTCCTGCAGTAGAAGATTGGGTACACTGCGTTTCAAAACAGATTCAACACGAGTGACATGACAACAATCCATCCCTCTTACCTATAAAACGTGTATCAAATTTTCAATGCACAAAATGTTAGCGTGGCTTAGTGCATGCAAGTGTAGAGTGCAAGACCTTTTGCATTATGGCTTTGACTTGGAGGAGGCGTCTCTTACGGTTATTTGTACCGAATTAAGAGTAACAATATACATACTGAAGGATACCTAGCATGGTATGAGACGAAGGGGTACCCCCATCTCCCTTTACCCTATTCAAACCCTAGACTATATTATTGTTACCGAACACATTCCCCTAGTTATCTCAAAAGAATTCCTGAGATTCTGGTAACTCAAATACCAACACAAAGGAGGGGGAGGGGGTGCCCTCCGTCTCATATCGTGCTGCATAATGACTGAAGAAAAAGGGTCGAAATAGCATAGCATACTCCAAAAGCATAGCACATGTCATTTGATTATTTGTGAGTTTAATATAAAGTGGTGATTTAGAAATTTCTGGCTTGTCACTTATATGGAGCAGCTTTCGTCGTTAAACTCAAAACTTTTTTTTATATAACTTGATTAGGCTTTAGTTTGTAGACGTCCGTGTGGCCCTCTAAACTCGCTTCATTATATTCGATGTGAGGATGGAACTCTTTGAAACAATCGACATTCAACTTTACCGCAATGTTGCCATAAGATATTTGATATTTCACAACCTAATAAACTTGAACTATTTTTAAATTCACATGTATGTGATCGTGAAGGCATTAAGTTGAATGCTGGGGGATTTGTTTAATTATTAAATATTTGTTACACTTAAAAAAGCAGCTTTATAATTTTAGAACGATCCCAGATGTCAGTTTATGTGTTTTTTATGAAGTCGTATATACATACATTTTGGCGACTGTATGTTACATAACTATGTAGGCTGTGCACACAATAATTGTAGGCTATGTAGGCGTAGCTGATGTGGTATAATTATATAATTATGTTGAATGCCGCTTGGGGATTCAGTCAAACACTTAGCATTTGTTGCACTGATGCAGGATCTTCTCGACCACAATTGAAATTTACTTTTACAAAATGTTGAACTGTAATAAAATAGAGTTTGAATCGAATAAATCTATAGCCATCCTTGCCAGTGTGCTGCTAGACGTAAATGTCACAAAACGCCTTCTAGATGTGGTCAACGCCCATTGTATACGAAATTACTCCTTTGTATATGACACATATGTTTACACCACTTCAATCAATCAATCAATCAATCAATCAAATCTTTAATTTTTCCCAACGCATACAAGTACATAATAATATTACTTAACATTTGAATTATTGTGTATGGATGGATGGAGGTCTCCAAAAAGCATAAGCTTGTCGAGTGGAGACCCCCACTGTAATAAAGAACAATTACAATTACAATTACAGTTACAATTAATTACAATTGATTACAAGTACAACGATAGGAGTTAAATGACAAAAACATATTGGTACTGAGCTAGTAATACGAAATTTTGGTCTTACAAAATGGGATTATTCTTATTCAGATTCGTGAAACGAGACAATCCACTGATATGGCACTGAGGATTCCTTTTGCAAAAAAAGTGTTATGCCTCAAGCTTTGCTGTAACTGGTACAATCATATGGAATAATTTGCATTGGTAGTCGAGAACCATGACTTCTCTAACCTCATTTAAATCTAAACTACGTAAAACGTTTAGTCAGTAATAATATTTCTACAAATAACTGTGTGTGTATTTGTCGCGGTCTTCTCTGATTATCCAAATCTGTGCTGATCTACGGAGTTAACAAACTTGGTTGCCATAATAATGAGAAAATAAGGAGCGGGATCGGACTTTCCCCGTGTTTTCTCCCAAAAGGGTATTTCGCGGGGTTTTCGCCCCTCCCGTAATCAGCAAATATAATTACACCATTTTTTTTTCTTGATGTTACAATATAGATCCAAATTTGTCGTGTTCACTGAATCCACCTTATAGTAAAGCCCTCACACTGTACATGTAGTTATTATAGTTTTAAAATATATATTGTATTTACAATATTTGCTTAACAACTATGCATTAATCAAATAATGTTTTATCCCATTGTATTGAATTGTATTGTATTTGTAATGTATTGTATATGCAGTGTTTGTAGTCACTGTTTGTATGCAGGGCCCCAATGGAAACCAGTTTTAAACTGTTTGGGCATACCCTGGGTAAATAAATGCAATAAAATAAATTGTCTCTAGCTCTTGGTAACATTTTAAGACGATAAGGTGACTGCCTGGAAATAGTGATAGTGCATGGCAAGAAAAAAGGACCCAGGAGGAAAGGAAGACCCAAAACAAGACTGATCGACAGAATTAGAGCTATAACTGGATGTTCCCTGTCTGAGGTGTCTCCAGTCCAACAGCGTCCGCATCCGTCCGATAACGTCAACTATGAGTTCACCACAATAAAATTGCACCAACTAAATCATTTGGAACGAAACATCTTAGATTAGACCTTAGATCTTTTTGAAGTCGGTATGACAATGAGTTGATCCCTCGTCACAACACAGTCACTCAAACATATCAATTGAATTTAAAAGAATGAACTAATGCAAGCTTTTCACAGGCAAATTCTCTGTTAATTAAAAGATCGGAGTCGTTTCTGACTCGAATCCAACCGGCAAATTGACTCGAGAATCGGATTCGGACTCGACACATGCAGGCAGTGTACAGCCAGGGTGACACAGTGTATGGGACATTTTGCTTGAGAATGAATACTGCGACTCTGGCTCGACTCGAGCGACCCAATTTCAACTCCGGTTAAGGCTCCCTTAGACCGTGCTACCAGTTTAATTCTCCCGACTGATCAATTCCTCTACCGTGCAGTTCACTAACCACATGTTCGAACTTTTGAATTTCGCCACTTTGGCGGCGTGTCCACGGATACTCGCAGCATGCATCATGACGGTGGAGTAGTTTGCCTTCTTTTCCAGGAGGTCGTAGAACTTGGGCCCCCAGGGGAAGATGTTTGTGTCGAGCGGTTGGACGTTCACGTGCACGGGTTTATCTTGTCGGAGAAGGTGATTCATCACGTCCTGATCTGCCAGAAGCCTCCCCCTTTTTAGGTCATCTTTCATGGATTTAATCCAAGCCTTGACGAACTTTATGGAAACGTCGGTGGGTTTGAAATAAGCAAAACCAGTGCAGTAGTGCGATTTTTCAGTTCGGTTCGGATAAGGGGATCTCGGGTCGATCATAGACATGTCGAAGTTGCCTTCGAAGTACGGGAAGGGATCTCGGAACCAGAACGTGTCGACATCGGTGAATAGAACCTCGTAGCCTCGTTCAAGGAAAGCCAGGATGTATTCTTGGCGCTTGTTGAAGAGGGCATAGTACGGGCGTCGCTGGGAGCGAAGTATCTCCTTCTCAGTCGTGCCTCCAGAGTTGGTCAGCATCACGTGCACTGCCGGGTCATCCTCGGCTCTCTTGCTCAAATAATGGTAACACTTCTGGTCCTCTGCAACGATGGTAGTATTCACACAGACACCGATCCGTTTAATGCTTTCCAGCATGTTCAATGTTACATCCAGGAAGCCAAGGTTTGTCGAGGTTAACATGACTACACCAGGCCTCGACTTGACGTCATATATGCTGCAGTTGGAGAGGGGCCCGCGCGTTTGATTGACGCTTCTGGTGGAATTAATCGAGTGCGAAACGGCTTTAATGTGTAACTCCTGCCTGTGTTTGTCTTGGCACGTGCAATCATTGGACAACCTTGAAAGTGGACGAACAGCGTGGTCGTCTTGGGATAAATCTGTAAAATGAAAATGACTTTATCATTAACAATACAAGGCAATCCCAGTCAAGCAGGCAGGATTTAGAATGGTATCACTGTCGTTTCATGGATCTGGTCCACACTGGGCCAGAATGAGCTCCTTCGTTGGGGGCCTTATCCCATACGATAGCACTGCTGTCTTTCTTCACCATGTCAACAACAAGACTAAGCTACAAGTGAGTGAATCAGTCTAGCGTTAGTGAGATGGGTTTTTGAGTAAAAAAAACCACGAAACCCAAATGTCGGGACTATTGTTTTAGTGAAGTTCTGCATGTAGCACTTACAAGATCCAGGATATGTGCGTTCTTTCAGCAAAACGAAGACAATTCACACACATCCCTATGTGATTTGTTTTCGTTTTGCTGAAAGAACACTTACCTTTTTTTGTGATCCGTGGACAGAACTTTAAAATGGTGCTTGTGTTTAAAAGTCCGTCACTTGAAAAATACATTAGTGATTTGAATGATTTTTGTACTAAAAGAAAGCTTATGAATTGAGCTTTCATATCCGAGATTTTGAAAGTGTTACATTTTGAACTTCACTAAAAATAATGATCCCGATACGTGGGTTTCGTTTTTTTGACTCACTCTGAACAGGCTGGCCTTCCGGGTCCAGTTAAAAAGCATAAGGTCTCAAAAGACATCTCCGTACAGATTTAGCAATGAATACATGTCTTCCTTTATTCAGCCTAACTATCCCGGATATCATATTTTAGGGAAAAGGAACTTGTTTTCACTTACAGATGATGAAGGCGATGAAAGCAAGTGACTGCATGCCGAACAGAATCTTGAAGACGTTGTCTGAGGCCGCCATAATGTCATTACCTGAAGTTGGGAAGCATTACCAAAAAAACATCAATCTATAGGCAATTTGTTTAGACGTCGAAATTTGAATTCCTCGTACTTATAATTATGCTTTCAAATAGAGTACATATTGTTAAATAGTACAAAGGAATATTTTCGATGTCATAACAATTATGGCTCTTTTTGACCATAGCAAAAAGATAGTAATGAAGATATATATCCCTCTTATTTTTGTTCCATTAATGGCAAATGTTATTGCCAACCACGGTTTCAGATTCTTGCTGTTTGCCCCTGGAAAATGGCGCCCAGCATTGCACAACAAAACAACAGCCTCACTTGTGACTTGCCGTCGTAAAGGTCTTGAAAGACAGAGAGAAAGCAACAATAATAATTGTGAAATTCACTCGAAGGGAACTTTTGAAAAGACAATAATTATACTCACATGTGAAGTGCCTTCGGTGTGCAGTACAAAAGGGACGGTAAAATTAAATCCTGTCATACACGACTGTATGTGTCGATATAACAATAATTTTGTTGGCTATGCTAAACGTAATATCAACCGTGGCAAGGCCATGACCATAATGACGCAAGTTCAGTGCAGTGCTTCGCTTCTTCGTTCGTCCCCAGCGCCCTGTCCACTAGAGGCGACCCTGACTTCTCTTAAACAAATTACTTAGTGTGAAGGAAACGCAAAGCATTGGGGGTAGTAGCCAACATGCACGCCGCATTCAGCGAGCAAATGATGTGCGCAGGGGCCCTGACCCGGGGTCAGGGGTCAGACAAATTTTATCTAATGAGGGCTCAAAGAAATTAGCCGGCACCGTGCTTCCCTGCGAGTGTGGCGGGTTCGAGCGCAGTTTGCTCTTTGGAATGGACTAGTTAATATTTGATCAGGTTTGAATATGCCAAATGTAACCCCATAGACATTATGTACTCTCGCAATACATTCACAAGCACAAAGACATGTAATATATAGGCTACTCGCGTACACTGCAGAGTTTCTGAGCGATCCAATGAAAAGGACAACACAAATATGCTCAAAAGAAAAATCAGGGAATTTACACAATACCAGTGGTGATTTTATTCCGTCTTCCAAGAACATCTTCCAAATGTACACTAGGAATTACTTGCAGAAAAAAGGAACTGCATGTTTCAACAGCTACGTATGATGCTAAAATGTTATAAATCACAAATTACAAATTTCAGACCGAAAATATACAAACACAAGAAGACTAATCGAATGTCCCTGCAAATGGAAGCATATTCAACTCTGCCCGATGCTTAGAAACACTGCGTTTGACGTTTTAAAATTTAACATTCGTAAAAAATAGATTATAAGAACCACATTGATATTTAAGTTGTGTTCCCAATGCTCTTCAACAAATTCGATCTTATTTCTAGTAATACATGTTCAACTTGTATGTTTTTTGTTTTATTCCCACGTTCCAAAAAAACAAGGCTCCTTCCCCCTTTTGTTGGACTTCTTCAACCCTCTGAAAAAGGTTGTATTTGTGTTTGTTTTGGAAACAAATTGAACATGCAGATTCGCCTTTCGAGCAGACTGACCCCTGGTCCGTACATTAATCAGCCTACCCCGCGAGAACGGAACTATTGTCCGGCAGCCAAAAATTCCAAATAGTAAAGTAATGTTAAATAAGTTAAAATAACTAAACATTGACCGATTTTTTTCCGTCGATGTCTCATTCAAAAGTGAATAGATTTTGTATTGCTAGAAAAAAATAGCAATTAAGAAAAGGAATCTATTTTTCGAGATGAAAGTCGAAAATACCACTGGGAACGCACATGAAAGAAGACAAGGCTTAGCATCTTTAAGGAAAACCCATCACATTCAACTATACGTCCCGGCCAGATTTGAGCGGCAATCTGGGCCAAATATGACCTGATACTTTCCATGGTCAGAATGTCATCTTTACGGGTAAAAATCAATGACATTTCTCCAGATAACTTTCCGGTTCATTTTGACCAGGAAACCTTGGCAAAAGTGTGTCTTTTTGACCGAGAAAAGTGTAATTTTCACATTGAAAAGTAAAAGGTGAAATATGACCTGGATTCCGGGTCCAATCTGACAGGATAAGAGTGTGTATTATAATATTCACATACCGCACTGTTTTCACACATTATTACACAAGTGTGGAAATCTATTTATTATATCACTTACTATATGGCCTTCCACTTAAAAGCTAATTATTTTACCACCAAGACTGGGTAATTTTAGGTATGCCTTGGTACCAAAACCAAAATCTGTAATTAGTTTGTTCGTTTGGTGTCCAACTTGAAATAATAACTTGATGCAATATTTACCTCTCGTCGGATAATAGTGCCCACCTCAACTGTTTTTCTATTGATTTAGTTAAAAAATAACGCTAATTGAAGCTGTTGCTAATTATGAAATTATATTAACAACCTTATTTCCAATGTAACATTTCAGTATAGTTTACACATGTTCATTGAGTGTAAACACATTCATGTTTTTGCAAACGGAATGGCATAGTGCCTCTTTCGACATCCGCTATATGCAATGCAATCAGACGTCATATACGATTATCCGCCAAACAACAAGCATTTTGCTTGGGGTACGAGTTCGTCTCCCTTCCAAAAGCTATAAGCCGCCTTCCAAAAAAAAATACCAGGTTTATGAGTTACTTTCTTGTATAAAGTGAACTGGCGACACTTAATGCAGTGGTTTAGGTATATTTCTCACACTTGACTGCTAATTGACACCAATTTCATTTGCATCGTCATTCCTTTTGTCATCGTTCACACCCAACCAGCTTTCACACAAAGCTGTAGTTCACTTTACACACTGCATGCAGAGCCTCCTTCTAGCCTTTGAGTGTGTGTTGGGACATTAGCGGCCTAATTATACCCCACTATGGTTTCGATGAAAGAAAAACATGAGAAATGCAACCAAAGACTAACTATTTATTTTATGAATGGTAGAGGAAAACATCGCTGGGTGATCTTTCCCCAGATACAGACGCCTTGGCCTCTTACCGATATGGCCGTCAGGAGCTACTGGTGTGCCGTTTTTACTTATTCTTATATAAGAATAATATATAAAAGACGGATAATCTGTGATTGTGGACCATTATTATTATCAAGGATATGTAAACCTGGTTTACAGTTTAATATTCGGACTGAAAGTGTGCGGTGGATGATCTGATAGTTATTATTTTTTTATTGGGATATTAATTTGAATAATTATTCCATCGTGTGAAGCAAGTGATCAATCAAGTTATCTTTCCACCCTATGTATATGTATCCTATATACGCTGGGGGTGGGATCAGAGAAAGGGCCTGATTAAATATAAGGAAAGCAAAAAATAAGGAAATTAGAACCATAGATATAAAAAGGGACGCCCTTATGGTAAAATATGATACAAGTTATGGTTAAATGTTGCTTATGATCTAATACAATTCCTACAGCTACATTAAATTTGTCCCTTCGAACGTTTACTTTTTCACGCTTTATTTCAAGCAGGTTAATACCAACAAGCTGACGAGCAGGACACTGATGGAAGACTGAACTACGGAGCTAGCTCCAGCTGAACGGAGGAGATTAAAAAAGAGAAATCAAATGGTTGGTAAACAAACACTTGGTTTACACCAACAAACCAACCAATTGCCTCATTAGATAATCGGCGGCTGAGTCATGTAAGGCGAACAGGCTGTGAGCCGTTTTTGTCTTGCAAAAATGGGGGTGGTGATGGTCCCTCCTCAACAAAATGCACAAAAATGAAAAAAGCTACACTGCATGCAATTATTACCTGACGGTGAGCAGTTTAGGTACAATTTTGTAAATGCCCGATATTTGCAATTCTCTTCACCTTTGGCCTTGATTCATACGCATATACTCGCAGCAGGTACACATAAGGCCAGTTGGCAACGACGGCAAGAAACTCGTTTGGCTATAGACCAATGCAGGCACGCTCTATCGCAGAGGCCCCCTTCAATGGCCAAAGCACTGTGCTAGCTATTGTTCAAATAATCCTTCATGGAGGAGATGTTTTGCAGAATATCGTGCACAATTTTTGTTTTTTGCGTTGGAGTAGAAACACTAATGTGGCATGGTGCCTGATCTATAGGCTCACTGAGACCTCGCATTAAAACCTATGAACTATAATAACATTAATCGATTAAATATGATCTGATTGTCTTACCCACGGCGCACAAAAGGAGAACGTACATTGAATCAGTGCAGTCGTGTTGGTACCATTCTCCCCGATCGCACTGGTCCAAGGTCTCCTCGTCTCCCTTACAAGACACACCACTTAGAAACATCGGTCCACTATCCATATAGGTTACTGTCTGTGCATAAGAATACAAGCAATATTAATTTGTGGTAATTCCGACCTAGGGGTGAATGATGGTCTACTTCTTTGTATAACTGTCCGTTTAGTCTCACCAAAAGCACGCTATTCGACAATAATGGCACGTCTCCTCTGATCTCCATTGGAAAATCTGGATAGCCCATCGCATTGGCTGTTGGCCTTGGGGAGTGATGTCCCCGTCCGTCCGAGTTGCATAGCGGTCCCATAACATCTTTCCACGAAATGATTTTTAGTTTTCAAGTTACACAAATCTAACCATCAATACTTTGTTCTTTTTTTTTTTGTATTTTGTAATACAACTGTCTTTTTCCAAACGAAACTTGTTTCATAAAGGGCCCTTATTCTATGTTATTGTATTATATACGATGGGAGTGGTACAAACTGGTTCCAACCCCACATTCGAATCGGGAGACCGCAAACCGTACCGGCGCGTATTTTTTTAACAGTGCGCAATGGCGAACGAGATCAGTGCAGTATGTGTTCTAGTTCTATACCTATAGGATTGTCGTATTGCTGGTTATCAACAGCCGCATGCATAATCACGATGCAGAGCAGGGAGCCAGGACAGTTGGGTTTTATGATGACATCCGAGCACAGAACGAAATAATTATCGACGAGGGTCAAATTGCAAGCGGCAAAAGACACCACAACGTAGCGCATTACATACACTCTTAAAACTCAGGGTCAGATCACGACCCGCAACCCGGGTCCTATTTGACCTGATACCTTTTAGGGGCAAACTGATACCTTTGCAAAGGTCAGAATGACCCGAAAATGATCAGAGATCATTAATCCCTGGCTCACTATCCGGGTCATCGTGACCCGAAAACTTTGGCCAAGTTATCATTTTGACCCTGAAAAGCGTCATGTGGTCTGGGGTTACATTTCCGGGTGAAATCTAACCAGGACGTTTTAGAGGATAGTACAAAATAACTATCGTTGATGGTCAGAATTATAATGCGACAAAAAGACACCGCAACGAGGCCATTGTAGAAAAGGTTACTAGCCCCCAGAAAGACGCAGAATCGCTACAATAGAGCATGCAAGTTGACTTCCAAAACCTGAGAGATTTACGGGAATACAGTACATCCGCATTCCGGACACCATGTATAGGATCTACAACTTGTGTAACGTCCTTTTTTTGCATGTTTTATTTATTTCCTGACTGGGCTTACCCAGTCACGGTTAAAAGTTCTGAGGTTCTGTGAAAGAAAAGAAACTCCGTTGCAATTTAAAACATAGCATGTGCATTTCAAATATTGCAAATTGGTGACTATAATAAAATGAACATTTTTTAACCTAAAGTGAGGCTACGTTTAATCAATCACAAAGACTGAACAATTGGGTAATTTCTGACACGGAAGTCTGTGACTATAGACTATACTCAGTGTTTACTGAGACCTTCACATGAAAAGTGAACGTGAACTGGCGAGACTTGCACGCTCTATTACGAGACTTGAAATTATTCAAAACCAGCTGTCAAATATTTACCGATAACGGCGGTCCGAATCCAAGCTCTCTGCAGACGACCTCGGAGTTTGCCTCAGTCCAGCCCTCTGAACAAACAGCTCCCCAACGACCGTCGTGATAGATTAACACGGTGCCAATCTCCTTCTCCAAATTACTTAAAAGTCTCGCAGGGTGGCGGGACTCTGTGTGAGGCAACAGTGAAAAAGAAATCGGAATACTGATTGTTTTAAATTATTTATTCAAGTTGTATTCGTGCAATTCATGCTTTCATCATCTCCACTATCTATTTAGTGGGGTAACTTGACGATGTAGATGTCAAGAAATACCTGCACGTTTAGTGCACAAAGTGAAAAGTGAGCTTAAGAAACGAACTGGCGGCACACGGCCTTATCGGTGCACGGTACCTGGAATTGGACCGCTGCAAATGACGTTCACTTCGTAAGTGTCCGACTCGCTCAAGCAGTCCTTATCTGGCTCCTTGAAACCAGTGTAACACTGTACAAGCGACGATTCGCCTCCGGCACAACTGATATAGTCGCCCATCATCACGGGTCCGGAACCCCGGCCGAAGCGGCCGTCGGAGGGTGTGTCAAGACCGTAGCCAAGCCCCAGCTGCTTGCAGATCACATTACTCCCTCGCCAGGCGAAGTTGTAATTATCCTTCTCTTGACAGACACTACCCCAGGTCCCGTTGAGGTGGACCTCCAGACGGCCCTCATTGGGGTTGGTACCATTCACTAGTCGTACCTGGAAATCGTCGGGCTCTTCGAGAAAATGAAGAAAAATGGTGTGGGCAAATCAGGATGGACTTTTTTTCGCATTGATGCATAAAGGGTTTTTCTCCAAAAAAATCGTCTGGACGCACCCAAAAACCTTTAGTTTCCGTGTCAGAGACGAACGACTTGTAGTAGGCACTCTGTAACACTTTTTTACAGGAAGCTTGGGTGAAAATGTCTTTTTTTTAAATACCTGTAATGAGCACTTTGTTAAGAATGAAACGTTAAATGATTTTCACGTTATTTGTTGCTTCATCTTACAAAATTTGAAGATGAGAAAACTACGGATACTCACTACTTTGAGCCAAGAACAAAAATGAAACGCCTTAAATTACCTTTGATTTTATTACAGATGACTCCGGCCTGGTTCCCAGTCGGACATTCATCCTGGAACCAAGCCTTGGCGGGACACTGAAGGATGTGGCTCTCATTACCAGTACAGGCAAAGTCGGTGGCCAGATACGATTCGTAAGTGGCAACTGACGTGGGGGTCGGTTTTGCGAAGTAGGATCCAGTGATGGCGCGGTGTGCCGAGTGGAAGCCTTTCTGGCGGCAGATAACATCAGCGTCGGCGATATCCCAGCCGTGGTCGCACACCATAAAACGATAATTGTCATATTTGACGACATCAAGTTTGAGCAGTGCTAGCCCCTCGCTATCGGGAATTATGCTGCCGCCGCTTAAATGCACGTCGCCAATGGAATCAGGATCTGTGTGGTTTCCATTCAGATTGGTAATAGGGGCTAGACGTTGTTATGGTTTGATACGCGATAACCCGCCGCCGCGATATATAACCTGCCGCCGCGAAATATAACCCGCTGTCGCGATATATAGCCCGCCACCGCGATATATAACCCGCCGCCGCGATATATAACCCGCCACCGCGATATATAACCCGCCGCCGCGATATATAACCCGCCGCCGCGATATATAACCTGCCGCCGCGAAATATAACCCGCTGTCGCGATATATAGCCCGCCACCGCGATATATAACCCGCCGCCGCGATATATAACCCGCCACCGCGATATATAACCCGCCGCCGCGATATATAACCCGCCGCCGCGATATATAACCCGCCGCCGCGATATATAACCCGCCGCCGCGATATATAACCCGCCGCCGCGATATATAACCCGCCACCGCGATATATAACCCGCTGTCACGATAACCCGCCGCCGCGATATATAACCCGCCACCGCGATATATAACCCGCCACCGCGATATATAACCCGCCGCCGCGATATATAACCCGCCGCCGCGATATATTACCCGCCACCGCGATATATAACCCGCCGCCGCGATATATAACCCGCTGTCACGATAACCCGCCACTGCGATATATGACCCGCCGCCGCGATATATAACCCGCTATCACGATAACCCGCCACTGCGATATATGACTCGCCGCCGCGATATATAACCGGCCGCCGTGATATATAACCCGCCACCGCGATATATAACCCGCCACCGCGATATATAACCCGCCGCCGCGATATATAACCCGCCACCGCGATTTATAACCCGCCACCGCGATATATAACCCGCCGCCGCGATATATAACCCGCCGCCGCGATATATAACCCGCCACCGCGATATATAACCCGCCACCGCGATATATAACCCGCCGCCGCGATATATAACCCGCTGTCACGATAACCCGCCGCCGCGATATATAACCCGCCACCGCGATATATAACCCGCCGCCGCGATATATAACCCGCTGTCACGATAACCCGCCACTGCGATATATGACCCGCCGCCGCGATATATAACCCGCTATCACGATAACCCGCCACTGCGATATATGACTCGCCGCCGCGATATATAACCGGCCGCCGTGATATATAACCCGCCACCGCGATATATAACCCGCCACCGCGATATATAACCCGCCGCCGCGATATATAACCCGCCGCCGCGATATATTACCCGCCGCCGCGATATATAACCCGCCGCCGCGATATATAACCTGCCGCTGCGATATATATATATCCCGTCGCCGCGATATATAACCCGCTGTCACGATAACCCGCCACTGCGATATATGACCCGCCGCCGCGATATATAACCCGCCGCCGCGATATATAACCTGCCGCCAACCTCGTCCCCAGTGCTTACTTTATTTCCAACCTCGTTTCCAATATTAAGCCCTGCCTGGATAGGAAACTTTCTTCCTGTATCCTGATTCGATACAGATATTGGTTAGTAATGGATTTATATCGTGTAGTTGGTGTTGTTATTTCCAGCGTGCATTACGTGTTTTCACGATCATTGTAATTATAACGTCAATGCCTTCTCAAAAATACTATTTTCCTTTCCAATTTGCTCATATTAATATGAAATGTGATACTGCATATTGGCGGGATAAGATTGTAACATTTTAACTTCGGAAACAATCGTGTTTGCGTAACTCACGGCGCGACGAATTGATTGTGTTTTTGATCCAATGCAAATTAGGCCATCAGCCTCGGTCCAAAATTGTGGCCACCGTTATTAAATGAGGGGAATAATCGTCAAAGCGATTTTTGGCAAGGTATACACCTTCGGAGTTGGAAAATATGTGATAGCATTGCAACAGTGGCAGCTTTTTGGGTGTTATCACCCTTTTTTCAAAATGTTCATCAAAATGCTTGTTACTACTCTATACCTTGAGCATGCTAATTATAAAGATTTTTGCCCTGATTTGATACTGACCAAACCCCCAGGCTGATGGCCTAAATGATCCAATACCAGGGTGAGAGAGCAGGAGGTGGTGGGCGCGTACTGCTCGACACCCTGGGGACGAGGTTGCGTCTACGCCAATTCCTATTACATGTAGTTGTGTAATGCGCACACCTGTTTGGCGTAATATTTGCAGCGCGCAATTCAACAAATTCATAGTAGTTCCGAAGCAAACTCTCAAATTTTTTCAGTGGTATAAAAGCTGCAGCAAGACTTTTGTGCAACTTCACTGGTCAGCTCTTTTGTTGTGTGTACAATGTAGTATGTGTGGGACAGAAAATGGACCGTAATTGCCTGCAGAAGTCACGCATGCGCACTGGTTTCCCCAATTTTTCAGGGAGAGATTTTAGGAAATGTCCTAGACGTTGCTACTGACAAGTCCGTGGGCGATATTGATCGCGATAGCGCCCTCTCGCGGCGTCCGGTTATCGCGGCGGCTCGTTATCGCGTATCAAACCATAACAACGTGTAGCCCCTATACTAGATTGGTAAAAGAGAAAAGAACACCGTGTATAGCTAGGTCTCCATCGAATATAGCACCAAGCCTATAACAGAACCCAACCCAACCCAACCCACCTCTGAAGCCAAACCTGAACCTATCCCAACCCAGAGCCCAACCCAACCCAACCCAACCCAACCCAATCCAACCCTAAACCAACACAACCCAACACAACCCACGCAGCCCAACCCAAAACAACATAACACAACACAACCCAATACAGCCCATACAAGTGTATTTTTGCCTGCGATCGGTTTGTCCCTTTTTTGGTTGGTACTCTACCTTTTTAGGAAGACCTCCTATATAATTTATACACGATCGTAAATTGGAGACCTTCGGGAAATTGGGGACCCTATTGTCCTCTATTGTTCAACGTCCCTTATTGAATACAGGAACAAACTCAATCCAATCCAACCCAACCCAACCCAACCCTATACCCAACGAACATTTCATTATGCAGCACCAGGAATGGAATAAACCTCATCAAATAAAGATCAGCCCATCCTTGGAAAATATCAAATCACAACTTAAAACACACTTGTTTAATGCTTTCACAAGCGCATAGAGACATTTCTTGTGTATATTGCGCTATATAAGAATTGTTTATTATTATTATGATCATCATCATGATCGTCATCATCATCATCCCCTCTACTCATTTCATTAAAAGGAAATCCCACATAATTGTTTTCCCCAGAAAATGAGGCAATTTAAAAAACTTTACAGAAAACAGGGTCCTTGCCGAATAAATATTCAAATTTTGTCCTTCCACATAATGACAAAAGGGAAAAATTTCATGAATAAATTTCAATCTTTACAATTAAAACTTAAAAGTGCTTCCAAAGAAGCCTAAAAAATTGGAAATCAGTTTGGAACTAAATTTGGCTTTGTAGCTTTGCCCTATAAAAAATGGGTTTTGATTAAAAATGGAACCTAAAATGTATGTTATTGGAGGAGACTGTGTGGTACAAGGGTCATATTGAGCCAAACCACAAAATTACCACGTCCACATATTAACAAAAACCACAAAATGACCACAAACATATTGGCAATCCACATAATAACCACATATGTGGTCATTATGTGGATATCAGGGAATTTGTCCTTCCACAAAATGAATCTCTTAACTGCACAACCCTATGTGAATGGAAATTAATCCCCCCCCCATCCCCGTCATGATCATCATGATTCAGCATGATCAGCATGATCAGCATGATCAGCATCATGATCAGCATCATGATCATCAATCATGATCAGCATGATCAGCATGATCAGCATCATCAGCATCATCATCATCATCATCATCATCATCATCATTATTATTATCATTACCCAACCCAACCCATAAAGATGTTGCTAGGCATTGCCGCTACCTTTACACACTAAAATGAATTTCGTACTGAGATACTCAAGAGTCTGTTGTTGCGGTCGATGCACAGACAAGTTAAATTTTATCAAGATATTTCTAGGCATTGCCGTTACCTTTACAAACTAAATTTCAAGACAAGACAAACCTTTCCATTCGTCCTGGTCCAAGCACTTCACTGCAGCGGCATGACCGGCATCCGCACACTGGTGCTCCATCCATCCGTCGTTTGCGCACTCGTCCAGTCTGGTCTCCGACCCCTTACACCTTACGTTACTCAGCCAGACCGGTCCCGTCCCGTTGCCTGCATCATGCTTCCATCCGTACTTGGCAAGCCATGGGAATCCGAGTTGCTTGCATACCACCAAGGCGTCAAAGAAGCCCCAACCATCCCTGCAGACAGTGCCCCATTGACCGTTGTTCAGGACCTCGACTCGGCCCTGTTTGCCGCCGACATTCGATAGGCGAACATCATGATCTGAAAATGTACATAGCTCTTTAATACTGATTGGTCCCGTTGTAGATCTCAGCCTTAGAACACAGACGGCTTGTTTTAACAGAGAAAATGCAAAAGTTACACACTCTTACAAAAAATATTTGCTGGAATTTATTGTTTCCAAAATGTGTACATGTATATATAAACCACATTTCTACGGTCTGAGTAACAGGGAAGTTGGCCACATAATGTCTTACATTGACGTGGCATTTTCTTTTTTTTTTTGCCTTGCCTAATGGGGCGGATGTAACTTTCAGAAAATGGGGGGGGGGGGGGGGGGAGGTGTATGAAGAGTTGGTAGGCGTGTGAGGCCGTGCCGAAGGCGCGCTCTTCTAGGGAGGACATTTTGAAATGCATACGATGTTTTCTCCTGCATACATGCAAGGCAATTGAGAAATTAAGCACTTTTACATTCCATTTTTTTGCTCAATTTTACAGCGGGTGCGAAATCAACTTGGCGGATCCGGGGGGGGGCCAAAGGGGGCCATGCCCCCCCCCCCCCCCCCCCCAAAAAAAAACGATTTTTTTTTTTTTTTTTTTTTTTTTTTTTTTAGATGACTTCGCAATAAAGGCAGGCAATGAGTACACCACCGTCTTTTCCTCAGAAATTCTTTTTCAGAAAATTGCCTCAGATCGCACCACAGAGCATCTAGAATCAAAAAAATGTTTCGGGGCCCTTTAGTGGGCCCCGAACCCCACACCGTAATTTGTTGGGACACACTTTTGGGGGATTACATTTTTATACCTCCCCCCCCCAATTATGTTTTGGGTCCGCCCTTGTGCGAACTCCCCCCCCCCCCCCCCCATCCGCCATTGCCCGAACGTACAGCAATGCCGGCAGTGACTAAAGACACCATAGATTTATAATGAGCAAACGCTGTTAACGTCAGACTGGCGCGCAACATGCCGATCTGATACAAAATGTCAGGTCGGCTGTCATCATTATATATAATGACGACAGCACGTGTGTTTTGAGCAATGTTTACGCAAAGAACATAAATGAATGACTTGATTCAAGACCAGCGCTCCTACGGTTAGATTGATGAGCACCTAAATTTATTGTGTGGCCCCAAAACAGAACTTTCAAGGTAAAGTTGTGTGTACGATCTTAACACTTTCTACTAATCTTTCTAATTACATGACTTGTATTAATGTAATGATAACTTCGTCGCAAGGACTTCGTTTAAATAAAGTATGACTTGAACTATTAGGTCTAACCGGTCTACCACAAGCACTTATTTATGTCTGCATAATGGCATTGCCTCAATTCCAATTGAATCCAATATTGGATGTAGAATACCTTCTGACTTCCAGTGTGCGAGGCGTGGGTCAGGGAAGGTATATGCGTAGGCCTACATTGTGTTATGTAAAATAATGATTTCCGTGGAGTGCTTCCACTAATGTGTTCATGACGTTAGGTTTAAGGTCACGGTTAACAAAATAATATTGTACAGAACCAATGGGTACGTTCTCCCACCCGCTTCCAAAAGTTAACCCATAGATCTACGGGCCAATTACCCGAGAATATACCTGTCGATTTTATCAGAAAATCCTTGCTGAATGTTACGGTGAAGAAAGGACTGATACCAACATAACAAGTAAAATCATTCGGCCTGAAATGGTGTCATTCCGAAGAAAAGAATTGTTTCAAAAACGTGTGCCACCGGGGAACACGTTTTAAGTTTTGACGAGAAAAAGACATAACTTGAATCTTTGAATCTCTAGAAACGGAATCCACTCACAGTACCAAATAATTTGCATAGGGTTTCGATGTTATGGAATGCTGAAACTTCAACGGGTTAGTTGTAATGCATCCTTCTGAAGATTTGAGCAAGAGTTTGCAGCTTCAAATGAAAACTTGAAAGAAAAATCATGCCATCCTGTGTTTTTTTTTAAGAAGGTTAGAGATTCGAGAAGCATTGAGTGACACGAGATTGAAAAGGATCCTGTTCAAACCAACAACGACTTAAGAAAAAAGGGAAGACAGTCGAAGACATGAAAACCCTAACGCATGAACCATACCTTGAAAATCACATCTGAAATCACTAAACAGGATCAACTTTTGGGTCGCAAAAGTGGACCCCGAATTAACTGCAGAGTCGTTCTCGCACGCGTATTACAGGAATAACAAAAACGCCCAGTTTTTTTTAAAGAATAGTTGTGTGGATGTTTATATCCTACTTTTAAATGTTCTTTCCGATCAACATCATTTCGTTCAAAGTGCGTACGGTAGCCCAATTGGGCTGTTCCAGGACGCTGTGTCCCTCTAATTGCTTCATAAAATAAATTATGGGTGGCCATATGCATTTGGTATCAAAATGTTAAGATGTGGCTACAGGCTAGACTACGTATGTGGGTTTGGTTAAATAATCACACAAGATGGTGATATATAGACCAGGGGCGTCGCAAGGGGGTACTTGCCCCCCCCCCCCCCCCCCCCGGCAAACAAACAAAAAAGGAAAAAGAGGTGCGAAGCCATATTGCTGTTAATTTGATGGGGGAGGTAGGGCAAATGATCCCCTGCTCATCACGCTCGGAAAAATGATGAATTGAGAATATAATGAAAAAGTTAAGGAACAAAAATTGCTTTGCCCCCCCCCCCCCCTGGAAAAAAACATCTTGTCGACGCCCATGATATAGACAGCTAAAATTTCTCCAAGCCTTACGTATCCCATGCGCATATACCATATCTGGCTGGTCCCTAATTTACTCACATGCATGTGATGAGACATTAAGGGACCGGATTTAATTCACAGAAGCCTTCCAAATTTCAAATGATACTGGCCCTCACTCAGATCAGCAGCCTATCCCGCCCTGCTTTATTTAAGAAATTTCTTGATTTGTTTTGTATTAAGAAATTTCTTGATTTGTTTTGTATATACTCCATGCATGAAGCTTCGAAATGCATATGGTGGTGGATAAAACTCTATCAACATACCTTGTGCGACTGCTGTGGCTAAAAACACGAACAAGATGGTCGTGGTGAGCATTTTCATACATGTAGTATGAATGATCTGGATGAGAAAGACGTGCGCTGTGTACGTATTCAAGTAAAGAGTATGTGTGACGTGACTGTACACAGAATAATGAGAATACCATCACCATGCTTAACTATGCATCCACTCCGCCCAGCGGTGTATTATGCGCAGCTAGCACGACCGCATGCAGGACTGCGACAAATCAAATGGACGAACAAGCCAAATTATGCACCGTTCATGTATATGAACTTGGCATGCATGGGCCGGGAGAAGGCGTAAAGGCGCCGGGGAGGGTTTGGATAATGAGCATGACCCCGGGACCCCTCCACCAGAGCGGAGCCGTTGTGCGTGTGTAAAGTAAGGCCACCAAGCACATAGCCACGGTAGCCATATCGCCAAGATGATCGATATGGTCGGCGGCTAAAACACTCATGCCGCGCGCTATGCACTCAGGGTGCAGCACCCCAGTATAAAATTTCCCATAGATCCCATACTTCTTTTAAAAATACTCAGAACTCTCACACGTGGTGCGTCACCGCACCACTTTTTGGGCAAGCTCCATACCAGAAACCGGAGACTTTTTTTTTTTGGCCTTATTAAAACGACTGAATTTTGTTTCCAGAAAGTGACTGGAAAAGTAGCCATTTTGAAAAAGGATCCCTCCTCGAATAATAGCGCCACTTTTGGACACAATTGCAGAGGACCTAAAATGGCCAGAATTGAGTTCGCCCGTACCCCCCGCCCTGCAAACAGGGCGCTGGGAAGGGCAGATGAGCTTCACAGAATCTTGTGAAGGAAGTGGGGATGGCATTGTCGGTAATTTATCATGACCTATGTATAAAGCATCTGGCTGCAGCTGTTGACCGCGGTTAGCCAATGCAAGCAAATACTATCCGAAAAGTTTTCCATAGAAATGCATACACACCATACCGGATGTGATTTCTTTTCATTGCGGACCATGTGGATACAATTTTGAGCGTCGAATCATATGCATTTCGTCGACCCTACGGTGAATTCAAAACGGAGCCTGAACAACTGACGGGAGTTAAAATTTACAAAACAGATAAGTTTTACAGATTTTCCTTCATTATTATGCTTTTCAACCAAAAAAGGGCGCCACATTTATGAATGGGAATAAAAGAGTGATCATGAGTGACTCAGTCTTAACGGCCGTTTCAAACCTTGCAGGGTCATGGTCGAGATGACGTGTAGGTCACAGGTCACGCAAAATCTATCCAATCAGAGCGTAATTCGTCAGCCCTTCCCAGCGTCCTGTTTGCAGGGCGAGGGGTACGAGCGAAAGAATTGAGTCCCAAGTCCACTCAGGCCAGAGGTACAGTGCCATAATATTGTGGCGCAAATTACTATAGCAGCGTAGTCTAGAGAGGGCGCGCTCGCGGCTGTGGGCCCTATATAAGGCCCCGGGGCAGTTGCGAGACAGACTCAGCTCAGGTAGACACAGCTCAGACACACACGGTCACAAATTAGGCTTATCTCAGACACAACCTTCCGAGCGTACGCCGAGATCATCTACGGGGAAGAGACGGTAGGCAAATTAGCTTGCGCGCGCTGACGGGCGTGTGCTGGGTGGTGCGGTGAAGTCGGGCTGGCATAAGGAGGCACGGAGTCCGCGGAGGCTACTGGAGGCGGAGCGACATACAGCGATCTGCCGATTGTAACGTGACGGAGCCGGAAGGGCGCGCTCATCTACCCGCCGCCTCGAGGAAGGCTCGCGACTGGAAACGGTGGAGGGCGGGAGAGTGGAGGCGCACAGGAACGCTAGAGGCGTATGGTTCTTACCCGGGATTCAGAGGCTATCCCCAGCCAGGCATCGCCGTGCTGCCCAGCACTGCCTTACCGTAGCGGCTAATGCGAGGCTACCCCTACAGAGATAATTGAGAGGCTCGGAGACCAATCACTTATTAGCGGCTAACATTATAATTTAACGAGAGGTCCATCATATGACATTGATTCTGTGTAAATAAATCAAGCAGTAATTGAGGTCATTGACTGTTGTGTACTTAATTGTCTGTCCTTGTCCATCTTTGAGGTTGAGGGGCGTGGGTGAGTGCTGCTACGCGTATAGGGCGGTATATTTCCATCCAAACGGGCCTGCATTCCCGGCTGCTGGGGTATTGATCCTAAGCTAGGTTGTCTGGGTAAAGGGACTACGGATCGGGTCACAGATATTCCCGCCACAATATCTTCGTTTCCCCATCAGAATATAATTGAGTGAATAGCTTTAATTTTCATGATATCGGCGGACTTTTGGCCTATACCATAATGTTAGACTGATATGTTTTGACAAATGATCGACTCAATCATATTAATTGACATACCGGCTTAAAAAAGATCTAAAATCTGATCTCAGATGTTTCGTTCCAAATGATTTAGTTGGTGCAATTTTATTGTGGGGAACTATCATGGGGGACTCACGTCACCTGACGAATGGGGACGCTGTTGGACTGGATACAATTATTATTCGTCCGTACGCGGTAAAATACAGCGCGAACAGCGCCCTCATGCGGCCACTATTTTATGCAAATCATTTGGGTCCAGACGAACGCCTTGGTCCAATCGTCCGCGAGCGCGAAAGCTTATGTTTTTCTTTATTTTGTGCCAGATTTCCAGCGCACGACCTGATATGCGAATACAGATAAGTGAAGGCGGGGCTAAAATGTGGAGTGTCCATAGAGCTATATTAAATTACAAGAGCGCTAACTCGATGTACAAAGTAATGCCCGGATGGGCGCATCCATGTTTGTGCACAAACCTATGGAAAAATTTTGTACGGCTTTTGTACGGCTACTTGCATATCTGCGTTTGTATTCCATACTGGTGCGTCATCGAAGCCGATATGCCCAAAACCGAAACGCACGATAAGCAAATGGGCGTTTCATTTTGCTCCACGCAAACAGCGCAACGCGTGCGCGTCCCTGGGCCCTCCGCTGCAGATGCTTTTCGCCGTGACGCTTTTTGAACCGTCATGACGCGCTTAGTCCATCATTTGCAGCCATCCGAAAAGTAACTGGCGTAATTATTGTTGAAAAACAAACTTGGTTGAAAGATAGTAAGGGAACTAAACTCCCTGTGAAATTATTCTTTCTGGGAAGCTGTCATTCTGAAGTAATCAACAAAAGAAGGCATTTCCAACGGTGATTCTTAAGAAGCTCCGTAGGAATATTTAAATTAGTAGTTCGTTTTGTTATTCAGCGCAGCGCGCACAAGTATTGGAACGACGCACACGCGCGCGCGGTTGTTATAATTCGTCGGATCAGTGCGCTACGTCGCGTATAGCTGCAATTCAAAACAATTCAAAACATGATTCAGTAACTTTTGATTTGAAATGGAGATCTTAGAATGCTGTTTTTCTCGGAATGTACAGCTGAAGCTTAGCTGAAACTTCATCAGGTTAGTTGCTCAGTATCCTTCATTAGATTTTGAACTCTTTTGTTGCTTCAAACGAACAAAATGCACAAATTACAAATGATGGACTGTAGCTTTAAGTTGTTTGCGTATCTTCTACTTGCGCATTGCATTAAGAGTGCACTTTTAAAATTCAATCCATCTATTTTGATTGTGTTCTACAAACACGCACATAAAATCAAAATGTCTGCGCCCAGAGCGGCTTCAAAGCGTCTCCACGCGCAAGAATGAGGAGTAAGCGCTCTAGTAATTTAAAGGGAATGTACATCATTGGTTTTTGCTTTAATTTTCAGAAATGAACTATTTGAGGGGTTAGTATAATAGATCAAATTATTGTTGCACTGACATGTTAAAAGTTTTGTGTTCGAAAATGCTGGAAAAACCAAAAAACCCAAAAATGTTCAAGTAGTCTGGCTCCCTGACTCCACTGAAAGTTAAATGGATCAATTTATAGATGCCGGAAAATTGTACGGTAAGGAAACCAGTCTAGCTGGCCTGCCCCCATTCATGAACATGCAACCAATAGCAAAGAAAACTTGGACTGAAAAAAGGGTAAATTTGGAGCAGCAGTTGAAAAATAAATAGGTTTTTCCAACGGTGGTCGGCCGACCACCGTTGGAAATGTATACAAAAATACCATTTACTTGAAAATGACTTCACACCAGGTGCCATAATTTTACAGGATGTTTTAGACTGTCATTTACCACCAACATCCTGTAAAGTATTTCATAAAAACTTGGTAGTTTTATTGTTTGATGCTTGCAAATCTTGTATTTTCCCTTTAATATAGCTATATGGGAGTGTCTTATCACACCTTGGTAAATCTCGACGCCATCAAATAATTTGCAGCTATTCGCCCTTTGCGGACGTGTGTGCATTGGTGCTGTGTGTAATGTGATACATCGACACACAACGTAAAATGTGTGAGAGCTAAATGAAAACAAAATAGCTATACATTATTAACTTCTTAAGGGGGGAGGGATAAAGAAAGTGGTTATCGGTCTGCCTGCGATGTATTAAGGGAATAAATGTGATACATGTATTCGCAAAAACAACAAAATGTCCTTTTTTAACTCTGACTGGTGTTTCCCATGTTTGCAGCATGCAGTGGTGGCGTACTTTATGCGACTAGTTGTACATGACTGATAGTCTGGTTCCCAGACCAAAAGATTCTGACTATCCCTCTGATTAATCTTAGGCCGTGTCCGAAACGCGTAATTTTTTTTCCTAGGAGGGTTAGGGGCAATGTCATGAATAATTCAGTTTTTCCTTTGAATCATTGCAAGACTTAGGTTCTCGTTCTATTATCCCCTTAATTTAAAATTATCTCAGTGATAAATTTGGAGAAGAAAAATAGCTGATGAAAATGAGCAGCGACGACGTGGATTCGAACCAGGGATCTTTGTATCCATAGCTCATCTCGCTATCCACTAGGCTACTGTGTGGTAGCTCGACGACAACCGTTCTTTAAAATGCTTTAATGTATTGTAACTAGTTGAGTAACTAACAACAATGCTGTTGATGTCATTGTCCGTTCTCATGGATAAACACGAATTATTCATGACATTGCCCCTAACCCTCCTAGGAATAAAAATTACGCGTCCGAAACAGGCTTCCAGAGCTACGGCTACGTCTATTGTCAGCCCGTCCCCGTGTATTTTCAATGGGCGCGGACCTAGACCTAGCTCTAGACAGTTGATTCGGATGCAGCCTTAGGCTGCATCCGAATCAGTTGTCTAGAGCTATGTCTAGGTCTGCGCCCATTGAAAATACGCGGGGACGCGCTGACAATAGACATAGCCGTAGCTCTGGAAGCGCGTTTCGGACACGGCCTCAGTTTCATCAGGATGCCTGCATCCGAATCAACTGTCTAGAGCTAGGTCTAGGTCCGCGCCCATTGAAAATACGTGGGGACGCGCTGACAATAGACGTAGCCGTAGCTCTGGAAGCCCGTTTCGGACACGGCCTATAGTATAGTCAGAATCTTTTGGTCTGGGAACCAGACTACATGACTGATAAAAAAAGTCTTGGCTCCTCGACAATGGAGGGCGCTCTTATCAATGAAAATGTGCACTTTGTCAGCATGGAATGCATGCACGTCATGTATGATGTGATCGGTGCTGCCTCGGTATTTGGCTGCGACTGTGCGATCGAGTATTCATATAATTTATATGCATGTACATCATCAGTTTACATGTATGCAGGCCTGAGGGAGAGTCCGACTTGTGAAATTACATCTTCAAATGGGTCAACCGGAAAAGGCTAGTGTTTCCCAAGCTGAACGGGAATTAAAGGTTTGTTTGAAACTTTGAGGCCTACACTACAGCCGTACGTGAGAAAATGATGAAAAGAGTCTACAAAATTTCATACAAGTACAAGGCCGTGGATATTTTGCCGGAGACGGCAAACCTTCAGTAAACGTTAGTTTGCCGGATATGCACTGAAGATGCACAGTTACTGTTTTTTTATTGTACTTAAACATTTTCCGGTGACAAATTTTAGTCTGGCTCCATGCCAATATTATCGTTGTATTTTTGTATTAACAAGATGGGAATCAGACCATTTTATAATTTCGGACTTTATTTCCCTTTAAAAAAAATCCTCCAGAGCCACAAATCTGAAAAAGAAAAAGTAGGCCCCCCCCCTAATACTCTGCAATAAAATGTTTGAGACATATTAAAATAATAAAAGAAGAATATTCTTATTTATTTGGGGATGGGAAAGAAACCCTTAAAATTGTGGCGGGGGTCAGGATTCGAACTCGGGACATCCCGCTCACTAGAGCTATTGCTTAACCACTGCACCAACTGTGCTACACAACTTTGGTGGGAATTTAATACATGTTATAATTCAGCCCTATCTTAAAGAGTACAGCGCCCTCTGTTGATATGGATTGCCGCCGGCAAACCTTTAGTAAACGTTAGTTTGCCGGCGTTACCTCCGGCAAAATATACACTACCCAAGTTTAACGTTGCTTAAAGTTTAAGTTTAGTATTTAATAGAGTTTATTTTCCTGATTAAATAACGTCGGTCAGCATCACATATGGAATTCCTGAACCCCCGGATCAATAGATAAGGACACATAGAATACTAAGAGTAAGACGTAAAAATTGGCTTCTCCAACAAGGTAAAAATATTGAGAATATTGGTCATAAATTTTTTCGCCCGGTTTTGAGCACTTCATACCCTGGACTCCCTCCGTAACGTAGGGAGGAAAGGGAGTCCCCCAACGTGGCGCACTTTGATTTTTCACCTGTAGCGCCTAGACCCGTGGGCGTGGCGTTGTATACAACGCCACGCGCCTCCCTCGGGTAAATACTAGCGAAACCACTGTATCTTTTGATCCGCTACATACACATAACCATGTATAATTTTGCCCATACATAAATCACTTACTTGTTAGGCTTCCTGTGAATTTACGCGAGTGTTGGATCTGGCATTGCCAAGAAATTTGATGTAAAATACGGCACAACTTTGTCACAACGAACATTTTCAAAATGATCAGAAAATCAAAGACAGGCGTGACACTCCGGTACCCCAAGTTCCGCTTGCGCAAAACGGTAGAAGTCCCACTAGTGGGTACCTGACTAACCGTCTGACAATGCAGGATGACCGTATTACTATGTACAATTCTGCTAAATCCACTTCGAAAGTCCGCCAAATCATGCAATATATATTGCTGGTCCATTGTGCAAGGATTTGTTTCAGGGATCTTTCAATAAATGAAGGTTTTTCAAACCAAATGTGCCATATTTCTCTAATCTTTTTCATTTTCCTTCATCTTCATAATTCTTCCGAAAAAAATATTCTGCTGGATTTCTGTACAACTCATTTTTGTATGCAAATATTCTGTCAAATGTAGCCGAAATTCGGCTAGAATGGTTACTCCATCTTAGTAACCGCGGATCACAATAGAGTGTTTTTACTATAGATTGAAGCGTGGCTATGTATATAGCCACGTTCACGGGTCTATGTAGCGCCTAGCTAGAGCAAAAGTTTAAACTGAAATTTCACAGAAAGTGAAATTTCATCAAGTTCTAAACACTTCTGTTCATAAATCAAGAGTTTATCTTGCCGTTCGAAAGTTAAAAGAAAAAAATATTTTGGCGTGATTTTCCGATTTTATTTCAAAGTGCACAGTGAACCCTTTGAAAATGCCCCCCCCCCCCAAAAAAATAGAAAATAATTTGCTGACAAACGTCTACTTGAGTATGTTGGTAGGACATTAGTAGAGATAAAAATTGTTTATCAGAATTTACCAACTATACAGAAATTTTTAGCATAATGTTAATTTGAAATTTTCCGCGATTTATTCAAGTGCGCCACGTTGGGGAACACTCGGCCTATTTGTGCCCAATTTCTGGACACCACCGTTTTTAAATTTCGGATTGAATTTCATGAAACCGAAATTGTTCACAGAGGTTAAATAGCAAGCATTAATTAATAAGATAAATGTACCAGTATTTCACTGAATGAATTTGAAGTTTGTCTACAAAGAAGTTTGGCAACACTGATGTTGAAAGTTAGGGTATAATTGTCGAAGTGCGCCACGTTAGGGAACATCACTATAATGCTTATTGCATTAGAGCTGGAGTTACTCAAGCTAATACAGAGGTCACTTGACACCCTGTCAATCATGATCATGCCTGTACAAACCTATAACTATCTGACTATGATACTATTTATCCATAAATGTGGCCAATTCACTGGACTGCCTCCGTAAATAAATCACAATTATTGATTTGCTCTTTATCGGTATAATTCACGGTCAATTTTCATGGCAAAAAGAGAGCAACGAATATTCTTTTTAAAAATTGTAGCCCAGTTGATTATATGGTGAGTTTTATTGGAAACTAATTTTGAGTATATCTTTTCGGGGTATAATTTTGGGATAACTCACATAATGGAAATTTTGGACATTTTATGCCACCATAGCGCCAGAATATGTTGGCAAAATGTCGCCAACATGCGCAGACTAGTGGATGTCTCACACTGTGCATGTACAGCAAGTAGCCCCCAAGTGACTACGCCGGCAATAGGCTATGAACATACGTGGTACATGCCCTACACTCCCTGTGACCACGTTTGGTGATATCATGGAGGTAGATGCACACCCTTGGTTTCAAAACCGTTAACATTAACATTATTCTTGTACTTCACTCATCTTTCTAGAAATTGAGAGCAGAGAATACTAGACTGAAAAAGGACTTGGAAGAAACAAGGTACATTGACTTGTAGGCCTATTCAGTTGTTTATAATCAGATTAGTTTGTCTCAAACCAACTCGATCCGATTCAACTTGGTTCAAGGTCAACTCGGTTCAAGGTCAACTCGGTTCAAGGTCAACTGGGACCGAAGTCTGCTGGGTTCCAGTTCAACTCGGTCCCAGTTCAACTTGGTTCCAGGATGACTCGTTCCCAGGTCAACTCGGTCCCAGGTCAACTAAGAAATTGAAGGGAAAAAGTATTCTGGCGAGGGGGGCAAGGCAGATTTTTTTGAAAGAGTATTTTTTCAGTAACTACATGTACTTCCATTAATGGTTAGAGAGTGTCCCCCCCCCCCCCAACTTTTCGATTTTACGGAGGCCAAGTGTCTGGAAAAAGTGCCTACATTTTGGCGCGGGCGCACATGTGCAGTATCCTCCCCCCCCCCCCCCCCCCACATCAAAAGCTGGATGTGCTACTGACTAGGGGTGAAAATAAAATTGCGCCATGTTAGGAGACGTGCCACTTGAGGGTACAGCAACAATACAAGAGACCTTAAAATTGTCAGACCCTACCTTTGTTTGCGTACTGTACATTAATTTTTTTTCCCATGGGGACCAAGTTGACCTTGGACCTAGTTGGCTCAGACCGAGTTGGTTTGCAACCGAGTTGACCTGCACCCATTAGACTCAGTCATGTCAGTAGTCCAGGGAATCTGGTTTTATGTGCAGACCTTTGCTCCAGATTAGCAACCTATCTAATTATTTGCTTTTTCAGAGTGCAAAAAGTGAAATGTAGGAACTGAAGAATATTTCAAATGCTAATGAAGGAGTTAGGAAACAGGGATTTAAAAATCTTAGTTTCAGAAAACCAGGAACCTGGAATGCCGGGCATTTGACTCGATATCATATTCGAAGTTGGGACAATTATAACTGTACAATGTATGTCAAGCTTTGAATATATGGCATCAAGTTTGAAAAAAAAACAAAGAAGAAAGATTTGTGTGTGTGTACATGTGTATCTCACTGTGATTCCAGTTTGTTCACCATCTTGGTATTAAATGCCTGGTACCCACAGGAGTCTTTACAAGCAGCTGGTAGATGAGGGACCGGTGGAGTCCTTTGACGAGAGGAGAGTCCATCTCCTGAAGTCTCAGATCATCCAGTTGGAGCGGCAGGTGTGGACAAATCGTTATTGGCTTTAATCTTTTAATTTTGAAATGTTTTGTGTAATCGTTGAAAAGCAGTACATGTACTTCCAAAACTGCTAGCTTGTAGCTGACCAGAAACGGTAGAGCCCTTGCGCTGTTCGCTGGTGTAAGGTGAATTGAGGGCCGACAGGTCTTTGTTTATCTAAGGTAAACAAGAAAGCAGAGTACGCCTGCAAACATTAATAACTTTGTCCCGTAAGTCACCGCAAATATATTTTTTGGACAGTTTTGGGACTCGAGTGTTATTAGCCTTCGACTCAAGTCGAGTCTAGCCTTTCTGATGAGGGACTCGAGTCGAGTCCAGTTGAGTCATTTGCTTGCAGGGACTCAAGTCAAGATGAGTCAGTTTCCCGTTGGGACTCGAGTCGAGTCATTGACTCAAGTTGGACTGGAGTTGAGTCATTACAATTCTGCAGAGATGAAGCAAGTTTGTTTCTTTGTTTCTTTCCTTGACAGGTTTTGCTTCATACAAATGCACTGAGTTCTCGAAATGGAGTCCTACTCCATGTTGAGAATTGCCTACAAACCATTGCAGACCAGTTACGGTGAGCCTGCATAATGTTAAACACCAGTGTATCTCTTAATATTGAGTTTTCCCCTATGTTGATGAAAATTTATAAGTACCACACACTCAGTGCTGTCTTTGAGCTTATTGACATGCATATAAGTCAAACCTCAAGGGTAAAGGTTCAAAATTTGACTTAAGCAGAGTTTTGAGCTAAGCAGGGTTGTATATCATTGTTATTCTACTGAGGGGAATGGATTCTTCGTTTGACTTAATAGTTGTTTTGAGTTATCAGAGTTTGACTTATTGAGATTTCACTGTATCAGACTCAAACCAGCCAGCTGATATTCAGCAAGATTAGTGGTTGCATGGTTAAAATCTCTGTAAATAGTACAAAAGCAGAGTTGTGGATTCAAGTCCCACCAAAGTTTGTACATAGACCGGAGACTTGACCTCATAACACACGTGTATATATGAGGACAGACAACGACCTTGGGCTTCTGTTATCTTGGCTGTTCCACCTCCCCTATTGTTTGATTGACCTTCTTCGACTGCACACTCTAGAAAGTCTAGAAATTAAGTTTGGGCTTGCTGACCTACCCAAGTAAGGAAGCAAAATAATTTATCACAGACACAATATTTAAATATGAAGGAAATCGAGAAAATAATTTAATATATACAAGACAATAATCAATCAATGAACACGGATTAGACTCCCAAATTATAATTTGGAAAGTACACAGGGTGCACTGGTGATGTCAATAAACACAAAATGTCACACTCACACCATCATTCATGTATACATGAATGTATACAGAGTAACTACATGTAAGTTATGCACAATCAATACGCCTAACAATTAGGTTGCAACGTCCCTTCTGGACAACAATGGAGTACTTGCCTGAATTTGGTTTTAAGAACGGAGCACCCTGTTGGTAGGCGCATAGATATTTAAATCAGGTTAACCCCTACGTCATAGGGCAGCCTGACAATTGACGTGCTGCCGGTATCAAACTTTAAATTGCTGTCCACAATAATCCACCATTTTGAGTCCGTGCACAGACTACTGTTTAAGATGCTTTCAGTACACAGTGCCTACGAAAATTACATCGCTGAAGGGCAGAACCCAATTTGCAACAAATCACATCTCCAAATGAAGTCTTTGTGTGCAAGTTTGTTGTTGTGTTCATCTTGGCAGGGAGTTGTTGGCGAAGGACGTCCACGGCCCAAGCGTGCCCATTCAGAGGTCTCAGCTGACTGGCCTGATTGAGACTGCAGAGGGCGCCAGACTCAGACTCTTCAAGAATGTCGAGGTATTTTCCCAGAGGAGGCCACTTCTGAGTTGCATGGCTACAGCTTTAACAGCGGGCATGTAACACTAGTGCCTATGGGAAATGAATTTAGCTATTTCCATCGGCGTATGTGTACTTCGGCCGATTCAGAATGCAGTGCGCCACCAAGAGTTTGCCATCGAGAGTTCTTTTTTTCAGTGCATTGTGGGAGATGGTTGACATTCGCAGCGCGGGACGTTTGAAATTGTTCATTTTTCCTGTCAGTAAGCATATGATTCGAGTATCTGTTTGCCCTACTTTTTCTTTTTATCAATATGATTTTTTTTGTAAGGCGGCAAAATGCTGTGCCCCAATCTATAAGAAATTAGCTCAAGTTGTCTACTGACACTCGTTCAAATGGGCCATGGTTTTTCGACCGTAAACTTGAAAACTGGACTCTCCATGGCAAATTCTTGGTGGCGCACTAAATTGTAAATTGCCCAAATTGCAAGCTGTGGCCAAGAAAGTCAGACATGTGCCTTTTTTATTTTAGGTCAAAGATTTTCCAAACATAGCTTATAACAACATCTTACACACCAGGCCTGTAGCCAGCCTGATGGAGGGGGGGGCGGGGTTTGTTTTTACCATGAAATGGACCTTTAAAGTGGACCTTTACGATACTATCACTGAATCCCCTTTCTGAACATTTGGACAGACCTTGTAAAACAAGACTTGGCTGCAAGCCGCGCACCGCATACCAGGCAACCAGAATAACGATGTGCGATGTGACGACTAATAGGCGATAAAGTAGTGCCGGATAGAACTCATAATTCGGTGGCTCTTGCCTGTTTGTTTGTTTTCCCATGTCATTTTGCCTTTATATCCTGCAAGGATCAAAAGTTTAGTTCTAACTTTTTTTCTCAAATATATCCAAACCTTAAACCAGGCCAATAATCCTGAGAGATCGACACGTCCGATTCTGTACATGGGATCCTTTCTTAAACCCAGCGCTGAAGAAGATGGAGTGACGCTACTCGATGTGTGCAGTGGGAAGATAGAACACCTCAATCTCAAGCAAATTGTAAGTAAAGCGGAAACTCAAATATCCAGATATAGACAATCACAAACAAGGCTAAAGGCTCCCTGCACGAGCAAGAAAAAGACTTTGTGACCCCTTTTGAGAACCCAGTTGATGGGACACACTGAGTGTGCTTACTGGTTCGAGCATGGATAGTGCTCAAGTATGCTCAACCGATTTTATTGTGAACATGCAAAACGCAATAACGTCATCGCGTGAGAGTCTTGTAATTTTCTCCCTGAATTTCTGCGACCTTCAGGCAAAGTTGGAATCCAAGCTCTTCAGCCTGCACAGGCATCTGCAAACCCTCCACCAATCGCTGAGAGCCACCTGGTCACCTGATCATCGTTCGGGGTCCCAGACAGCCAATCGGCACCTCCCGTTGGCTGTCAATCAGAGGTTGTCCGGCCTCCTGGCCCGGTGCCAAAAGTCCATCGCTGAGAGTTGCAGTGACTTGCTGTCACTTTCGATTCTTGTCCCGTCAGCTCCGTGGGTAAGAATATTAATTAAAACTTTTTTCAGCTACTCCTATCAACTATAAAGTTAACTTTTCTTTTCTATTATTTTGTACTTTGGGGTCCTCAGACAGTTTCAGTGAATAGTTTTATCTGGATTATAGAAATTAAACCAAACTTCGGCTCAGGTTAAGTTGAGGCTAATGAGGTCCGTATCCCAAAACTGGGAAGATAAACCAAAAAATGTTAGATGGAGCTCTGACTTGACGCTTAAGCATAAAATGATTTTTTATTTGTTTGAGTCAGGTCTCTTATTCCAGTTTTGGACTTTGTCGTATCTTGTTTTTGTTTTATTCTGCAGCCTCTTGTGATTAAGCCAGTGAGTGCTGAGTTGAGTCTGGACTCTGTCATGTCAGCATTGCCTAACTTCCCAAGGAGTAAACAACAACAGGTGCGAAATATTATCTGACCCAAAAAAATGCAGAGAAATTATTGCAAATTGTGGAAGTCCTAGATGAAAACCCGAGGTTTTCAATATGAATGTTAAGTCATTGTATGTTTTTGATATCCTAAGTAAAAGTTTAAAGATAGAGTAGACCATTTGTAATTTGTGCATTTTTTTTTGTGGAACCAACAAAGTGCTCAAAATCTAAAGACAGATATACTTAATAACTAACCTGATGAAGTTTTAGCTCTGTGAATGATGTATATTTCGAGAAAGCAGAACAAACATTAACACAGTATTCTGGATCTTTGTATTCAATTCCAAAGTTGTCATATTTTTGAATTGCGTCCTCTCATGACTCAATCCCAAAATCAGCATTCAGGACACGATTCTCATGCAGCTGGTTGTCACCCACTCACGGATTTGCCTAAATTGCAAACCAACTACAAATTAGAATGCATGGGGGGATTGACGAAAATTTTCAAAAATGTGTCACTTGACAAATCTTTGTAAACGACCTTCTTTCATTGTTTTCTTCAAAATGACAACATGCCAGAAGGGATAATTTCATGGGGAGTCTAGCATCATCGCTATCTTCAAACCAAATAAGAATTTTCACAATATTTTAGTCGGTTACTTTTTGGATAGATGGTAATGGTCTATTCTACCTTTAAAGGTGTTGATGATGCATTTAAATGTCTTATTTTTATTTTTTTCAAACCAGGGACGAGCCTGTATAGATGCCGTACTGAAGGCATGTAACTACTCAAGAAACGTAGCCAAATTAGAGGTGAGAACTGCTCTAAATGATGTATTTGCCTTTGATGCAGTTTGGTATACGCTAAGCTTTGAGTACTGGCCAATTGGGATATACGCAATGGCTTTGTTTTCTTTATTTGATAACTTCTGTCACATTTATTTTTCCTGTGCATATTTTCAGTATTTTCTTTTTTTTTCTGTTTGCATTTTGGTTTCTGGTATATGGCTTGCTCTTTTGTTTTTATTGCGTTGTAATTACACATCAACATCCTCTCAAACTGTCTTAAGTTAAAATGTCATGAACAATTGGAGCAAGTCTCAACACCAAAAAAGCTACTTGCTGGGACACAAACCAATGGTGCATCACTGGAATATGGACCGTAGGCTTCATTTTGTTTGACCCTTGTTTCCGACTAGTGTTCCAGGGTCACGCTCAGCCAAGGCCAAGTTCGGGAAGGACCATTAGTCGACTAGTGGTTGATATGTGACGTACCTTACGCCTGCGCACTGATAGCAACATGCGAACGTCTCTAGTCAAACGCTGGTCAAAATGTCATCGCAAAACTTCTGGATCCTGGCTCTCTGCTAGCGTTATGAATGCGCGCGGCTATTGGTTACCAGCAAAGCAACCAACCCCAGTAGGCTGGTTCCAAATAGTCGACTAGCGTAGTCAACCACCGTTGACTAGACAGAGTTCAGGCAAACGTTAGTTAACCATTGGTCAACAAAAGTCCTTGCACGAACTTGGCCCAAATACATGTAGTATGGGCTCTGTGCACAAGTACCCCCTCTAAGGCAAGAAAGGGAGAGTTGGGGAGACTACCTTGAGAGACATTTGAATGCATCGCCGATGACGCCTGATGCTCACGCGAAGACGCTATGCCTTAGTGCACATTCAGGATGAAATGAGTTGTGCATACTTCACTCTGTACGAGTGCAAACCAGTATGTGCACGCCGTGTGTGTCTCCTCCACAGAGCTCTCAAGCATGGTAAAAAAGCGCCCTCTCTCAAGTTGTTTGGGCACGGAGCTTATTAGTTAGGAGTGACTCTAGGTGACTACCAGTACTTTAGATTTATGTAATGATTCTCCATTCACTCAACCACAGAGTCATTCTGAACAAATGCAACAATCCATCTTTCGTGAGCATGAAGTCGCTGTTACTTGTTTCAGATGTCAAACTCGTAGCTTAGGAGTAATATCTTAGGAGTCAGGTTGGCGTAGCATGCAGTACTTTTCTCCCCAACCACTGCTGTGATCTAGGTGGATTGGGTTTTCAGTCGCTACATGATTCCCTGGATTTTCCTCAGAAAATTCTTCAGCGGTTCCCCCCACATCTAAAACTGTAATTTCTTCACATTTTCTTCTCTTTACTGGGCCCCATGGGAGACCAGTGTATTGCACTGAATGGGCTACCCAGATAAAATAAGAAAGAAAGAAAGAAATAAAGAAAGAAAAATTTGGTTGAGCATGACCCTAGATCGAGAGCCTGACATGGTTGTCATTTACTGCATGCCTACATTTGCCAGTCGGTGTCCTTTCTGTTGGCTTGTTTATTTGGTTGGTATGATGCTATGCCTATCATGTATTGTACCCTGCATGCTTATAGGCCAAGGCATGTGCAAGCGAGCTTCACTTTCATCAAAGCGTTTACGATGTACAGAGCAAGTACATGGACTCGTTGTTCACCGCAGTCAGGTAGGGGGTCATCAACGCAAGCTTTGTTGATTTGACTTTAAAGATGTCATTATTTTTTATTAGCCCCTTGATGCTTAAGGGGAGAGCCCTCCTGCTTTTCGGGTGTGGCACTCTAAAATATAAATTTTATAATTGAATTGATCATTTTTTAGCTTAACAAGCCGTGAACTTTCCAATGAGACATTGAATGAAGAAAATTTGGGCCACGCTAAGTTACCAGTATTTTCAGTTCAACCTGTGAATTAGGATTGCTTAGACTCGACTCAAGTCTAAAAATTTTTTAAAGTCTTCTTTTTTTTTTAAATCATTGTCTCTAAATGCCCCCCCCCCCCCTAGGAAAAAAATTCTAGGACGTATTCTTATAAAAATATTCAATAGCACGGTTGTTGATGGTTAAAAAAATTACATCATAAAAGGTACAAACATCATCATCAAGCGCAATGGAAGGTCCGCTTTCCTCTGCAAGACATGTTTGGGAAAGATTTCCATATACGAAGTTCACTCAACACCCTGTGTACAAACCCTATGAGATTGGACTGAAAAATTCTAAGTGTTTTCTAAGAAAATGCTTGTATTTTCTCACTGCTCAAATTGACTTTGATGACATGAAACTGCTATGTGGGGGCTTGTTAGTCAATACAGAGGAAAATTAGTGAACTTCGTATATGGAAATCTTTCCCATGAATGAACTACATTTGCAATGTAACCTCAGATCACAGTATGCTTTTCTTCTAAATATGAGCTCGGAGTTTAGTAAGAATTAAAAACCAATGTAGTTATTTTTTTCTGATGTGCTACTCAGTTTGAAACAAACAAACAAGCTGAATTTTTTTCTTTCTCAAAGCTTTAATACCATCTGAATAGAGCCATGGCCACAACTGCAATGTCTACTGTGTTCATGAGCAAATGACGTTTGTTTGGTGAAATTGTTTGCTATTTAATATATTTGTGTTTTCTCTTGACAGAGAGGCATACGCAGACTTTGAGAAGAACACCCAGACACTACTCTGTCAACCTTTGAAAAGTGAGAAACTTTACATTGTAAATACTTGAAGAGAGACGCATAATGGTAGAACATTTGTCAGCACTGTAATAAGCCTTGCAGTCCAGTGTCGTAGTCAAGTCTATCAAAAGTCCATAGTCCATTCACTAGCACAAGGGAATGAACAATAACATCAGAGTGCCTTTGTTAAGCTCATTGGAATAACTTGTGACTTGAATTTGGACTGGATGACTTGTGATGGACTCGACTTCAACACTGTTGCAGTCTTGGAGCTTGTGACGAAATGTTGCAAATGTTCACAAGCTTGCTCATGTGGGATTCAACCCCTAACTGATTAGAGTTCTTAAGGAAACCTTAACCAATAAAAATGGAATTTTGATCTTTCCCATGCAAAAGTCTATCAAACCAAGATATTGTCGGAGCAATGCTCGGACAATAGGAGCACTCATCAGTTTTTCATGGGTCTTTGGAATCCCCTCCGCTAGAGAAAAATTATCTCCTAGCTTCACAATTCAACCTTTTTGACTTTATTCATTTTTTTTTTGTCAGAGATCCTTGATGCTTACTCGGGCCAGACATCCACCACATCAGAGGAAGCGCTTAGAGAGTTCCTGACAACATTCAAAGCGGAGGCGAATGAGGTAACAACAGCTGGGCCTTCACATGTCAGCCTTGAGCTGAATTTCTTGGGTTAACCTTTGGTTACTGGGCACTGGTTCCATGGCTCATTCCTCACCCTCCCACCTTTTTTTTTTTCTTCAGTTCAGATTTCATGTCAACATCATTGAAAAAAAGTGATAACATTGCTCATTTAAACATACACTGCAACTTTTTCAAAAGAAATTGTCTATAGCAATATAAAACAACCAAATTATTAAGTGATGTTAACATGTAGGAAAACGGAGAAGCAATTGCTTTTTGTTCCCCTTCCCTATGAAGACAAATACAAAAGAATAGACTGGCACAAGGACAAAAATATATACAAATAATGGGGACAATGAGATGTTATGCAAGTAGCTGGACAGAACCTTACTCAATCCTGTACAATCCGGAATTGAGGAGGGTGCATAAAAGCCCCGAGAAGTTCAGTGTGGATTTTGAAAATCTGGGATTAGGTTATGGTTAAAGCTGACTAAAGTCTTATCAATTAACCCTTGCCCTTGGGTTTATTCCTACAGCTGGAAACAGTTGTGGACATGTTAACCTTGGATAAAGAATCACCCTCCCCCGGCCAGGAAGCATTGTCAACATTTGGCAAGGACTTCTTTGCGTCTGTGGATGTCCTGGCGCAACGGTGCTCCGACGAGAGAGACAAACTCGCCGAGGAAATTGAAGCCGTGAAGCAGATGAAAGATGAGCACATGAAGCATGGGCTGAAGGTCTTCGAGAAACCCAAGGCGGGACCAAAAGATGCTAAGGAGGAGTATGAGGATGCTGTGCAAGACCCGGACGCGGGGGCAGAGACTGAAAATGGCACAGAGGCAGGACGCGGCTGTGATGTTACATCTGAAAGGTCTTCAACAGGAGATGCTAGAGGGCAGTCTGCTTCCAAGTCAACAGCCAAATCGTTAGTATTGAAAACAAGACTTGATAGTCCAACTGGTGGCAAGACTGTGAAGGATAGCTCGGTCGGCAAGCCACCAAGAAAAGGACCCAGTGTGCTCGGAAAAATAGGAGGCACTAAGGACCTTGACAGTGTCTTGAAAGAAGCTGGTCGCAACGGGCCCCCATCTGCAGTCCGTGATACCCCCTCACCAGCCAAGAAAGGTGTGGAGGTGGACTTGGTGTCACGCCCCTCTCCTGGGTCGCGCATTCCGCGCTCAGGCAGTACACCCCGCCTCAAACCACCATCCCTAATGCAAAGTCCTGCAACTCTCAGGACACAAGAGGGCAGCAGAGCAACAGGTACACCAAAGAGAGTCACAAACAGTTCTTTGCAATCTCCTTCGAGGGTTTCTGGTGTCAGGAGGAGTTCAAGCGAAGGAAGTCGATTGAGTTCAAAAGCTACTGGTGCTAAACCAGGGTCTCAGGATTCTTAAAAATACATATGTATTTTCTTGTGCAATAGTATTCTGCTGTGCTTCGGCAAGCAATCCAAAGGCTTCCCTTATGTGTGTTGCATCCATGTGCATTCGATCTAGATAAACTTATACTTCTGCTATCGGAATGTTTTCTACAGGTGTGCAAATTTGGAGAAATTTGTTAAAAATTCAATATTTTGCATCATTAGGAGAGCACTTGCTGCAATCTGACCAAAATGATTGGTAAAGAAAAGTATTTCCAATTTTGATTTAAATATTTTTGATGAAAGTCATGTGTTTCTGAGGGGAAAAAAAGAACTTGTGTGTTTGAAATTGAAAGGTGTGGTGTCATAGGACTGTGAGTAGATCCTTTCCTTTGCAGTTAACACATACATATGTAATTGTAGTTTTACCATTTCCCCACCTCATTAAAAAAAAATAATTCTGCCCTTGTATGTTAGTAAATATTTATAGTCGAATAATGTAGTATTTGATTAATTGGAACGTGGATTTGATTGAATACTCACATTTTGAGACCATTGACATTAGGGGTAATTTTTGTGTGAATATCATGTTTGAATAGAGATACTTGTTTCGAGATAGCTTTCTTGCTGATAAAACGGACTTGAAAGATGCAAATTCGGGCAAATATTCTTCATAGAAGCTCTAATATGGCATCTGACAAACATTAGGCCTCGTTAATTATATCAAAGTACATCACAGACACTTTTGTCATGTTCTCAAGACGGCTCCGATTGGTTTAATTTCTTATTTGGTAAAATGCTAGTCGCATTTCATATTTAGATATTCATCACACCCCTTGTTCTAGTCCGAGTGTCATCCATCATTCGCGGAGCCCGCAAACATCTGATAGGGCTATATGCGAGCATTACAAATTTTATTCGACCCCGCGCGCCAGCGAATCGGGAGTCGACTTTAGCAATTGTGACGTCCTTTCGTGCAAAAATGTTGACTAAGCTGATTGGTCAATTAGCTGTCATGTTTTTATAATGCACATGTACAAAAATGGTTACCAAAGACCTGACAGCAGGCGCCTGCTGATTGGTCAGAATCTGGTGTCATAGAGGGATGCTTTTTGATGCAGTTTTGAGGGTGCTTGTACAAGTCCCGGGGTTAAACTTATCATAATTCAAGATTGAGACATTTGTGTCAAAAACCTCACACTTTATGAATCATGACACGTTAATACTGCACACAAGCTTTAAAGCATGGGATTTCTGTGGTACTTTATTCATCACGTGACTATTTTATCACTTTTACTACTATGCAAAATTAAAATATATAGTTTCCTCTTTGACTGCAGTGCCCTAAATACATTTCTCGAAGTTAAATTACTGGCCACTTTTATGTACACATGTAAACCGTCCATTTTACAGTGAAACAGCCTTGATTTGTGGGGGAAAATATTAGCAGGATACTGCCTATTTTATTTTATTCTTGACAATACATTGTACATGCATCAGTGACTTAATCTGGGGAGCATCTCAAAATTGTGTAAATGCTTGAAACGTTCAATTCATTTACTCTCATTTTACTTGAGAACAGAGAGAGTACATTGTACACCAACTGTTCTGATCTGGGAAAGTTTGCCTATAGCCCATGCACCCTGTGACTTCGTAGGCAACCAAAGGGCAACCAAAACATTTAAGCATCTTTTGCATGTTATTGTTTGCCCACATTAAAGGGAATGTACAACATTTGCTTTTGCTGCAATTTTCAGAAATAAATGGATTTGGAGGATAAGTATGTTATAGAAAATATTGTTAAACTGACTTAATTCACGTTTTGGGCTTGTAGATGCTGGAAAAACCAAGAAAACCTATCATATTCTTGTAGTCTGGTTCCCTGACCCCACTTAAGATGAAACGGAGCAATTAATACACTTTGGGGAATTTTAAGGTCAGAGAATAAGTCTAGCAAGCTTGAACCCCTTCACAGGTGTGCAATCAATTGCAAAGAAAAGTCAGAATAACTAAATGTGAAAAAGTAGGAACAGTTTTTGAAAAAAGCCAGTTTTTTCCAACGCTGGTCGGCCGATCAGCGTTGGAAAAATACAGTTTGTCTTGAAAATGACAGCACACCGGGAGCCACGGTTTGAAAGGATGCTTTAGACTGTCATTCCCTAACAATTCAGTAAGGTATTATGTGATAATTTGATCATTCCGTTCTTTGATGTTTGCAAATGTTGTATCTTCCCTTTAAGCAGTTTACGTAAACACTCTTAAAACCACTCATATTTCAAGAAATATACCTGCATTGCAGAAGAGAACTGTTTGCTTAAAGTTGGCATCAACTTGTAAAGAAATGTCACATGGTCTATAGTCGCTTCCCAGAAACCACGACTATGTCCTCTTTTGCTGCTTTAACACCACTTATTAGACAACACAGCTGCTTTTAGAGTGTCCCCATTTAGTGACCAACGTAATTTCAGTAAATTTGATTAAGAGAACAATTTGTGTGGACTTCTTAGGGCAAATTTGATTAGAAAGACCACTGTGTCCTAAATAGTCGGGTGCCCTGAAGTGTTTCATACTGTCCAGCTCACTAACATTGGAACACACGGGGAACACTACTTGTTCTCACCAGAAACCTGCCATGTTCCATGAACTTCCCCACGAAGAATTCATGAACCATTTTGAGATGCTCCCTTAATTTTAAAAATCAGAAAGTTAAGTGGTTCATCATTCCTATTTCCACCAACTTGAGTGTCACTGTGGCTTTACGTACAACATACATTCAACAGAATTAATTGTATATCCACATGATGTATACTTGCATGGCACAATAAAAAAAAAAGCAATCTTCCAACAAATCGATCATAGTAATACCTGTGTGTTTCTTTCACCTTGTAAACTGTGCGGGGGAATGTTTAACTGAAATCCATGCACAGTGTTGGGTCGCTCAGGAAATAACTCTACAGTTCTATTTTCAAAAAAATATGACAATCTGTAATTTGATTTCCAACAAGATTCCAGAATGGTTTTTCGTTACACAAATCCATCATACTGGAGTTCTACTTGCCAGTTAAATAAATATGCGAGAGGCACATCTTACATGACCAATAACCAGATGAAATTCTGGCGAAGTTGAAATTGGTTTAAAACGTTTCTGACTTGATGCTTACTTGCTATCGGTGCCTAGCCCCATGATATCTCAAATACTTAACTTCCACTTGATATTCACTACGGAAGCTACATACTTACCTAGTTAAAAAGCAGGTAAAATCAAATACCCTTACCTCTAGACGTCTAGGTTATCATGTACATATCCTGCAGTAATTTGGGGCAAACTTTCTCCAATGTTTCCCTCAAAATTACTGGGAACACAACTTTTGAGGAATTTAGCATGCATCCATATGTGGCCCACAATATGGGGGAGTATTTGAGACGCATGTATGGGGCTATAAAACCACCAATTTGCCTTGGAAGTTACAGTTAAGAAAACTATGCACCAGGTTTTAAGGGTCTTGTTTGGGCATCACAAAAGAATGGAAAATACTGATGGTAGTCTCCTCTCAAGATCGGATAGTCTCCTTTCAAGGATTTCACACAGTGATGCTCATACTAGCCCTATATAATATAAAATGATTGCACATAATCGCTTTGAGTGACACAGTAAAAGTTAATTTCGTGTCATGATATTTTACCCTTTTCTGCAGCTTTGTTTTGGAGGAAACCACATCAATATTACATTGTGATATAACTTGGACACGGCTGTCCGTTATTGCTCTGTGTAAAAACATACATGTACATCATAACAAAATCAAAAACATTACCCCCTAAATATGGGCCCCAAACAAAATAACACCAAGGATGTCCCAAGGGCAGTTTTATATCATACTATAGTACAGTAGAACACCACTTCAGTTAGCAGGAAAAAATCCTTCACAAATGGTTGAAACAATAAAATGTCCGTTTACTTATTGTGTTCAGATGGTAAATTTCCATATGAACACTAAGTCTTGACCATTTCATTGATATAATGGCAGTTTGGAATGTTTACATCAAGTTGAAGGAGGCCCTCTTGGGCAGTCGTGTCACGCGCATAAAAGTGTGTCGGTTGCCTGCACTAGCTTGTATTTAATCACATATGGTGAACCAACAGAGACTCAGTTCATGAGCTGGTATCCTGTTGGCTGTGAAACATGCTGAACATTGCTTTTAATATAGGGCCACAGTTGTGCCGTGAATATTGATCATTGCCCATATGAATTAGCATATGACGAGCTTTGCTCCAAGACTAGTTCCCACCCTTCACCTTGAAATCTAGAATATACCGCAAAGACAGGTAACAGCCTACTGAGCTCTCGTGGGCATTAACTTGCCTTCACTGGTTGGCACGCACGGATTCCCTGCACATGGGGAACCAGTGAAATGACAGTGCTCTCCCTGATCCTGGTTGCTAGCCTGGGCAACAGTGGCTCTTTAGATCAGTGTTACATAGAGTCCATGCCTGAGCCATTTCTCAATCTCCGGCTTCGTCACCAGCACTGGCTTCGTGCATGCAGTTAAGCAATGAAGCTGGAGCAAGAGTCAAAGCCAAAGACAAGGTTTGAAAAATGCCCTAGATATTTTCTCTGTTGTTTTTATCAAATATTTTGTTCGCTATTAGTAGCGGTGTTCTACTATACCGACTTTGAATAACATCTGTGTGAAACATATACCATATGTACAATTGTAGGATTTTAAAGGGGCACAATTCACAACAAAAGAAGAAAAAAATGTTATTACACAGCAATGTTGATGGCACATAGTATTTACAAGACAACTTTTACTGGTTGAACACATCCAATGTACACATTCATGTCATAAATAAACAAAAAATGAGGGCAAAAGTGGACCGTATTACTTCTGATGAACAAAATGGCCACAACACGGAACACGGCACACATAATTACAAAGTGGGGCAACCCAAATGACTGTTTGTTTAAATTGAGTACTCCAGTAATGTTATGGAATTTATATTACCATTTGGGGCATTCAGTATAAAAACACATACACCTACAACGCGGTACGAGGGAAAATAATGCGAAATTACAGTAATTTTGCACTACTTGCCTGATATCCATGGTATATTTGTTTTATTACACCTCGTATATATTCACCTCATTGTCAAAAGTTGACCAACAAATTCTGTGGTAATTCCCTCCCACAGAATGCATTTGATGATGTAAAGGTTTTTAGTATGGTTCCACTGGCAAACTCACTTGCTATTACTACTGTTGAATACTTTGGAGACTGGGAACCAATCTCGGTGTCCTATGTCCCTAGTATTACGGATTGGTTTATGCAGTACATGTAGTATGTAAACTGCGATAGTGGGATAGCTACCTCACTGCATTGGAGCATTAACCAATGGGAAAAGCATGTTTGGTTCATGAATATGTATGAAGTGTAATATTAAGACAATACTAAATTGGTCTTTTTTTTGCCAGGAACATTATCAAAACCTCCAAAATCCACCATTATGCAGGTTCCCAAGTACACATTCTTTGTACTTAAAAACTTTGAAAAAAAAATTACCCGGCCCTTTTAGGATTAAAGCCCCATGCCAAGAATTGTGGCCAGGCCAAGGCTAAAGCTCTACTTTCCTCAACCCTACAAAATGCTTCAAAACGTGGGTTTTGAAGGGTTTGGGATGAACTTTTCTTCAATTGTTAACAGTGCTCTCGAGCTAAACTACAAAGCTAAACAACGTTCCAATAAATGCATCACATTTTGTACCACAAACGCCGTTTTTTGGGAAGCACTGCTACATATGTAAATATCACTGCTGTCGTAATACATTCACAGAAATCTGTAAGTTTCCAATGAAATAAAGAGAACAAAATTCTGTTTAAAAAACTTATCGGCTTTTCTTCACATACTTTCATGTTATCATTAATGTTATTATAGTCCATGTTACTGTAACATATATAGGTTATATAACTTAAACATCTATACAAGCTGCTTCTATATTTGTCTACATGTAGTTCATGATTTTTTTTCTCTCCTTTCTTTGATACCAATTTCACCATTCCTCATATACATGTAGTCTCTCCTTTTCTCTTCCTACAAACTAAACAAGTGTTTTGATAATAGTTATTTTACACGTACATCTAAAAAAAAAATCTTTTGGTGATTTGGTGAAAATGAAATATCCATGAAATAATCACCAGAGGGTTTGAGACTTACCGTGGGCCCCAGAGCAACGTAGGGTCTACAGTCCTTCTGATTTGAAAATCACAGGCGTGTGGAAAAAGGCACACCTGGATTTTCTAGGCGTGTGGTTTTTCTAGGTGTGTGATTTTCTAGGTGTGTGATTCTGTGGTCCAGGGAAATTCAGGGGTGCAATTATTCGCACTTCACAGGAAGCTTTTAGGTGTGTGATGGCGTGGGGGTGTGATCGCACGCCTCAAATCAGAAGGACTGGGTCTGGGGTATATGCTTGTATTTGCCTAAAGGGACCCATTAAAATAGCCATTCCTTTTGAGCTATATAATCTTTTATATAGATAAAACACATTTGTGGTAAAACCTCAGGAATTCCAGATTTGGACAGGGATTTAAAAAAAAACACCTGATATCAGGAACAATTCCGACGTATCTCACACCTGAAACATTAAACAAACACTACTGGGTCCGAATTCATGCAGCGACAAAAACTGTGCGTCGAAAAAAATAGGCTCAAGTACGGACTTGACTCGGACTTAACCCTGGACTGAGGAACACTGCCCAAACACAAGAAAGCCTGTGGCCTAAAAAAACATTAAAAAAAAAAAAAAAAATACTACAAGAAAGAAAGGCCGGTTTGCACTTTACACAAATACAAACGCGAAGCAAATTTGCGGTCAAGAATAACTCCCAGTGAAAATCACCCGAGTTGAAATGTGTTCAAATATTGTGAATTCGGACCTCAAATACTTGACATGATGTCACAAATTCAACGTTTGCGTTGAACCGACCCTTCAAAGGGGGAGGCAAGCTACTGAGAAGTCCTGGGCTGGCTGACATGCTACCACTGGTCCTTTGATAAACCCTATGAACGATGACGGAAGGCCTAGTGTGCCGAGTTGACCGACTTGCGCGTGGTGCCCATTTTCCGGAGGCCCATCGTCTTACACACCCAGCTGGCTACGTCCACGCCTTCTGTCTCTGATTTCTTGGTGAAGGTGTGAACCTTAAGAGCAGACGGGGAAAAGTGAAAGCGGCGGTAAGTATTGTGGATTTTTGAAACCCGAGTTTTGTCATCAGTTTTGGCTCGAGGAGATTGGAATCCCTGGCTTGGGGCCCCTGGTTCAAGATGGTCCACATTATGATTCAGGATCCAGTGTTTTACTCGAGTCCATTACAAGTCCCTGCAAGTCCTCGAAAGTCCATCACAAATCTTCCAGTCTCAATTCAATTCACAAGCTATTCAAATGACTTGTAACAATGGCATTCCTTTACTTGTGACTGGACTTGTGTAAGGACTAGTGATTCACCAGTGAAAGGACTTGAGATGGACTTCTTGTGGACTCGACTGCAACACAGTCAGGATCATCAAATTCTACAGTTCCTTTGAAGAATGCCCAAAAGAAAGGTTTGGATATTAAACAAAGGTTGTAGAACTGAAAGTCATCAACTAAAGTATGAGGTGCCAGACTTATTTGTCTAGTGCTGACTCTTGGGCATGTGTCCCTCAGCAACACATTTTACTGCAATGTCTGTCTAAAAAGGGGCCAATTCAATGGAGCTTCTGCGCAAAATTTAAGTGCAAAGCAAAAGTCAGGAGCGTGCTTGTCAATGAATATAAACATTACACAACATTTGGCCACAACATTTGGTCGTTTTTACTTTGCACATTTTATTTACGCTTGGCAGATAACTTCCCTGTTTTTCTTTTCGACTTACCATGAGGAATTTGAGCTCTGCTCTTTCTTGTGGATTCTTAATTAAGCTGTCAAAACAAGAACAGAATAAGGTTATAATGGCATGATTCCCTGTAGCAAAGACATGCGGCAGGTGTGCTTGATTTGAGTCTATTTTCAAACACAGTCAACTTAAACTGAATTACTGCTCAAGAAAACATCGAAATTCATAGTACACTGATACAACCTGTTGTTAGTTTCCACTGTGCAAGATTTGTCTAGGGGCCTGTCATGCAGTATGTCTTGCAACTTTCAAATCGTTTTGTTGGATCAAGTATTAAGGCGTTCTGGTGAAATGAGACGGTAAGGTTGTAGTGAAGAAAAATGAAAAAAATAAAACCCCAAAAAACGACTGGGGGCGACATTTTCTCCTTCGATTTTCAGATTTAGTGATCTTTGTAATCTTTGAAATGTCTACTACACATATTTTAAAGAAATACAATGTATAAAAATCGTGAAATAAAAGTGTTTCTAAGGAAAAACAATTGGCACCTTGTATTTTCATCACCACAGACTCGAAACTTTTAGGGCTTTTTTCTCAGTATTTTAGTTTTTAACATATCAACAAATGCGAACTTTAAACAGCTACAATTTGCCAACAGAATGTCTGAATGAAATACAACAAACAAAATTGTCTCCTCTTCCGTTATATCAACCAACCTTCGTTTCAACCTCTGCCCAGTTTTGTCTCATTTTGCCGGAACGCCTCACACAAACACTTGATTCTATAGTAATTTTAAATGTCACAATGGTCCTACAGTTAACTCCAAGACTTGGCAAGTCCAGACTGAAGGAGCATCTAAGACCTAAAGGACATCAAAAACGTATGCAATCGAAGGTCAACTCCCGACAAAGCAAGAACTTATGCCAAGTTTTGCATCTCCAGATTTTAAGTCTACGTTTCTGCTGTTGGTGCCTCAGATACAAAGACAGTGACTAACTTTGAACTCGATTACAACAAAGCAACTGAATCCAAATGTGCACTGACACGAACTGAAAAGGACTTTTTTTCCATCTGCATTTTTTTGACACTCACCATTTGTTTACAAAATCTACAAATTCTGGTGAGAACTCTTGTGATGGCAGTTTAGGTGGTGGCTGTGGAATTAAAAGAGAAAGTAATTTTTATGAAGATATTTTTGATTTATTTGTGGTGTTGAAACCACGATACCTAAAAAAAATACATGTTGCACTGTAACTTTGTAATGTGAAGAAACTGAAAGAGAGAACACAGTAGGGAAATGATCAGTTTTAGTGACTAAAGCGGAAAAACCTGGGAAATAGTCTCAGGTAGGGACTGACAAACACAATCCACATGGGATCCAAACCGGATCAAAGCGTCGGAAGGCGAGAAGAGGTCCACTGTACCAACATGCTGTGGAGGGCAAGAAATGAGTAAATGTCATGGATAAATAACTTCCTTCTTCCTTTTTTTATATTGTAAGAAAAAAAACAGAAGAAGAGGGAACACTGCACTTTGTTTAAAAGCTGAATAATTTAAGGTAATACTTACATCATTCACAATGCACTCCAGTAATTCAAAGATAGCCATGGACCGTGGAGCATCCCCAAATGCTGATGAAAAATAACAAAGTGAAGATTTGTGAAACAGTGGAAGAAGACACTCGCATGAATTCTTCCTCAACGACGTTTCAAGACTGTGCACATTCAGATAAAAATTGGTCGTGTGTAGTAATGTGTACCTCAAAACAATTCATGACCATTATTACTCACTTGAGTCTGGTGTTCCGAAGTCAAACAATACCAACAACCACCAACTCCGGTAGACCCGAATAAAATTTGTTTTTGGACAAGTAAACTTTATTTATTAATTTTTCATTGACAATGCTCTTGAGTTGTCCCAAATATTGGTCCCAAATATCTTCTGACATGGTTGTCTCAAATGTTTCAAACGTCAAAGTTTTCATGTGCTTTTTTATAGCACAGGAATCTTACGAATCTATACGAATCTTAGATTCGGCTTAAATTCTAAAACACAATTCTGACATGAGCGTATGGCTGTTGCGAGTACACCAAAGAGCGCCCCCTACAGTCCCTGGGCAGAGGCAAGCAGGGAGTTCCACTACTTACTGCTGATTGGCCTGCCGGGTGGCTTACTGCTAGCCTTCGAGCTGTCGTACGGCCGGCCAAAGATTTGACAGATCTCCTTCTCGTCCGGCGGGGGGATCGGGTAGCGCCCGATGGACATCTCTACTAACGACAGACCCATGCTCCAGATGTCTGACTGGACTGTGTAGTGGATACCTTGTAATCGCTCAGGCTGTATAATCAGGAAATGAAAGAAAAATCCTGATGGACTAACCAATCAAAATCCTAATGGCACTCCCAAATCCTTCCAAATCCACCAAGAGGTTTTGGTGGCTTTTGAAGAAGCAACCCAAAACTCTCTTGGCACTACTGCTAGGGAACTTTTCTGAGTTCACCAAAAAAAAACGATTCTGAAGTAAACTGAAGGTACATTCTTTATACTTTAACTTTAAAGGGACAACAATCCACCGAACCTTCCCATGAGTTTTGATTGATATGAGACGGTAAGGTTTGAGAAGGGTAGAGCTAAGGCCAAGAAATTTTAAGTACAAAGAATGTGCTATTGGGTTGCACTGCAAAGTGGTTGATTTTGGAAGATTCATGAAAAGACCCCAGAACAACAAGCCTAGGCAATGTACAACTTTTTTTTTTGCTGTAATTTTCATAAATGGATAGATTAAGTTGGGGGGGGTTAGCATTTTTATAGCAAATAGCACTGACCTGTTTAAATTTTGCATTCATAGGTGCTGGAAAAACCAAGAAAAAAAAATGCTGTTCTTGTAGTCTTGTTCCCTGACCCCGCTTCAGACGGAAAAGGCAATTAATATACGGCGGAGAATTGTCAGGTCAGGAAACCAGACTAGCTGGCTTGCACCCGCTCACGGATGTGTAACCAATTGCTAACAAATTGTGTCTGCTAATTAAATTTTAGTAAATTGGGGGCAGTATTTGGGGAAAAAAAGTCAGTTTTGGTCAACCATCATCCGAAATTGTTACACAAATTACTATTTTCTTGAAAATGACAGCACACCAGGTGCCATGATTTCACATGATGCAGACACCCTCTACATTTTACCACGGACGTGGAGCGATTTTGACGCCGCGGGACACCGCGGTCTCGGATCCTTTCAGGAGCAAACATTTCTCGGAGGCCGAGTAAAACTTGCTCTTATATATATAGATATGAATTTAAATTCAGAAGCTGGCCATAAATGAGGTTACATGCAGGGGGAAAAAATGCACACACGACACCACAATCAGAAGAAAGTGACTTACAGACATATAGGACCGCGTCCCAACAAACGAGTTGGCCATGGAGTCAATGAGCTGTCCGCTCACTCCAAAGTCGCACATCTTGATCTCTCCTCGGGAGTTGACCAGAATGTTGGAGGGCTTGACATCTGTGGGACACGAGACCAAAGAAAAGAATGAGCGTTAGTTTGTTTATCTAACATTTACAATTATACCAAACACTGAGAAATATAATGTACCTGCGCGTCCTGCAAAAGTGGTCCCTCCTGGATTTTTTTCAATCAAGTTTGGGGAACTTCGAAAGAGCAGTTTCAGAGCAAGATAAGGGTGAGGGACTTAACTAAAATGGTGTAGATAAAACGTATTTTGCAAGTACTGTACAACATGCTGTATAACATGCATTGCAGTGCAGGAAGCAGCACTGCTCATTTTGAGCATGGCATATCTTTTCATTGCGGCACACTAATTTGAAGTATGGGAAATTTAGGCTATAGTTGTTTTTTTTTGTTTTTCCCCCACAAAAGCCAGAGCCCCATTTGGTATACCTGGTGAGAATTCTAATCTGCAATACATGTACAATATCACTGTTCAATTTCAGAACAACACTTTGTTCTCAGAAATGTTACTTGTGAGTTTGCGTGGTTCTGAGACAAACCTTAATTGAAGTTTTTTGTATCTAGAAATGCAAGTTGAAAACATTGCATTGGCTGGAGGAGTGCAAGTGTGTATAAAATGTAGGCATAAGCTTACTGTGCCGGGCAGAAAGTCATAAAATGCCTATTCATCAAAATATTTTCAGCAAAAGGGCATATGCAGGTAAGTGCCTCTATTTCAACGTAATTTTACCATTTTCATCAGAAATTAACACAATTAGTTGTTCCTAAATCTATGATTCCTACTTGAGACAAATTAAAAATTTGTTCGATTTACAATACGCGTGGGAGAACATTGGATTTATAGTACTTGCAGGAGAACATTGGATCCTTTCCATGAGATTTTCTTGAAAAATTATTTTCGCGTCAGAGTGCTACTACATGTCTGCCCTTCTGCCGGGCACCCAACATAATTATCATACAAGGATACACATTGTACATGTACATGTACATGTGCATGTCTTTAAGAAACGTTTTCCGGAGTCGATGGATGTGGTCAAATTAGTTTGTTATCACACTGTGTCTTCCACCCATTAGGCTTGATGAGGAAATGATTGGTTAAGCATACAAGCATGCATTTAAATGTAGACCAGGAGCCAGTATGTATGATCTAATGGAGACAACCTACATACACCCATGTTTGTTTTACATATGCTACGTGGACATTCCTTTGTTTTCGTGTAGTTAAGAAAACTCGGTACAAAAAATAACTTTACTTTAACTGTGAAAACTCTTTCAACCCAATTTTTTTTCTATGATTCCCTTTTGTGTTTCTCTTCATTTTGCCACTGATAAACCTAACCCAAAAATGCCTCTTAACCTGTTTTCCAGAGAGGGCAAAACGTTATGTGGACACGGCTTAGTCCACATAACGTCAACACAACATGCATTATGTGATGGACATCTTTTGTTCACAAGTCCACATAGTGAATGTAAGACAAACTCATATGAACATGTACAATGTACACAGATAGGAACAAGATATCTTGCCTTTCACGACATTATATTATGTGGTTATTTTAACTCTGCCCACAAATTGATGAACATTGACCATAGTGTGTTGATAGTGTACGTTGCATATTGCTGATTGTTTGTCTAATATCACCGATATACATGTACGGTACATGTATGAAGTGCAATGAATGTGTATGAGTTTGTTTCTGCATTCAACATGGGACGTTGAACAATAGAGGACAATAGGGTCCCCAATTCCCGAGAGGTTCCCAATTTGGATTCATGTACAAAACATATGGGAGGTCTTCCTAAAAAGGTTAAGTACTTAAACAAAAGACCAACAATAGGGGGTCCCTGATTGCAGGCAAATATACACTTGTCTGGGTGTGTGAACGTATCATAAACACTCCGAACAATGGGAGGTACCCCACAAGGAATGCCCACCAACTTGCGGGGTACCGTTTTGGTACCCCACAAGTTTTTCACGAAATAGATATATGGATTTTACTCAAAAACTAGGAATTTCCAAGGTGGGTTGATCTGTCGCACTAAATGGAAGAAATTTAGAAAAGGGATGTTAAGTCCGAATTTCAGCCTAGGAAATTAATACTGGTTAAAATACAAATGTAAGAGCATTTTGAAATTAGTGTGCGACATTGCAAAATTTTAGTACACGAGAACAAAGGAAGTACCCCACTTCTATGCCTGTGTAAGGGTGGGTGTGTTCACGAGTTGTTTAAGGAGGCGACAGGAGGCAAAGCCGTCTTCCCCATGAAGCGGGCCTCGTAAACAACAAGCAGGGGATAAAACACTGTGCATGTGTACAGTATCTATGGGCATGGGTACAGTATCTACCCAGCCACTGGCCCGCCATTGGTAAAAACTATAAGCGTAAAAATTATAGAAGTGGGTTTTTTTCATGTGGTGTGCCCCCCCCCCCCCTAGTTTGTATTGTGGCCCTTGCCCCCTCCCCCTCATTCCCAGAACTGGCGAAGGTGCTGAACTAAATTGTCTCTTTAATATTTTGCATGATCAACTTCATTTACAGTGTACATGTATGTCAGAAACGGCACTGATAATATATAGGTATATAGATGGATAGGTACGTGTACATGTACGTATTGCAATAAAGGCCCTATACATGTTTGCAATGTGTAGTTCACCGCAGAATCCACAGGGATTAATGACAATGCAATAGCATGATGAAATTAATTACCTGTCAATTGAGAAAAATCTCCAGTATAATATAACCGCGCAGCTTGATATCTTCTGTACATCATGATTTCACCTGTCTTTCTGCATAGGCTTTATGCTGGGCCTAAAAATAGTCTGTTTACTGTGCGTGTTCAATACACAGTGCACTTAAAAAGAGCTGAGGGAATGAAGATACCTTCAAGGTACTCTAAAATGGGAGGAGGGGGACGGGGCACAGTACATTAGACTCTGTTGCAGCGGATCCAAAAGGGGGGATGTGAGGCAAAATATAATTTCAGAAAATTAGGGGAAATTGTCCCCTTTGCGTCACCAACGTTTGTTGCCCATGTTTATTTTTTATTAAATTCTTTTAACCTTTCAATGTTTGAAGTATTGTGGTCAGATGTGAATTACACATACTCATTACTGTTGTCATTTCTGAAGGAAAAACAACCAATGTATGTAATAATAACAATGGAAACAATTATAATTATTTTTTGTGTTTCACCTGGAATTAATTTTAGGTGGAAAATGATTGTGTTTTATGAGACCTACTGTCATAAACTTCTTCCAGACCTGACTGCAGTTTATGAGTTGATTCTAGAGCAGAACTGAAACTAGCTCTTGGATGGAATTCAATTCATTTTCAATTTCAAATATTCAACCCAAATTTAAAATTTACAGCTCCCTGGCACCTTTTTTTTTCATACAAGGTTTGAATGTGTCCGATTTGCCCAAAGCTATCCTTACATTTGTATCTTTCAAAAAAACCAACGTTACAAAAATACAAAAAACTGTCAACAATTTTGTTCATTCCCCAGACTTCATTATTTACAGGTGACTATATCCTTCTCCAGGCTGCGTATCACGACTTCTCTGAGACCTGCACTGAATCACTATGGTTGAACAGCACAAGTACATGCGTGTGTGTGTGTGTGTGCATGTACCTGGGTTGACGTCAATACCGATGGACATTATATCCAGTCATTGACAATCCACTGTTACTCAGTGATAGTGTCGGCATTTTTTTATTCACGCACGGTAGACATGAGAATGAGCCGTGCACATTGCGCTGCTGAGGGAAATGCACTTTCGTAAGCTCTACCCATGAACATGATGCGTATCAAATTCCTTCTCACATGTCACATGAGAGTGGATTGACAATAACTACCAAATGGACTGTTTATATAATTCATTCGTTCGATGTACATGCACGTCAGTTCGATGTCATGAACCAAAATGAAAAATCATTATGTATCCATGAAAACAACTGAAAACATGTTGCAGCTACCGTAGCATGCTTCTCAACTTCTGGCATTTATAAACCATGTGCATAGAGCCCCCACCCCACCCCACATATTAATTATCACAGAGGTTGGCATAAGGTACAAGAGAAACCAAGTTAATATCATCATTTTAACAGTAATCTACTTACATGATGATTATCTTCAACACTTTATAAACAAAATACTCCCTTTATTTACGTGCGCAACATAAACGGACACATGTGTAAGAAGGTACACATGGTTCGATTTTTTTTGTAACCTCTCCCCTCCCCTCACCTCCAGCCCCCCCCCCCCCCCCTAAAAAATAAGGGGTTTCACTACTGAGCAAATGAAATGTCAAAGGCAGGCTTCCCACGACAGACAAATCTCGGCCTTGCAATTATGAGACAGAGATCTGCACAGACAGTGAGCGAATATAAGATCCTCCCTCAGTCCACTAAATAGGATCAGTAACGACAGGTACATGGGTGAGGATTAGGGACGGGGGGCATGATGTGGACGCCAGACTGTGGATTTAGAATGGAAGGAGCAGTACAGTCAGCAATGGCAGGAAAGAGTTTTGGGGGATTTTTTTTTTTTTTAAAGGTTCTCGCCAGTTACCAAAGCACCCATATTAAAAGCAAATGAAACTACTAATACGTGTACTTTGAAGGCATTGACTGTTTGCAGCGGTTTGGCTAAGTACCGTAATTAATCACTTTAATGAGACTGAATTGAAACAATGCACGGTTAAGTTGAGCAAATATATTGGCTTTCCATCTGTGGTGGGTGCCATTTCAAGTCGACATATGGGTAATTCCAGTGTTATGTAATGACAGTTATCTTCATGAGAGAGATTAAGAGCTCAGTGAGTAAACCTGAAAATCTGTTGTTCAAGTCTTAGGCCTATACATCCATCATCTAGTAATGGTCAAGGAGATTACAGACTAGGCGTTTGGATCATTTCTCTGAATCATTATTCAGATATCATGGTTAATTGGCTCTGTCACGGACATTACTCTTCCTTTCACGCTGGAATTGCCCATATAACTGTTCGCCATAGACAAAGAGTTCAAAATGTCCTGAAATATTGAAGATTTTCATTGTAAATAAATCGGGTGGTTTAATTCTGTGTGAATAAAATCATGATACTTAAAAAAAAGAGTAAAATCAAGAATTTCCATAGTTATAAACAGCAAAACAACAAAATTTAATACACAGATATAAAAATGAAAAAAAAAACCCAAAACAAACAAACAAACAAACAAACAAACAAACACAAGAGTCCTGTTTCTTACCTCTGTGCATGATGTCATGTTTTTCTCTAAGGTAATTTAAACCTCTCAAAACCTACAGAGCAAGAGAAACAAAGAGAAGACAATGAACAGCCAAATTTTTTTAAAATGGGAAACAATCCAAGTATCCCTTTTACTAAGAACTCAATGCATAGCCTCTCTGCAATGCAGAAGAGAACCATCAACCATTGCCAACACGTTGCTGCGAGTTGGTACACAGTGAGATAAAAACTGTTCGTGCACGATCCGCACATTATGCAAGCAGACATAGTACAGTGTTCCCCACTCACTGAAACTCTTGTGATTAGGCAAAATTAAAAAAATTTTAATGTAAGATCTCAAAACCACCAAACTCACTGGTTTGACTGGAAACCTGCTGTTGCACAATTTTAACGTGATTTTAGATGGGGTTACGATTGAGTATAAGCTTTATGTAGCCTCTCTGGGTTCCCATACATTTTGCAATAAATTTAATCAGGCACCATTTACAGTCATCAGCCGACATTTGAAGAAGAAAACAGTTCAAAAAAAAAAAAAGCCGCGTCGCCGCACCACTTTTGGGACAAGCTCCATACAGAAACCGAAGACTTTTTGGGGGCCTTAGGCAACGCCCAAGAACGGACTCCAGATTAACTATAACTTCTGGCATTCTTAGCAACTGACTGACTTATCTTTACAGCATTATCTTTACTGGGTTTTTTTTTACTCACCGCAACTGTAACTTTGCCCAGGATTCTCTCTGGTATTCTGTTGTGATCTGCCCTCTTCATGACCAAATCCAAAGAGCCACCATCCTGCCAAGAAAACAAAATAGCACGTTAAACTCACGATGTAGATCAAACGTGGACACATGCATGCATGTAATCTTGATCTATTCGCACATAATTATCTACGTACATGTATTTGGGTCATTCCATAAATTTGGGGTCCAATTTTTTATGTGTTACTGTTGCATCTGATCTAAGATTGTGTAAATTCAGGACATATTCTTAACAATAACTCCCTAGGCCTTTTTGCTTGGATGTAGCCTCGATCCTGCAAAATCCTTCAATTGGTCTCATGGAAAAATAGCATATAGCCTCAATCCTGCAAATTCCTCCATTATTTCTTGAACATTGTCCGTGGAGGGGTGACCACTGCCTGAATCCTGCAAAATCCTGCGGCAGTGACTGTCAATATGTTGAGACTTGGCCAGTGACAGCCTGGAGCAGTACGGAGGATTTCAAGCATAATCCAGGCCCATATTTATGCATTGCTGAGCAAAAACAACACAAGGTCCGGCCCTAGACTTTGACAAAGTGCATCCTACGAAATCAATAACGCATTTGCCATGTAACCTCAATCCTCCAAATTCCTCCACTTTGGGAAAGAGGATTTTGAAGGATTTAGGGCGGTTAGGGTTAATTCCTTCTATCTCCAAGAGTGATAACATAAAGCAAAATACCTGCCGAACAAATACAAAATAGCTTGAAGTCAATTTCATTGATACTTGAACATGGCAACTAATTATACAGGCCTCTGGTGTGTTTAAACAGGGACACTTTAACCCTAACCCACCTCACTCCTCCAAAATCCTCCTGGCGGTTTTGGAGGATTCTAGAGGATTGAGGATGAATGGTGATTGAATCAAATGAGGATTCTGGAGGATTGAGGATGAATGGTGATTGAAGCACATGAGGATTTTGGAGGATTGAGGATGAATGGTGATTGAAGCACAAGAGGATTTTGGAGGATTGAGGATGAATGCATTTTGAGGCAGGACTGTCTGATGATTTTGAAGAATTTGGCGTTGGTTATCCTTCATTTAAACACGAGTGCGAAATTTTGGGATGAGGAGGATTTTGGAGGATTGAGGATGAATGCATTTTGAGGCAGGACTGTCTGACAATTTTGAAAAATTTAGGCAGAGTTGCAAAATTTTGGAGGATTTTGGAGGATTGAGGATGGTTGTAAGCAACAAGGGCCTAGGGGGTTAGGGTTAATGTCACAATTTTGGACCTCAAATTTAGAGAATTACCCACTTGTTGAATTGTTCACTACATGTACATATTTTTTTGGACTAGACACCAGTTGTACTGAAGGTTTTGTGAATGAACCCTAACCCTGCTAAATGTAACAGAAAGCAACAAAGGTAAGAAGTTGTTGCATACTGTTGCAATTTAGCAGTCAACTCAAGTCTGCGTGCTTGTTGCATCTTGTTGGGTGTAAAAAATGACTCAAAAAAATCCGTAATCCAAGTATTTAAAAAAAAAAATAGCCTTTATCCAAGTCTCGCATTCGCACACTACAAATGTAGGCATACCCGTAAATGTCTGTCATACATGTAGACAGGGAAATAAACATGTACATTGTAACTGGTCATGAACTTATGAACCGGTCAGTGCAGTCAAATGGAAACAAATCCTCAGCACGACACTCTGGAACTTATCGTAACATGTTGGGGAATGTTTCAACTACAATGTCTCACTGTAAAGCTCAAACATGTATATATAACCTGTCCATTTTATCTCATGCCAATGTTTTTAGGGCTCCACACCAACCAAGCTTGTTACATGTACAGTGGGAAGTCCCCTCGTCCCACGGACCTATATAAAATTACCAGAGAGCTAACTCGATTTTCACAATTGTGCCAGCTTGATGCATCCGTCTTTGTGTACAAACCCATGGAAAGCTCCAAATGTTGTAAGGCTTTCGAACAACTATTTCCATTGTCTACTGGAAATGAATGCTTATTGAAGCTGACATGCCTGTAAACCAAAGAGCACAATGAATAAATGAGCGTTTCATTTCACTGGTTTATACCAGGTTGCACATTCGTACAAACTGTCTGCCCCAAAGATGCGTCTCAAAGTTTTCTGTAGTGGAATGCAGAGTAAGGCCAAAAAAAAAATAGTTCTGCTTCCGATTACATGCCTTTCCAAAATAGGGTCGGTCGGTCGGAAATTTTTTTTTTGGCCAATTTTTTTTATGCAGCTTGAATTGGGTATTCAATTATATGCGAAGTTTTAGCCTGAACTATTTCTATTGCACTACGAAAGCTATACACGAAATGGCAACAAAAAGTGAGTAAAACCTACCTTTAATTATTGTCAATATATTTACGTTCGATAATTTCAAAAAATAATGAAAATTCAGGCCGTTCGCACCATATGCACAACGCTAGTCAAGACGCGGGGAGCTGGCCAAAACTCCAAGGTGTGCGATGCGTGCGTGTGTGGCGAGCAGCCCACCATGGGCTGACAGACCTGTTTTTACCGTCAACAATTTCGGGAAACACGCGGCATGTATCACTCTAAATACAAGTAGTGCGATCTCAAAATGAACTCTTGAACACAGAAAAAACATACACAGACAAGCTAGATCAATTCTGTAAATTAACTTGCAAAAATGTTCTTTCTCCATCGGTGTTTTCTTGGCATTTTTACGATGTCGAATCCGACCAGTTGACAGTGGCCTGCACTGTACTGATAGCGCACTATCGGTCACATAGCTAGCTATGGACTGGTTACCACATTTTCATTATGTCTGGCCCATGCGCGGCGCGGCGGGAACCAGTCGTCGCCACGTGATTATAGTCACCGTGCGTGACATCGAATTGCGAAGTAGTTATATCGCGAAGCGAATTTGTAATAACGGAGGTTTCTTTTGAAAAAAACAAATGTAAGTAAGAACACAAATAAATACAAGCATTTTTGGATGCAAAAGGGTTGTTGAGAGGTATTTTGTGAAGACAGAAAAGACAGATTTTATTTGTATTTATTCAATTTTTTTTTTTTTTTTTTTTTTTTGAATTGCCGATAAAAATTTTTAGGGTCGCAGCCTAAAAATAGGGTAGGTCGGGTAACCGGAAGCAGAACTATTCTTTTTTTTGGCCTAAGTACTCTAGTATATTTATACATATATTGCTTTGCGCCTTGTCCCATAAGAAAGCAGACATGCATATGTAAACAAAGTGCAACATCATAAAATTCTCAGGGCTGTGCTTATTACACCCAAACAGGATAATGATATTAGGTTTCAGATTTGCCCTGCGTTACATTTAATTTACCGGTACCTTTTTCGTGCCCCTTCTCTTCCCATATCACTATTCAAATTAAATGCCACACAGCCAACATGTGGACAGTGGACTGGGTTTTCCTTCCCTCCCTGATTTTACATGTTCCTACAAATTTGGTGGATTTCCACCAAACTTCTGTAAGTGTAACTGACCATTCTTTCATTATCTCCCCACGCTTCATTGAGCTTGCAAGCTCAAGTGCATCAGTGCCTTTTGAGGAATCCTAGGTTAAATTACCAGGAATAAATAATTGATCAGATTATAAAAAAAATGAAAGCCTTTTTAGTTCATCATCTCCTCGACCCCAGGGACACACCCAGGTGCCAGTAAATTCCCAGGTCAGTTTTATTGTTTACACAGTGTGAAGACACACTGCCTGGTTTCACACACAAAAAAATCTACAACTAGAGTACATGTACATGTACATACTGTACTGTATATTGTACTGTACATGTACAATGTACATGTATGGTGTACAATGCACATGTAGCTCTGGAATTCCATTAGGTACATGTACATGAACATAGTACACATGTACATTACAGCTGCATATTGTACAGTGCATACATGTGCATGGCTGTCCATGCAGTTCATATTAATTACACATTCATGTACAAGAACATACAGTTAGGTCATGGTTAGGTACAGTATAAATGTATGATTATGAGTACATGCCGTTTCATGTACATGTATGCTTTAGTAGATATTTAATCACATGCAATGGTTCAATACCCCGCACTTGGGGAAAACTAGTCGTGTTTACATTGTGTTCAAACATGTACTCCGTGGGATACATGTATATTGCTTTTTATTGATGTACCGGGGGTATTTATTTTTGTTTAGAATAATTTGACATTCACATGAAAACAAGCTTTGGGAATTGAAGGGCAGAATTTGTACAATCCTCAAAATTATGCACAAGCCTAAATACAGCCTAAAAAGGCACCACATTTGAATAGTTAAAAAAATATATATTATTATTTAAAACGAGAAATAGGCCTAACACACAAAAAACTTTCAGATCACAAAACAAGACTTGTTGTACAGAAAAGCAACGTGTCATGTTGGCCTACCATGTACTGCATCAGAGAACTACATGTACCACATGTAGGTACCGATACATGTGAATATACATGTAGGCCTATTGTAAACTGCAATTAAATAAATGACATTTTTGAGAATACAACACAATAAATTAACCTTGATGTACTGTGTAATTCTGACCCTGCATTGTGTTATGCGTGAAAATAATATCTGGGGTCATTGGCACAATAAGAGATACTACCAAAGTGCAATAAGTACAGTACATGCTTTAATTTTGCGCTGACACAGCTCACTGTCTAATCAATAGGCTTGATGTATCATTTCGTGATGGGAAAGGACTAGTTTATTGATTGTAACACATGCCTGGACATATTATACAGCTGACTGCTGCCAAACCTGGGATTTACTTGAACCGTCTGACTGTCTGTCAGGCTGATCAGACAAAATAGTTGTCTGTTTATTATTTAACATTTTGGACAAAAACATAGGCCTATAGTCACAAGCTCCAAATTGTATAAATACAGTCAAACCCTTATAAAAAGCGCACTGTTAATACAACATCCTGCTTATAACAAGAAAAATGTTGGGCCCCAGGTCTTTGTTTTTCATTACTGATAATACAAGGTACCTGCTATAACAAGGTAATTTGTAAAGTCCCAAGGACCTTGTTTTAAAGGTGTTCGACTGTACATTTAATGGTAGACCCATTTTGACTTGATTTTCATTTATTAGGTGTTGGGCCTCAGCCCAACACCTATTGTTATTGTATGAATTTACTATTGTTATTATTATTGTTCTCCTCAGCACATTCTTCTCCAGAACTGTCTGTCAAAATGAAAACATATACATGTATGAACTTCAATTGTCAATACATGAATGCACAACCCACTGAACATCATCATGTCATCATGACGTCATCATGGGTCACGTGGCGTCACTTCAAAAAATAATAAATTTAATCTTTGAAATTCAATATAAAATCAACTGTGAGAGACCGGAACTTGAATTTTGCAGGAATCGACATGATAATATATGATCTTCATTTTATCTTGTGTGCGTCGAATCACGTGAACCTTCCTTCCGGGGACACCCCTATGTTCCGACTGCACATATTCCTAACCCTAACCGTAACCCTAACCCTAACCGGGAGTACACAGTCTTGCGGGTTGTCGGAACATAGGGGTGTCGGAACATAGAGTAGTCACCTTCCTTCCGGTCGAAACCGGAAGTGCCTAATAATTTGAAAGTGGAAAAAGATACATGTATGAACTTGCTTTTAACGATGCTAGTGTCTGCCTCGATTGACCTTTCAAAAAAAGTGATCGGTGACATCATGAAGTGTTGGAGCGCCCTCTAGCGGCCGGTTAAAAAATGTCAAAAATGCATTTTCAGTTGATGTCTGTGGCGAAATTTGCAGTAATCGCTTCGAACCTCTAGTTTTTTTTATTGAAAGTGTTTTTTTATTGAAATTGTTTTTTTTCCCACTATTTTTCACCGTGTATGCTAGTCCAATCAAGCCTAGGGTTCTGTTCTCGAGATGTCTACAAGCATGTGGATACTTCTTGTTCTTGTATAGCTGGGGTAGTTGAACAGTATTCTCTGTACGAACAATGAAACCACAACTACATGTACATTGTATGTACATGTATGCACAGAACAGGTTCATGGCATTAAAGGGAGTGTACATCATTGGCTTTTGCTGTAATTTTCAGAAATGAACTATTTGAGGGGTTAGTATAATAGATCAAATATTGTTACACTGACATGTTTTGAAGTTTTGTGTTCGAAAATGCTGGAAAAACCAAGAAAACCAAAAATTGTTCAAGTAGTCTGGTTCCCTGACTCCACTAAAGATAAAATGGATCAATTTATAGTTGTCAGAAAATTGTAAGGTAAGGGAACCAGTCTAGCTGGCCTGCACCCGTTCATGAACATGTAACCAATAGCAAACAAAATTTGGACTGAAAAAAAGGTAAATTTGGAGCAGTAGTTGAAAAATAGTTAGGTTTTTCCAACGGTGGTCGGTTGACCACCATTGGAAATGTACACATAAATACAATTTTCTTGAAAATGACTTCACACCAGGTGCCATAATTTGACAGGATGCTTTAGACTGTCATTTACTAACATCCTAGTAAGGTATTTCATAAAAACTTGGTAGTTTTATTTTTCGATGTTTGCAAATGTTGTACATTCCCTTTAAATGATTTATTGTGCACATTGGCCATTGGGTTACACTTTCTAATTTTTTTGTTGTATTGTTTCCCTGAAATTGTTTCCCTGAACTTACAAATGCTTCCAAGAATTGAAATTTGAAACTGACCAGTGACGTGTAAGACTGACGACATTGTAACAGAAACGACAACCATATACACATGGGAAAATGCTAACTTTTAGTTTTGATTCCTTTGTAATATAAAACCATGTTACATTCTCCCCCCCCCCCAAAAAGGGGGATCTACGTTTTACCCTTTCAAGTGTTACTCTTCAAAAGGACTTTCCTTTAAATGTTTAACCTAGTTACGTGTAAGCTGTGACATCTTCATATTTGGTTCAACTTTCGATTTTTGGTGAACTACATGTACTTCATTTTTGAAAGTACATGTACATTTCCGCTTCATTTGACATGGTTGTGCAATTGGTTCAACATGTTTCTAAATATACAATGATAAGTCAAGGCCAAGATTCCTAATGACTTTCCGCAGTCTGAGTAAGGGTAGAAAGTACATGTACCTGTAGAATGAACAGACACTAAAGAACGCAGTCAATGCACTAGTTTACAAGCTATAGACAGAATGGCAACAATGCACAAGTTCAGCTATTTAGGTCAATGTGATATATTTTCAAGAACATACACGCAATGCATAATTTACAACAGCAGATGTTGCACAGTTTTAACTACATGTTTGCACCAAATTTACCATAGATCATGTATACATTTCTGAGACTCACTGAGACCCACACATAAAACTACCAAACATGGGACGTTTTCGCAATCTCTGACTCAAACCTGGCTTTGGGAGAATTTAAGGACCTTGACTTGTGGCACCTCGGCTTACTATTAGTGTTATGCTTCAAGAACATCAAATCAAATTGTACATTCTGTTGAATTCAATTGTTCATTTTTAAAATTGTGACGTTTGGAAATAAGTAAAATCAAAATCAAATCAAAAATCAAATCCTATCATATAGGACCTAAAAATCAAATCTTATCATATAGGACCTAAGGCCGAAGATTACAGTAAATGTATCTCCAGTTGGTTTGGACAATAAAGACATCAAAGATGTTTTTGTTTTTCAAAAATCAAGCCAACTTGGAGACAAAGGCAAAGTTTGAAAAAGATTTCAAGATGTTGTCAGGAAGAAAGCAAAATTATACGAGCGTTAACTTGAGGTTGAACCCAGAGGTACCTCATAAAAACCTTGAGGTACGTAAGCCTCCAGTTACCACTTGTCTGACTTTGCATTCTCCACACATCTCCACAATTTTGTTTTCTCCAGAGACACATGAACAGAAAATACAAATCAGCCGGCGAGGAATCTGAGAGAGAAAGCGAGAGGTCTCACCATGTGCTCCATGCAGATGTTGATCTCCCCGTCGCTATAAAAGGCTCCATAGAAGCCAACTATGTAGGGAGAGTTGCAGTCGTGAAGTACCTTCAACTCCCTGAAGATCTGGTTCCTGACGGCTGGCTTGATTTCTAGACGAATCAGCTATCATGGGGGAGAGATAGGAACCAGATTGTGAATTAATCCTCCAAGTTTGAAACCAATATTAAACATACATTTCAATTTTGGTAGTATTATAAACAAGTAAAACCTTCCATAGGGGATCAGTGGTGAAGTGGGAACACTCAACAGTGCTAATCTCATTAGGCAACCATCATGTTACGACTGTTTTTGTGTGCACAAGATCTGTGATAATGCAGAACACATTTCAAGCAAAGATGTCATGTTTTAATGCAACTGATAGTTATCATGTAAAATACGTGTAGCTCCACCTGTAAACCCTGTGCTTTTAAAGAGACAGGTTTGCTTGAATGTTCCAGTAACTCAACACAGGCAACGTCACTTTTTCTTACTCTTGTCATGTACTAATTAGACTGTGCAGCTGTACTTGACATTGTATTTGGTACATTCGGGACAGCCCTACCTGATATGTTTTATGCACAACTTTCTGGGTACCAGGGACCAAGTTCACTTCTGTCCTAGGCGCAGAAATTTGTCAAACAAAGAAACCCTTTGCTAAGTAAAATATGGTTACCAGCTTTAAACATGATGAGATGTACATAGTTTGTTACTAGTCCTCAAATTTGGTTTTTGTGGGGTTTTTTTGCTCAGTACACAAATTTGCTTAGCATCCTTTTTTGGCCGAGCAGCTCCACTGAATTTGGCCCAGTAGTAGACTGGTTCCCGTCCCCCTCCCCCCCCCCCCCCCAAAAAAAAATATGTGGAACAGTAGCTAGCTCCCATTTAGAGCCATTGATTTGATCACCTCTGTGCGCACGCAGCAGGATTGTTTATTTTTTAATCACTATTCAGCTTTGCATGGACCATAGTTGAGCACATGGTTATCAAAAAACTGACTCTTGTCTTATTACCACATGCAAAATCACTCCATGAAGGCAATTTTCAAGCATTTCAACTGCATATTTTTTAAATACTGAAACATAATGCCCCCCCCCCCTCTTCGTTGATAGTTGCCAGAGACACTTTTGAATTCAGCGAAAATCGAAGCTCATCACCTCGGAAATTGCACATTTGTGGCATATGATATAGCCATTTTGAAATAGGCTGGTTCCGCGCAAACATTGCCGTTGTGACTTTGAATTCAGGAAGCGAGATTCAGACCTACATGGACACGTCCTGCATATAATTTGCATAAATTGGGAGGAAAGCCTCCTAACGTATTCAGGATTCACTGCTAGCTACCTGTACCTGTCCCCACATTTGAAGTCCGAAGGACAATGGGGACAGGGAACCAGTGACGCCTGGCAGTTCCATTAGCATTTTCCTTCTCTGCTCTCACCTTTCTGGCCATAGTCAGCTGGCTGGGTCTGTGTAGTACCTTGGTGACCACGCCCCCGTTGCCGGCCCCTAGTTCCTCTAACTTCTCAAAGTCGTCCCCGGTCAGCTCGCCGACAGCCAAGACTTTCTCCTTCATGGTCAGGAAGATCTTCATCCTCTCTATCTGAGTCTCGTCCAGCTCCAGTTCTGCCAGTTTCTTGGCGATGGCCGCCATGGAGGCACTGGAATTGTTGCTATCAACAAAACAAAAAACAAAAAACTCCGTAAGTGCATAAAAAACAACAAGTGGAGAAAAGCACCAATCTGGCACTTGCACAATTGGGCACCAAATCCGCAGGTACACGTACCCCTCAACGGTTTAACAAAAAGGAACTGAGGTGGAACTCTTTGTTGTTGTACACTTGACATCCAGATAATGATGATATAATTTCTGTGCATATTCAGAAATATTTTGTGCAATACCTGAACTAGTATACACTGTAAGAGAGCATTGTGTGAATTTGTATCCCTCCCATGTCCATAACTCTCACATGTAGTAACTAAGCACCAGCTACTGTTTGGCTCCAACTTTTTCTGTACATTTATACTTAAAAAAAGCCCTTTAAGAATAACCTCTTTGCAAAGCAAAAATTGACATTTTAAGAATTATGTTTGGTAAAGCCAGCAACAGATCAACTTGAGATTTTGCTTGAGTCGCGACGCAGCGATCGAACCCGAAAACGACTGCGATATCAGCGCGCGTGCTCGCTTCAAGTGTTACGTTGGCTCCGTGCGGAAAGGGCATATTTTTCATCATTTTGGCCTAAAAACAGACAGAATCCACCGATGTTTGTTGGGTGCACATAATGTGAGTGTCATGAGGTATTGTACGGAGTTTAGGGGCAAACTATGCAGCGGTTCTGTGGGAAAAAGCTTATTTGGGATGGACGTTTTTGTACTTAATTAGTGTTTTGTGTTGACAACAATTTTGCGGGCTTCTGACTCTATGAGGCTCCACGTAGTTCTAGGAGTAGGGGACTCCCACTCCGTAGCCTTGTAGCCGCCAACAGGGTGGTTGGTTTGGACTTAGAATTTTTTTCAGCAACTCCCATTCATTTTGTGTTGCTTCGTTCTCAAATAATGGACCCCCACTCAGTATCCGCATAGCTGGCAATGGACTTGAATTGTTTCTTTTGCAGTGATTCCAACCTCGTAGCCAGTGATTTTAGGGGTGTATTTCCGAGTGGCGGGGTATTCTGCAATTACTCCGTTTTTTGGGGGGGGGAGAGGAAAAAAATCCCTGAAAATCATCAATTACTCTCCCTTTTAGTTTTACCCATGACTACATGCAGACACCTCCATATGATTCGTACACAAAAAAATAGTGATGGCCAGATTATGGGAATCTTTCCAACTTTAAATGTTTAAATGTGAAACATCTTTAGCCCTGTTGGAAAGATTCCCATATCTGGCCATCACTAATTTTTCCCTTCAGTGACCTATCAGCCAACAGAAAGTGATAATATGTCCTAAAAAGTCAAAATTAGCAGGGAAAATATTGAAATACACTTAGAAATTTTCAGACCAGTCTCATATACTAGGGTTTGTGCACAGGGTGACAAGTGATGGCCAGATTTGGGAATCTTTCTGCACTGTTCAATTCAGCCTTAAAATATTTTTTTTAGGGGGGGGGGAACCCCAGCTGTAGTATTGGAATTTGAAAAGAGTTGGGCAATGTTGGGCATGTTGGGGGTTTCCGGCATGTCCGGCCAAGCGTCACGCGCAAGCCTATAATTTGTAATGATGTCCATATTCCTTCCAAACAGCGTATTGACACAAAAGCATACAAACTACTGTAGATACAAAGAGTTTCTTACACAGCATTTGACGGCGCAGAGTCATCCGGCTTGACAGGCAGCGTCAGGTTTTTAATATTCTTCTTTGAAGCGGCCATTTTGACAGCCGTGAACGTGCTGAGTGCTGCAGCTGCTGGTGCTAACTCGCTGTGCGTGTGTCAATGAAAACCACGCATGAGTTCGATTTCAAGTCCTTCTTCACAAAATTCAAACCTACGAATGCTAGTTCCCTCCAAATCACCCGATGTTTCCCCACTCAAAACAAGTTATTTATCAGCGATCATTGTCGTGTTCACGTCCACTGAACAACGAGCGGAAGTGAAGGGTGCGTTTTCCGTGAAAATTCGAAGGGAAACAAAACACATCGACCCCACAGCTAGCTAGCTAGCGATACAGTACCGATCGGGGTCACAGGGGTTGGTCACACAAACACACACGTACGTCATTATGGCGCGCTAGCCCGGCATCCCATAATAATCGTTGTACTAATTGCCGTCAACGCATGACAACATACGACAACTGCGACAACCACTGACTGCGAGTGCAGTGTAAAACAATGGCTGAAAATATCTTATAGCGATAATGAGGCTGGTTCTTTTAAGCTTTCTTTTGTCGCCCAATTAAGCAGTAATGGTGTGGATTTTTTTTTATATGTCCTGCTGCGCATGCATGGCGGCCTATAGTTTTGACGTGATAATTATGATAAAAACACAACGCAAAATTAGCGTGAAGCAGACATTACTTTTCCGACTGTTTCTTAATTAATTATACAAATCTTTATGCAAAAAAATGTCGGCAAATGTTCGCGACGAGAGTAATTTTTTCTCGACACAATGGCTATAACGGTACTTTGCATCGTTGGTTTACACATTCCTGCGAAAATTAGGTGGAAATACGGCCTCATCCCCCGGGCTTACTTTATTTCCAACCGAGAGAACAGGTAGTGGTGGGAGCGTACTGCTCAACACCGTGAAAACAAGGTTGGGTGGAATACTACCCCGTAAATCTGTCCTAGCGCCCTCTGACGAGGGCATCACGTAGGGCTAGGGCCAGGGTCACACAGCAGTCATAGGTCAGATAATATAACGCGGGAAGCAGAACAAGTTAGTTTTTGTTTCTTTTTCTATTTTTGAGAAAAAAAACGACAAAAGTTGCCCTAAAAAAATCAAACGGCCCCTACCAAATGTTACAAAATAACATTTATCATGTAATTTACTCGCTTAAAACTCACAACTTGTTTGGTTCCTTGAATTTCAAGATCCAATACTGTGATTACAAATTGATGCCCAAAGCGGTGTTTATAAACGAACTCGGTTGCCATGCAATCTAGATGGTCCGAAAAGCACCTTGAATGACGGACCAAAGCTTGATAAAGCATTGATAGTTAGAACAACGTGGATTGTTATCGTTATTGATCACACAGATCTAATGAAACAAAACCCACGACTAACTTCATGCTTTCTCTCAAGTGAATGCTGCTGGACCTGATTTCCCTCGAAACCTGGTTTAAATCCAGTTCCATTCAAAACGCCGTGTTCTGATAAACGCTTGATTTCGACCATCTTGATTTGTTTTGCTGGAAAAGGAAGGTGTTCTTCAAGTTCAATTTCTATTGACTTTTGTAATCTTGGTTGGTGGTTGTGTAACAAGAAAGTGCTTTTGAAGAGAATTTACCGCTTTGTGGGAATTACATTCACAGCATCCGTAAAGCTGAGTCTAACAACAGCTCAATAGATGTAAGCGTGATCAAGTTACAGGACTGATAAACGTGCATTGATTCATGCATAATTGGTAAAATATGCAAAAACAGAGGAGAGGCTTGACATTTTGTGGATGCCATTTGATGGGCAATATCGCTGCGTGGGTCTTTATGGTGTGTGACTAGCTCTTAACAGGCGAACCGTACTGGGGGGGGGGGGGGCTCATCATGCATAAGCTGGTTTATTCTACTCCAACAGGATTTAATAGACCTGAGACGTAATGACGTAATGGCCTTTGTTTACATATTTCCTACGGGAGCGAAGTCTGGACGCCAGACAAGTGGAGACCGTCTACCACATAAGAAAAGCGCACATGTAAACAAACCGTGACGTCATTACGTCTTCGGCCTATTGAATTCGTAGAATCATTGGAATGATCCAATAAAGGAGGAACGATAAATAATGCCTCCTTCGTGAAAAGCTTGTAGATTGTCCCTCCCGGCTGGCCTAAGGAACAATTAAGTACACTGTATTACACCTGTTAACTGGTGTTGCATAAACATTTCAAGAATACGTACATCGGCAACATCAAATTAACCCAGATACTACAGCACTCATACGGTGAGATGGCATAATAAATATATTAATATCCATGATGTACCCATACATGGTTAGATGAGTCGTCAGATGAGCTGTAAATTATAAACTTGTGCGATAGTAGAATAATCATATCAAACCAGGAGACTTTATTTTGGTATTAAAGCAGCTGGATCCTTTGTCCATCAAAGTTGTTGCCAAAAAGATTGTAGCTATATCACGCTTTACTCATCACCATCATCATTCTCCTGATCCATCATGGGGGTCCCGTTGAGCCGCCCAGACCAATCGATTTGAAGCGGACTGCCACTGACAGCTGTTGTGCTCGTGACTTGTAGTCAACTTCTAGTTGGCGCACCCAGGTGTTGGGAGGTCGGCCTCTGGGTGCAGACCAGTAAATCGGTCCGAAATTGCCTACGCCGGCCAAATCACGATTTGCATGCCCTAAAAATCTTCAGTATTTGAGCATGCTCTGGGCCATGAACTTGAGGGTTTGTAAAAGAACTGCACAGAACTGGGAGCTTGCAGTTCTGTGTAATTTGGATGTAATTTGGACCAAAAGCGCTCTATTTTGCAATGGAGTGTAGGCATCGTTTTTCAAAATGGCGATGGGCTTCAGGACTATTTTCAGGGGTGATCATCTTCTGATGGAAATTTCTACTAAAAGTCATCAGTTGACCCCCCGAAAATTGAAAAGAAAATGAAAGATGATGAAATAAGCTTTAATTTGATGTGTGTTTCGAACACCTTGGAGAGTTGTGAGTATTTTTCCCGAATTTTTGAAGTGGGAGCAAGTTTACCATTGGGGTCTATGGAAGTTTATTTACTGGTCTGCTACCCTCTGGGTCTCTTCCAGGCAGTGTTAGGGTGAAGTCCCCCTTGTATGTCGACACTCATCTTAAGGGCGGCATGGGCCGGTGTGTCATCCGGTAGACTTCGGACGTGGCCGAAGAGGGAATGACACCTCCGTAAGATGGTAGCACTGATATCCTCGAGACCGGTAGTCTCCGTGTTAGTGGTGTTGTATAACAAATTTATTTAATATAAATTATGATACCTGCAAGTGGCGGATAACCGTTTGGTTTCATTGAATAAATAAAAGAAGTCGGACCACCGGACACCGAGGATGCGCCGTTGGCACCTCATATTGAAGGCTTGAAGCCTCCGCCAGTCCTCAGTTAGGAGTGTCCACGTCTCCGACCCATATACAATGTAGTAGAACGGAGAGGACACAAGACGTGTATATCCTCAGCTTGATTGGAAGGTTAAGGCGTTTGTTCCGTCACACTTGGTCCAGTTCGCCAAAGCTTGATGAAGCGAGGCCTATACAAATAATACGTCGGAGGATGTCGGGCGATGAGTAGCCCGAGGAGCTGATGTCGCAGTCGAGATACGCTTCACTGCTCTGGGTTGAGACGGAGGTAACAAAAGGAAGCTTACCGTATGCTCTCAGCATGCGCAGTCTGTAGGCTGAGAGTGGTTTGCACTTCGCAGGGGGTCAGTTATGAGAAGTCAGTTATGAGAAGTTCAGAAACGTCAGTTTTAGTTTAATTTTTCCCCAGTATTGAATTTAATACCAAATGTACACCGTGCATTAGTGGAAGATCCGCTCTCAAATGTTACAAACTAAAACGAAAGAAATCAAGAAGACTTCTCACCCAAAACCGGGGTTCCGAGATATAACACTGTGATTGTAAATTGACGGCAGGGGCAGCACTTATAAACGAACTTGGTTGCCTTCTAAGGCGTAGATGGTCCGGGAAGTATTTCGGATCACGGCTTATCACTTGAAACGCATGTATGACAACGCTGACATCTCCCAGCGGGCGTCGTGCTATTGAGTGGAACTGCTACTGGACCTGAGTTCCTTAGAATGCAGGTATAAATCCGGTGGCGTTCCAACTACGGGTCGTGTTCTGATAACCGCTTGGTTTCGACCGTCATGAATTTTTTTTTGTCTACGTCGATTTGATTCACTGGGTTTTTATTGATTTCAAAAGTTTCAAAAGTTTGAGTTTAAAAAACGATAATTACAGAGAGCGTAAATCGTTTTACCGCTTATGGGGAAAAAAACTTGCAAATTGGCAGCATCCGTAGTCGGGACTACACAGATATGTAGACGAATGGGCTTGTTTTTGTGGATGTGCAATATTGGCGCTGCAAATGTTTACGGTTTCCTTTACCAGGCGAACAAAGAGAGGTTTGGGCAAATCAAGGCACAACTTATCAAAACGAATTGAATGCGCTCCTTTTTAAAGTTTTAGTTACAGTCACATGCACTGGCACATTTCCAATTTCCAGTAGTGGGCGAAACGTTCCGGATTGCCTGACACAAAGTTGTCACACTTTGTTTACATGTGAGCTTCTTACAGGGTCACAGTAAAAAAAAAAAAGCCGAATCCAAACCCCCAAAATCATATTTCATATTTTAAAAATATATGTAGCACCAAATATTAAAATGATTGGAAAGCCAATTTCAAAAGCTACTTTTAGATGCAAAAATACTGACATTGCTCAATCCGTTCAAAGAATATCACCATTTAAACGAAATGACCATAAAACCTGTCTCGTTCAAAAAAGCACTGAATGTATTGTGTGTTTTGACTGTTTGGAACAACAAAGAAAATGACCCAGAATACTTGTTTCAACAACTGTCAACAAGTGTAGTACACAATATCTTGATAAACAACCCAGGTTAGGCAAACCATACGATTTATAAAATCCATTTTTTTTTTAAAGATGGGCCTTCAAAAGGACTTTGTTGAATATTTTTTACTTTTAAACTGAGATTTTATCTCTGGTGATGTTTGAAGACAATTGTGGCGACGGTTCTTGAAATCGCATTTTTGGACTAACACATGTTTAAGGGTCATGGTGATATTCTTTGAACGGGGGGGGGGGGGTGTTTACCATATTTCAATAGGGGGCGCTGTTCAAATTCAACGATTCTTAACACTATATTACAGAATGGCGTACAAGCGTACATTATATCAGTACATGTATAATTTGGGGGGGGGGGTGTCAGGGCAGGGGGGGTCGAATTATTTTTAGGAATGGCTATGAATTTTTTTGGGACAGAGCTGGGGGGGAGGGGCGGGTTTGACCCCCCCCCCCCCGGATCCGCGCCTGGCATA